AGCAGCAGCCTCGTGTCTTAATGTTCGCAGGTCTACTTACTCGCTACACCACCGGACACAACAGCATTAGCAGCAGCCTCATGTCTCGACGTTCGCAGGTCTACTTACAAGCTACACCATCAGACATAGCAATGTTAGCAGCAGCCTTGTGTCTCAACGTTTGTAGGCTTACTAACCTCCTACACCACCGGACACAACATCATTAGCAGCAGCCTCGTGTCTCGAAGTTTGCAGGTCTACTTACAAGCTACACCACGAGACACAACAACGTTAGCAGCAGCCTTGTGTCTCGACGTTTGTCGGCTTACTGACTTCCTACACCGCCGGACACAACAACGTTAGCAGCAGCCTCGCAAGTTACTGCTAGCAGCCAACTTACTTCCTATAAGCGGGTACGTCAGTAAAGGTTAAGGAAGAAACACTCGACTCTGTACCTTCTGTAGTCCGAGAGTCAGCAAGTTGTTCAGCGTGGCTACTGTTGATGCTTACAATAAACAAACTGTCGTTCAAGCTTGCGTGGCTCATCGCAGTAGCTTCAGCCACAACTAGTAAATAATACAATGTAACAGACTTAGGTAGCACTGCAAGATCCTCTGGGTAAGGTGATTTCGAGCTCGTTACGCCTTCGTACTACAGTAAAATCAACAAAGTGATGATTTTCAGACCGTTTGTGCGAAGGCGGGGCTAGACAACTGTACAATCGGCTGCTGTCTAGACGATCCGCGTAAGGTCACATGATTGCGACGTTGTTCTTGCCAGGGTCTGGGGGACAACAGCCACGCGCCACAGCCGTTCTGGGAGGTCGTGATATCTTAGCACGCTACTGCAAGCTAACGCATGCCGAGATGCGCTAACCCATCGCATCAGACAGGAGTCTTCTCCTTCGTACAACGGAACTCCCGGCATGCACGCTGGTGGGACAAATAACCATCGAAACCATACTCTTTCTTGATCGCCCTTTCTACCTGACCCTCCGAATGCTTGAGAAGTTGTTAATGTCGCGAATGCACCAGGGGGGTGGGGGTATCGTCGACGGGTCAATCCACGATGTCGACAAAATGATCGATGCAAAGCCAACACCACAGTGATCCTTATCGCCGAGTAGAACAACAACTGTAAAATCAAACCGTATTGTCTACAGCTTTGCTTGCTTGCGAGGGAGACGCTTCGGAGGTCCAAAGTGCAAACCTGTCTCGCGACACAGTGTGTCTCTTCACCCAGGGCCGCACCTTACCACATCGTCTTCCCTCGGTGACCGGTGGATGCGGTCTATTATTACGTGCAGTCATATCCTGGCGTGATTCTGGAGACTTTGCGTAGGGATGCATGCACGCTCAGACCCTATCCTCGCCCACCAACCACCCCGCCTTGCCAAATGTACTCAGCCCCGGCTGCTTACTTACCTCTCTGGTGGCGGTGTCTCCCAATGACGAGTGGTCGTTACCGAGACTGCGCATCACGGCTGACGTCGATTGTTACAATTGGCAGACCGCTCCAAGGGTGCTGTCGACGCCTTGCCTCAAATATGCTGGCGCACCCACCTGATCCTCGATTCATCACAGTAACAGCGGATCGCCAGGGCATGGGCCGGTCATAGCAAGGGAGCTTTAAGCTTACCCTGCCTCTTCTTTGCAGAGCTCACGATGCCTATCTTGAGAGCTGCACGCCTAACAGTGCCCATACTTTGATACTCCCCGCTTTGCTGCGTCAACCGTGTAACAACATAACCTTGGTTCCAGTACTTGTTGAAGCTCGAGCTTCGGCTGCCTGCATGGAAACTCGACAATCATGAGGCTCTCATATGCAAGATGCGCCATCCTGGCACCAGCTCTAGCATCCGCGGCAGCGCTCGCAATACTAGAACCTACACAGCACTTCGCGGTAGCAGCAGTCAACTGGAGTCCCGCGCCGACAGCAGCACCACAATTCAAGATCTTCGGCCGCGAAGCTCTGCAGGCAAATGAGGGCAACACATGCGGCTACATCTCCGGGCTGTCGGGTACGTATCTTCAGCCTTACCACCCGCTATCACCATTCATTACTGATTATCCCAGCATCCTCAATAACATGCCCTAACTCGCAGATATGTGCAACAAATACCTTCTTCGGCGTGCACGGGTGCTGCGACCCTTCTTCGCTGTCCGCATGCATCATCGCAACGACTTGCATTCCATCTAGCGTCATGAGTGCATCCTGCACAAACGACGCCTGCTCAAGTGACAACGCGATAGCAAAATGCACAGAAAGCACAGCACCGGAATGCTATAAATGGCTTTTTGCTTATGAGAGCACGACAATGACGCAGAATGGATGTGCCGCGAGGGGATTCACGAGCACGGCGCCGTATAGCTACGGCCTGACATCTACACCGAGCCCGATAATCGTTACTGTTACAGCTTCTGCGTCGCCTGCGAGCACACCGACGTCGACCTTGAATGAAGGAGAAGGAGGGGAGAAGAAGCAAACCCTCGGCCCAATCGTAGGCGGCACAATCGGCGGCTGCACAATCCTCTCCCTCGTCGCCCTAACCGCTTTCCTCATCCACCGTCGGCGCGTCAATGCCAGACAAGAACACGCTCAAACACATCCCCCACTCACCTCGCAATATTATCACAATAGCCCAGAGTTCGACCCGAATGGATTCCCTACCACGAATGGGTGGAGCGAGCAGGATATCAAGAACTGGCAGCAGCAGGGCGGTGTGCACCGGCCGGGCGTTCCGTATTTTGGTGTCTCGGAAGTCCATGGATACGACAGGGCGGTTGAAGTGGAGGCGCCTGAAAAGACTAAACCAGGGCAGTGGCAGGTCCCTGGAACGCGGCCGGTGGAAGTCGAAGCGGAAGCGCCGGTGAGGGATGAGAAACGAAGGTTTTGGAGAGGGCCGGTGGAGGCGCCTACATAAGCTCGCTGGGTAAGAAAAGGGCCTTGAATGTGTTTTTTGCTGCTGGCTTCGGCCTTCTTCGCTTCGTTGTTTGTTGTTCATATATATACCCTCGCTTGAGCGTGCATTGGGTGGCGTCCGAAAAAGTACACAGAAGTCTTGATACTTCACATTACGCATTGCTACTTCACTATTGATCAGCATTGTTCTGGCAGCAATATAAATATCTGCACATCCTCCTTATCCCTTCCTCTTCCATCGACATCTCACTTCCCTGAACTCTATTCAAAGATGGACAAAGTCGTCTCCATGTGCTTCTGCCTTCTGGCCGAGCACTCAAAACAACATGATAAGGTCGATAATTCTTTGCCTATGAGCACCTCTGTTTCCCGAAATGTAACCATCTGGCTTGACATGTGTCTAAAAGACCACGTCTTCGACAACGATTTTCTGTTCCTCAAGTCCTAAAATACGACCTAGGTTCCGATGATGGTGCCAAAGATCACGACGGGTGCATCAACGTTTCTGTCCAGCAGCAACTTGCCAACTCATGAATCTCTGTCGTCTTAACAGCCATTTTCCTCACTTCAAACACTTCCGCACTTCTTCGAATGTTGTAGAATGGCAAAATGATGTTTTGTCCCGGGCTCGAGTTTCAAAATTCACCATCGAGATGTTCATATTTTCTCTCTCGAGTCTCTCTCAAATCGACGCCATTCTCGAAATATGGGCGGAATCGTCATATGTTCTGAAGTTCTTGGTTCTTCCTTTACAATGCGCACCATGAATTCTCTAAAATAGAAGGAAGGAGTGGTTGATGTTCTTTCCGCTTCGAGACGCGCGCTCAAAATCAGAATTCCCGGCTTTCATGCATGGTAGTCTGCAAGATTTTTCCTCTATCAGGAGTCATGGAATGCACCTTCGATGTTGCTGAAAGCATGTGATCACCAACTCATGTGTGCCTCCTGAGAGAGTCTCTCTGTGTTCTGTCCCGACGACGAACCAAAAACGAAACGCGGCAGAAAATTATATCTGAGAAATTGAGTCTTGCTGTCGAAAGGACGAATCATGCCCTATATGTTTTCGAAAGGCCAAGTTTTCTGGTACATGCCCCGTTCAGCCTGTCGCGAAAGCATACGGGACTAAGATGATGTGCATTCTTGACAATCTAAAGGCCCTATGTTAGGAGGTGCGTTGGCGAAGTATAAATATCATTCACTTCATGGCACTTCTTCTCCTTACAACTTGCCTTTTCAGACTTCAAAAGTGGCACCCACAGGTATACATGTCTTTGCTACAAAGGTAACCTAAAAACGATCCAGGCTTCTCAAATTTCCACGTCTGTTGATCTTTGCAAGGAATGAGATGTTCAGAGAAGCATCGCCGCCCATCGAATGAAATGGGAATAGCGCATGAGAGATCTTGATGCCCTGCTACGGAGCAGCTCCCATGAATGTGAATTTATTTCGCAAGAAGAAAATCGCCACCGGTGTTCTCGATGTTCGTTGACTTGCTCTGCCTACGATATCTTGGGTACCTCCACACTGCTTCGACGCAGCTTCTAGCTCATTTTACTCTCTAGAATTCAAACCTACACGGGAAGCCGCATACAGCTACATAGAATCACTTAAAACATGCTTGTCTTCGAGAAATGTTTTTTGTGTCTTGTTGCAAACATGTCCACAACATCAGAAACAGAACTCGATGCCCTGTTTTTATGCTTGAGTGATAAGTTGCAGTTTCCCTTTGAGCTTGTGTCTTTACTCATGCACTTCAAAAGCATGACCCGGAGGAAAACATATGCCTTGTTACTGTATCATTGCAATGCTAGGGCTATAAAGCTTTCCCTTCCCCTTCCAGCAACTCTACTTACCACTTATCACTCCATGAGTTCTCTCTACTCTCCAAATTATCACAGTCTGCAGTATTATCTTCTGTTCCTGCCAGAGATCAAAAAGCCCCGCAACAAGATCGTATGTCTGCACTGTTCGGCATCTCCTCAAATCAAAACCATCGTGCAACCTCTCGATGCCTAAGCTACAGAAGATTTGTGTACCGGTTAGGACACTTCCAGCAACTTTAGTTTAAGGATTCGATGGTTGAAAGCTGAAAACGATTAGAGGCCGTTCTAGTGCCGCGGGTAGCATTCGATAATACAGAGTCCTCCGCGCTCCGGGATCAAATGCCCAGTGTCATTTGTTTTGTTCTCTGTTAAAACCTGGTCTAATAAGCAGTAAAGACTGCTGTACAACCACCCGAAAAGATAGAAGGTGAGACAGATGTGTATCCATTGCCTGAAAGAATCAAAAGCAATTCCGGAACAAATTTTGCGTCCATGAAGTTGTTCGTCTCTTCTCTCTATTTTCGCTTGTTGCTTTGCCACAGGCGACTACGATGAGGAACGATGGTCGAGCACGTCCTAGAGCTTATCTGAGATATGGAAATCCGTGCAATCTCCTGACTCGCTACTTTGTCACACAACTTCCTTTCTGCAATGCTGAAAACTTGACAAGACAAGCTCGATGTCCCTGTTCAGAAAGAGACCAGGAATTTGCGCAGCAACCTGAGCATGTTGCCTTTGCAGAAGGATTGCTTTTCCCCAAAGTTGAGTGCAAAACGAGGCACTGATCTGAATAAATGAAACAGATCCTCTCCCAAGCTGGCACCTCCATGTGTCGAACTCTGTGTCGGTCACCAAAAGTCAAGGTCGAGCGCGGCATATCTTGATATCTTCTTCATCAATCGGATGGAAGAGACGGACGCCTATAAGCGACACAAACTCTCACCGTGCTTTATCTGGACCATTGACGTCTTTTGAGACTTTGCCCCCAAGCTTGGATATTTTATGCCTACAAAAAGATCTGAGTTTCATGTTTGATCCAGAAAGCACAGTGTCAACTAAGAAGGATTTGAGCAATGATCGTGTAGATCAAAGACCAGTGATGTGTGTTGGTTTAAAACTTCTGTGATTATTGCTGCGACTCCCACTCATTATTACCATCTTCCCATTCAATATGAAAGATCGATGGACAACGAATGCATGTCGGAAGACTTGCAGCATATCTGACATGGCTGGAGAGAGTGTCTGACTCAGTTGTTAATTTTATGAACGAAAAGTATCTTAGCCTGCTTGCCATGCACAACTTAGCGCGCGTGGTACCCCGCAAATGCGCCTATCATCGAATCACACATCAGCCCCCGTCACCGCATCATCTTATCTCGGAAACTTCAGCTTCACTCTTCCTCCCTTCTTTCTCTTCTTCACCTCGCTGCTTGTCGGGTAATTGTTCTGCCACATCTCTGTCACTTTCTACACGAACCGCTCCTCGCAAAGCCTAGCGTTCAGCCGCACTGGACGCGCAGTCGACTATCAAACTATATCGCAATATGCACCTTCAGCAATCGCGTCTTTCAAAATTCGAATTGGACCCTGGATAGCGAGAAACGGTCGCCAGCGACGGCATAATCGCTGCTCAATCTCCGTGATGGCGATGCCATTTAGTCGCGAGTCGTGGATATGGTACATATGTGCCATAGGGATAATTATCGCACGACTGTAAGCTTATTTTCCAATCGCGCAGGCTGTGCAAGAGCAGGCTGACACATCCGCGACAGCATCGCCCGTCGGATCCTCTTTCGCTCGCTTAAAGGCCTTCAACTTGACGACTGGACCATGGGCCTCTTCGTCCTCACCAGCTACACTGCTTTGATGGTAGTGTCCAACAGATGGTTCAAGGCTGGATCCAACCTCGAGTCTCCGGACTTCAACTTCGGCACACTCAACGATGACCAACTGTCACGACGCACATACGGCAGCAAGATGATGATTGTGACAGAACAGATGCAGATATCTGTGATATGGTCTTGCAAGGCGTGTTTGCTTATCATGTACTACCGACTCACCCGTACCGCCTTGCGCAACGAGAACATCGCCATCAAACTCCTCTCCGCATACGTGGCACTTGGATATGTGACCATGCAGATACTGTATTTCGCTGTGTGGTGTCGTCCGTTTTCGGAGTACTATGCCGTGCCAACGAACTCAGTCCAATGCAACACGTTGGTCGACCATCGCATCACAAAAGCTGTCTTCAACATCTCATCCGACCTCATCATGTTGTCAATCGCACTGCAGATGCTCATTCGTTCGACATTGCCATGGAGAAGGAAGCTTGTCCTTTGCGGCATCTTCTCACTCGGTATCTTCGTTATCGCTGCAGCCGCACTGAACAGCTACTACTCTTTCGCACATCCATACGATGACATGTGGATGTTCTGGTACGTTCGTGAGTCGTCAATGGCGATCATCGTTGCCAATATACCATTCACTTGGACCATCATCCGAGAGCTGTTTGAGGTTGGCGACTTCGACGAAAGCGTGCAGCCATGGACCTTCCACCCTCATGCTCGAACGACAAGCGTTGCAACACACACGACTCATCAAACGGTCTCCTCAGGGCAGCGAGCTAGGACGCGTGAGTCGCCCATCAACAGCCACGGGAGTAGAGGTACGCAGTCGATAACACTCGTTGGCTCGATGTCTCCGGGGAAGGAGAACGGGGAGTCGCCTGCGAAGAGTTTAGCACTGGATGACATCGACAGAAACCTTGAGATACAGGCGGTGCGATCCCATGACTTTGCGTCAGTTCCCTCACGCTCGAATCAAACGGAGGGTAGAATTTTGAGGCAGTCCGTGGAAACCTCTAGTCAATAGGACAAACTTCCTGCACTTCGGATAGGATATCAAGTATGTTGAGGCAAAATATGTCGACCGTCAGTACTTCCTATTGTTCGCTTGATTTCCCTGAAGAGACGACCGATGACCGTCGTATCTGAATCCAGCCAGAGAGACTGCCTTATGAGCAATCCGAAGCTGCCCAGCATGTCACAAGATGCCCTTCCTGGTCTTTTTACCCTTTTAGTATTCCATCATATTCTACAAGCGGCCCCATGCCGCCATATCTTCCTTCTCTTTATATCGAGTACCACTATGCATTTCAATCTAGCATCCGCCCTGACCGCAGCTATCATCGGGACAGGTCAAGTCGCTGCTGCAGATCCTCCCCTGATCACACATATGTGGACAGCCGACCCATCAGCTCACGTCTTCGAGGACCGGATCTATCTCTGTGCGTCCCACGAAATCGACGCTGATGTCCCAGCTAACTCTGAGGGAGACCATTTCGCAATGCGAGATTACCACGTCTTCTCGATTGAAGAACTAAGTGTCCACACAAGCTCAGCCTAACTTTACCTTTCGTCGCACTTACTTTGAAATTGTCTAAGGTGCATCCCTGGGTGGTGAGACAGACTGTGTCGCGAGATATGTCTGCAGTTTGAACCTCCGAAACGTCTTCCTCGCAGGCTTGTTGAACTGTAGCTGACATATAGCGATTCTCCGCTATTGTTCCTCAGCCAAGTAGTCTCCGACAAGAACTACTGTGCTGTTGGCCGTGCTGTCGATCGATTTGTCAACGTCGTCAATCAATTCTTCAACGACACTCCCTGTTCATTTGCGATTTTGAGGGGCCCTCAAGCGCTCGGAGGGTTGTGTTGAGAGTGCAATCAAAGGAGAATTGGGTTTTGAGGTTTCGAAGGAACTCCGACCTAGGAGCGAGCATGCTGGGAGCCCCGGAGTGCGGAGGAGGTCCATGGAAGCGGACCCGAGTTGTCGGGATGCGCCAGTGCATCTTGGCTTCTATCAGCCTGCATTAGCGCGTTTGTATGCTGCTGTATCTTACTGTAATGAATTCAACGCTATGCCTGCACTGTACAGCTCCATAGATAGATGTGGCGCATACTGACAGCTTTCTAGAAGCATCTACGACCGCGTGCGCAGTCGTTGCATGTTGTCTGTACTTAAGCTCCGTACCTAGGGTTTAAGGTGCATCTCCAGTCAAAGAGACACCATGTTGAGAGCCGGATTAGCAGTTTGGACCTCCGGTGTCTATCTCTCGCAAGTTTGTGAAGCCGCCGTTGAATCTTACTGTTCTATGATTATTTCTCCTCTAGCACATCGGCCTCCGCCAAGGGCTGCCGCGTTGTTAGTTGTATCATTGATCATTTCGTCAACACCGTCAATCGACCCTCTAGCAAGACCCCATATCCGTCCGGGACTTTGGCGGTGTTTCTAGATACCGGAGGAGCAATGAGGAAGCGCGACTCTGGGAAATTATTTCTCAAGACGTTGAAGATCACTTCGATACATGAACGTGCATGCCGGGAGGTCCGTTTGGCGGAGACGTGAACCTCAGAAGCGGTCCAAGAGAGCGGGGAGTGCTAACGCGTCTTGGTATGCATTAGCTCGCAATAGCGTGCTCATACATAAATATCCTTACTACGCTCAACTCAACGCTGTACCTATTATGCGTTGGTGGCGGGTCTCGACGTGTACAGTCACGTGCCTTCGCCCTGTTCCTGGCAGCCTGGTGCGAATCGTACATAGCTGCTCAGCCTAGCTGCAGCTGCACCGTTGTCAGCCTCGTCGCTTTGCCATCATGTCGGTTTCCCCTCTCCTCGCCGCCAGCTCATATATGCCTACAATCAGGTTTTGGTTTCTTGCCATATGGATCCCCTCAGCGTCACAGCCAGCATCATCGCGGTCCTCCAGCTCTCCGGCAAGTTCCTTGCGTATCTGAACGACGTCAAAGATGCCTCAAAGGACCGCGCGCAGTGCGCGATCGAGGCATCGACCCTCTACAGCCTCCTTGTCAATCTGAGATGTCGACTGGAAGAGGGGAGCGCCAGTCAGCCATGGTTTACCGCTGTCCGAGCCCTCGCAGTTGAGAATGGGCCGCTCGACCAGTTCAAGCAGGCGCTGGAGTTGCTGCAGGCTAAGATGACCGATGGAGGTCGACTGAAGAAGGCTGGCAAGGCGCTGGTATGGAAATTCAAAAAGGAAGAGATTGCGAGCATCCTGGCTCGAATGGAGCGACTGAAGACGCTGGTAGAGATCGCGATACATATGGACCATTTGTGAGCCTCCGTCCTGGCATTGTGGAGCAGCAGAGCTTAAGCATACAAGAAAACTTTCGCAAGCTATCAAAGACGACACCAACTTTCTTCGGACGCACGCACCCGTCATTCAGTCTGGGGTAGACACGATTCGACAAGATCAAGACTCGGCAAGGCATCGCAGGCTTCTAGAATGGATATCAGCTTCAGACTACCCCGCTCAACAATCGGACATCATAAGGCATAGACAGGAAGGAACGGGTCAGTGGTTCCTGGACGCACCTGAAGTAGCACGATGGCTCAATGAGGCCAATACCATTCTCTTTTGCTCAGGGATCCCAGGGGCCGGCAAAACCATGATAGCAGCTATTGCGATCGATCATTTGCTGAACACAGCGCGGAACAGCTCACACGGGATTGTCTACGTTTACTGCAACTACAAAGCTCAGGAGGAGCAAGATGTCTCGAGCCTGCTGGCAGCTATTCTTAAGCAGCTGGTTCAGGGTCGTCTGTCAGCGATGGAGCCCATAGAGCGGTTGCATCAGAAGCATGCCGACCGGGGAACCAAGCCGTCACTCGACGAGATTTACAGCGCGCTTCGAGACGTGCTTACACACTATCCTCTTGTTCATATAGTGATCGATGCACTGGACGAATGTCAGAACGCTACTCGCCGCCAACTTCTGGCAAAACTCCGAGATTTTCAAGCAGGAAGCGATGTTCGTTTCATGGTCACAGCCCGTTATATACCAGACATTGAGGATGCCTTTAGAGGAGCGCTGAGGCTCGAGGTGCAGGCTAGCAGAGAGGACGTCAAGCGTTTCGTGGCCGGTCAGATATTCCGACTACCCACATGCATACAACGCAGCGCAGCGCTGCAGGAGATGGTGCAGGAAAGAATAGTGGATGCGGTGGATGGCATGTAAGTCCCTCGTCAAAGTCAGGTAGTGATGCGCACTTACACGTTCCTAGGTTTATTCTGGCACGCCTGCACATAGACTCGCTGCTAGACAAACGAACGGCAAAGGATGTGAAGATAAATCTCTCAAAACTCCCGAAGGGCGCAGCCGCACTCGACGTCGCGTATAGAGATGCTCTTGAACGAATTGAAGGTCAGCTGGAGGGTGATCGCGCGCTAGCTAAAAAGGTTCTATCATGGATCACATTGGCAAAACGACCGCTTACCACTGCGGAGATATGCTGCGCCCTGGCAGTGGAGCCCGATGAGACGACGATCGACCCGGACAACGTGCCTAATAGCGAAGACTTAGTATCTGTGTGCGCCGGTCTTGTCATTGTCGACACGGAAAGTGCTATCATCCGTCTTGTACACTACACTACACAAGAATACTTCGAGCGGATTGGAGATGCATGGATGCCGGACAGCCAGTTCCACATTGCTAGTACATGCCTTACGTACTTGTGCTTTAGTGATTTTCAAAGCGGCAGCTGCTCCAGTGACAAGGACTTTGAAGCGAGGCTACAGGAACACCAGTTCCTCGACTACGCGGCTAAGAATTGGGGAGTGCATGCAAGAGCAACCGAGGCCGAGATTGCTGATCTCGCGTGTGAATTTCTCCACAGCGGTTCGTTTTCATGTGCTGCGCAAATTCTGAGAGTTTCCCGCTACAGGTACGAAGGGTACAGCAGACATTATCCTACAACCACACCTTTGCACGAGTTAGCACGTCTTGGACTCGCTGGCATAGCGGAAAGAATTCTATCTACCGCAACAGAGCCTGTTACACAGGCACTGAATGCGGAAGACAGCTGGAACGACACTCCCTTGACTATTGCAGCGAGACACGGACATTGTGAGCTGGCCAATATGCTGCTCGACAATGGCGCCGAGGTCAGCGCGCATGGCGGACACTACGGCAACGCACTGCAGGCAGCTTCAGCTGGAGGCCACGAGCAGGTATTTAAGATGCTGCTCGACAAAGACGCCGACGTCAACGCGCAGGGCGGACACTACGGCAACGCACTGCAGGCAGCTTCAGCTGGAGGCCACGAGCAGATAGTCAAGACGCTGCTCGACAAAGATGCCGACGTCAACACGCAGGGCGGACACTACGGCAACGCACTGCAGGCAGCTTCAGCTAGAGGCCACGAGCAGGTAGTCAAGACGCTGCTCGACAAAGGCGCCGACGTCAACGCGCAGGGCGGAGGGTACGGCAACGCACTGCAGGCAGCTTCAGCTGGATGCCACGAGCAGGTAGTCAAGATGCTGCGTGCAGCTGGCGCTGACGAACGTCAGCAAGAGAACTTTGTGTCAAGGCCCGAATAGCTGTTTCTCTGTTCTGATTTACATCTTCATATGACTGCGATACTGAAGCCGGCGTTGAGCATTTCGGATCAGCGCAAGTACAGTGGGATGCAGACTGGGGCAGAACCACTCTGCGCGTGGCCGTAAAAGGTTCTAGTAAACGATCAGCATGCGCCACATCCATTCTAGGGGTCACACAGAGTAGGCATAGCGTCGAAATATCAATACAGTACGATACAACGGCAGCTTGATGCATGCCGAGACATACTGGCGCATACCAGCAGCTCGGGCTCGTCTGCAGGGATCTCCTGCTCTCACAGCATGTAAAGCCTTGAAAGATAATCCTCTTTGATCGCGCTTCCTCCACAGCGTTCCAATATATAAAAAATCCCCAAGTCGCGAGTAGACAGGGGATATCGCTGAAGGATCGTTTGACGGGTGTTGACGAGAGAACCAACAGTACAGCCAACACCACAATAACCCTTGTCGGAAACTAGTCGACAGAAGGAACGATAGCCGGAGAGTCGTTATATGTCAGCTGCAGCCTGACAGGTCTGTAAAAGAGACACTCCGGAGGCCCGGACTACCAATGTAGTGTGTCTCGTCACCTTGGGACGTACCTCAAGCAACAAGTATAGGATGTGGGGTTGCGGTTCCAAAGTCAGTGGTCCGTCGGCGTAGTGTTCTCGGGCCATCGGGTATAGTGCTGATGCACAATCGATGCAAGGCCGTATTGATTGTGTAGGGCGCAAGCCTCGCGTAGGTCGTTCTGACAGCATGTCTCGAAGCATAACGAGGCGTAATGATATTTTTTTACCACAGAATTGACCTCGTTCAAGACGCTCCTTCCATTTTCGGATCTCACTCGCCCCCAGTGCTCACCGCCAAGGCTCACCTGAACGCCTGTGCCACAGTAGATTTATCGATAAATAGCTGCTAATCTCATGAATTGCTATATTTTTCTGTGTTCACCTTCAAGCTTCTCTATCCTGTGTCAACACGCAGCTTCCTTACACGGTCACATTTCATCAACGTTCCTAGGGTCTTGTGACCTCACATCAACAAGATAGAACACTCGTACTTCATATAAGAACGCCCTACAAAGAAAACCCCCCGGTCAAGACGTTCGACTCGAACACACCCAAGATGAAGCTCTCCACCACTTTCATACTCTTCGTCGCTTCTCTCGCCATAGCTGTACCTGCCGAAGTCAAACGCGAAGCATCCCCCCAACCGATCCCAATTGGCACTGATTATGCCCTCCTACAGGCCCGCTGTAGCCACCTGGAGTGCAAGTGTACCGGCTTTGATCCCAGCAGCTGCTCCGGCCCGGGTTGCGGAAAACAGTGCAACACTGGAAACTAGAAGTTTAAAATCGAAGTTTGAGCGCCTTCCGTAGTATCGTGTTTCTTGTTGTGTCTATGAGCAGGATGTGAGTTCGACGTTGCGTCATGCAAGGTGGACCGAGGAAGGTGTGATGCACGTAGAACTTCAGGTCACTCATGTCAGGGAGGTTGCCATGTACTTATCGTTACAGTGCTTCCAATTTCATCATTAACCAATCTCTGTACTTCTAACGCCGAAGAAGACTGCGATCTTAACATGTCTTTGTCGCTTGACATTCGACACGTCAAATGGTATACTCATGTTTCCAGTCCACGTGCTCAACAAAACGAAAGTAATACCGGTATATGGCTCCTCTCTGCGTCCTCAAAGGTATATATTGACCCGAACGATCCTGGTCTCTACTCTATCCTCGGCTCTTCGCAACTATGCCAATCTCAGAACAGGATCAGGAACGTGCAATGTCTTTGCCCGCTGGCTTATTCAAAATTTATGAGCATTACACCCATGTGTGAATGCTTGCGAGTCACGAAATTGCATCAATGTTTTGGGATTGGCGCGTTGTCGCGATTCTCAGAATGCGCACAAACTCCTACCATGCTTTCAAGTCTACCATTAACAAGTCGTGCCTCTCGAAACTTGAAGAATCTGCAAGTTTGCAGGGCATATCTTTACCGCACGCTCCTTTAAACGTGCTCGAAAATCAACTGGCATGTCTGAGCCTTCAAGCACGCACCAAAACCCGAAATCTCGAACCGGGCATAATCTCGATCTTGGCTCAATTAATCTTCCAAAACCTGAATCGGTCGAGGATATAAACAAGCATTACATGGAGGGGGAAAGGTGTGACGGTTTATGGAGTATAGAGGTCATGTGTGCCACGTGTGTTGGCGCAGTGCTCTTGCCCTTTCCAACAAGCCCTTTCTACCTCTGTCTGAACGACAGATACGTCATGAAAACAGACCCTGGTGGCTCGTTGAGAAAGACAGAACACTGAAGAAGAACAACATAATATATACTGATTCTACTGCTTCGCGCGGTTTCCCCCTGACCGACCGCCCTGCGCGGTTACACCTTCATTTATCGCAACTACTGCAACAAAAGGCTAAGCTAGCTTTGTATTCATCACCGCAAAGAATGACTACTAAACCTTGGAAGTCAATTGTTTTGTTAGATCACTACGTTTCCCTTCCTCTCTAACAGCACCTGGGTACATGAATTCTCCATCACAGTCTCAACACTTCTTTCTTCTAATATCATGGGTCTTTAATTTCAAACCCTCCTTAGAGTCGAACTCATGTCTTTGCTCTGCATGTCCCTCCAAATTCCCCTGCTACCGAGGTCGACGTTTGGAGGTTGGAGGACGTCGAAATCCAAGCCCACCACAACTATGGCTTTCATGCATCTCTTGAAGTGTACAATATCTTCTCTTGGACTTCAATTTTTGAAACTCTTCATTGTGAATTCTCTGCATGCACCTTTGAAAGATACCTTGCCTATAGCCAGGTCTAGTCTTTTTGGACTCTCCGAAAACCCGCTTATCTTGCTATGTCTGGATATGAATGCCTCCGAAATTCATACATCTCCTACTCGTGACTTCTTCTTGCACAGCTTGTTGTTGTGCATTCAATTCTGTTCTCTCGAACCGTAAAACGCTGCGTAGGTATGCTAAATTGGATGTAAAAAGCATCGCGAAGCGCTACATGTGCTTGCGTGGAGATCTTATGCTGAAGCATATATGAAATCACACAAAGCCTTATCCATTTTTTATCGCCAGCGTGCTCTACAACATCAAATTTCCATAAGCCATAGCTCTAACTAAGGTCCAAGAAATGTACTATATCCCAGGACATGAATATCAAGGACAGTACGTTTATATTCGTAAATGAAGTAAAATTGTGGTCGGCTGTTTGATTGCTCTCCACTAGCCTCTCGAATAAAGTCACTGAAACGCAAAACGAGTATCGCCATGACCTCTCATTGCAGCTTGTAAGAGCTATAAAATGCCTCAGCGGTACTTCTAACTCTTCCAACACAAACATCTCTTCTCAATCCGAAAATCACAAACTGCCATTGGCATGTCCCTGTCCTACTCCGCTCCAAAAGCGCAGCCATGAAGCCCTTTGTGCAGACCTTGGCGCGACCTGAAAATGTCCACAGACTGCTCTTTGTTTCCCTTTGCGAGACGTACTCGCAACATGTTGGCCATCTATTGCGTGTCTGAAAAGCAGCATCAAACCTGGAAGTGTCGATCTGAGCAGATTCTGTAGGCCGAGAATACCCATCACTTCATATATGTACGACTGAAGATACGGAGATAGCGATCGACGTGTTCTAACGGAGATTGCATTGTTGCACAGCTCTTGGCCTGTAGAAAGCCCATTTGCTCCTTTCATTCAAAATTCGACTGAGCTGTCTGCCCTTCCCCCACCATCTGTTGCGTCCAACTATCCAAAACGAAGCTGCAATGGCGCATGTCCCTGCGCCTCTCGTGTTGACAAAACTATGACCCACTTCTACCATGGTTGGAGGCCCGGAGCAACTCAAACACCGTCTCTCAACCTGACCATATTCTCCCCAGGCCTGACTGACGGAACTATCCATTATAGAAAAATATGTCCTCTTACACCGCCACTTATCCCGTCCTCTTCAACTACCTTCTGAATTCTGCAAGTCCAAACCTTCGTCGGGGCTGAGTTATGACTTTCTCTGCTCCTTCTTCAAAACATAATTGCCAAGTGTCATATCCGAGACTCGAGCTGGACCAAGAGTTCAACGCCATCGCCATGACCTCTTTCCCCAATGCATAACATGTCGTATACGTTACTTCTCTACGCTTTCGTCTCACGCATTCCTCGCCTTTGCTTTACTACCCAAAGATGGTTTACCATGGCTCCATGTCCGAGCAAGTCCGTGTCCAACTCTTGAAATCCCTCGAAAATCCACACGCCACCATGCCGTTACTTCTTTGCTCCTGCAAGAAAACTGCATGGATCCTAAAAAGGCGTTCAAGCGCCAGTAAGTGCCTATATTAGCAAAGTGTGAGATTTGAAAAGGTGGAACAATATGGAAATGAAGAGAGTTGGTTGTGTGTGACTTCAACATCCACGCGGTGACGCTTTCCCCTCCGGGTACAGTCACAAATCTGTCCCCCCCCCATCTCAGTCGAAGAATTGTATAACCCCCCACCGTCCATTATCTTCCATCCTCAATCATCTGCTCCACATTCAGTTACGAAAAAGATCAGAAAGAGCTCACATACCGACTGATGTCTCTACCCTATTCGCTTCCCTCAAAAGCACCACAACACTGAGTTAATCGAGATGTTGCAACACTCGGAAATAGATCACTATTGCGAATATATGTGGGGCTCTGGCCGAAATCTGAAACCAGGAAAGAAGGCACAAGTGTCCGGAGGAAGAAGATAGCAACAAGATATATATCTGTGTGAGACGAGACCGCTTCATTCAGACCTTGTACAGCGATTCATAGATGTGAGCACGATACGAAGCTCTCAAGCACAACATTGTAAAGCCACAACGAAATGGTCATCGCCCGAGGTCTCTATGCCGAGCCCGTGCATTACATCATGATGCTTCCTGCACCACTAGTACCACACCCTCTGAACCAATCGCTGTATTCTGCAATGCCAAAGCCTCGCTACCACACACGCATGTCTTGCTCTGCCCCTCCCCGGATTCTTATCTTCTTCCCCTCAACCATCTCCCACACTTTGCGATCAACGGTTGAAAACCCAAAGCGCACATGTCTTTGCCCGTTCGCCTCCTTAAGATTACGTGCGCGACCTTATATGGCCAGAATCCTGGACAGCTTTGCAAAACTGCGGTTGTACTTGAGCGTGGCTCTTCTTTTTGCGACCATACAAGCAATATATTACTTGGAGCGATGGCAAAAGAGGAATCAACCTGGGCTATGTGTCGGTTTGAGCCGATTAGGAAAACTGAAAAGGTTCGCGTTTCATGAATGTGAGGACGTTCAGAATGTTTCGGAGATCACGCTGATGGACTCGAAACAAATTGCCCTCATCGTATATCTCTTTGCTTGAGGTTCTGCCACTGCCCTCAGGACTCATCTCGGATTTGGTTCGCTCCATAACGCCATTTGCTTGTGAGCATGCAATACTTTCACCCATAATTTTCACCACTCCCAGCATACTCGCTTATCCCTGCCCCAAGAACTCCCCTGAGCGTATTCTCGACATCCCTCTCATCAAACTGCCCCTCCGCATGCTCCGTCCCGCTTCCCTGTGGCCTACCCTGCGGTTGCTGCGGATGCGTCTTCTGTCCTCCACCACCATTCTGCTGCGGCAGAATATACGGCCTATGCTGTTTCTGCCCATGCTCCGTATACTGATTCGGATGTGGCAGTTTCTGCGTCCAATCGGACGGCGCTGGAAGCGGTCCAACTCCGACCGATAGTTGACCCGGTCTACCAGTCGCAGCAGCAACAGCGCTGTTGATATTCGCCATATTTTGGCTCAAACCAGCAGCTTTCTCGCGATCGCGCTTCTTCTGTTGCACCAACGCCCCCTTGACGCCACGGAGGTACTTTACCGCGAGCTCGACGAGTTCTTTCTTCTCGGGCGAGTTTTTGAGCGCTTGCAGCATCTCTCTAACCTGCGTCTCGCTCTTAATATGTGGACATGTGCGGCCGTGACCGTAGTGCGCGAGGCCACACAATCCGCAGTGTTCGACGCCCGCAGCCTTCAACTCGCAAGCCCCACTGGGGTGGGACTTGTGGCATGCAGGGCAGATGCGGTTCGTGTGCGATAAGTTCATCGGTTCGACGGGGGAGCGGATGGGTATGTTGGCACGGACGAAGGGTTTGACTGAGGGTGTTGCTGTTAGTTTTGGCGATGCTGGTGGTGAGAGCAAGGAGATGACTGTTGGCTCTTTGCCGTCTTTCTGAGAAGTTGTCTTCTTGATGACTGTGGCTGTTGGTTTTGGTGATGGAATTGAACCCTTACCACTGCTCTTCTTCGGCGGTTTGATGGGACTGCGTTCTACAGGTGCAGAAGCGGTAGGCTGATGAGGAAGACGAAGCTGATCAGGAAGACGAAGCTGATCAGGAAGACGAAGCTGATCAGGAAGACGAAGCTGATCAGGAAGACGAAGCTGATCAGGAAAACGAAGCTGATCAGGAAGACGAAGCTGATCAGGAAGACGAAGCTGATCAGGAAGACGAAGCTGATCAGGAAGGCGAAGCTGATCTTCGCCTCTTGTTCGGGCTGACGACTGCTGAGCGAGACCGCTGACATGACGCTGTTGAGTGGAGGCTGCGAGCTCTTGCTGCACATCACCTTCTGATGGTTCGGGCTCAACCTCGGTGTCTTCATCGGAGTCGACCTGAAAGTCAGTATCGCTTTCGGTGTCAGATCGCTTCTTCTTCTTCTTTTTCTTGTCGATCTTGACGGGTGACGGAGGTGCGGCCTCTTCATCGCTGTCGACTGCAGCAGCTTGCGCCTTTTCTTGTTCGGTCATGTAGCCGACGTTCTGTGACGCGTCAGTATGAGCATTTTTGGCCTTGGGCAGGACACTTACGACTCGAGCGCGCTTGCCTCTGCCCAGGGCATGCGCTCGCACGAGTGCTTCAGCGGCAGCCTGTGCTTGTCGCTCCTTCAGAATCTTGTCCCACACACCTGGGTCAGGAGCTATCTCCTCCTCAACGATGTCGAGGTTGTCTTGCAGCGAACCTGTGTCATTGGCCCATACACGTGCGAAACTGAACTGCGACTCTGCTGAGTCGTCTCCAGCAGCTGCCCGAGTGTTCTCGATCTGGCTGCGGTCGAGCAGCTTCTCAATCGACGCGTCATCGTAACGGATGTCGTGGTCTGCGGTGTCGTCTTTGAACAGCTCAGCAGCACCATACTTGAGGATAGACTCCACATCGTGCTCTTCGTCCTCGTCAGCGTCCAACTGCTCGACGACAACGTGGTCAAGCGCCATCTTCTTGCGGCCCATCTGCACAATCTTCTCCTCAACAGAGGCTCGAGTCACGAGCTGGAAGCAGAGGACCTTGTTCTTCTGACCGATACGATGAGCTCGCGCAATGGCTTGCAGGTCCTGATGCGGATTGAAGTCAGGATCCAGGATGATGACTGTGTCAGCCGTTGCAAGGTTGATACCGACACCACCTGCGCGGGTTGACAGCAGGAAGGCGAACAAGGGCGAGTCCGGAGCATTGAACTGATCAATACGCTTCTGCTTCTCGAGTGAGCCCATTGTGCCGTCGAGACGCTGATATGCCATCTGCATGCCGTCCAAAAAGTCCTCGATGATGCTGAGCATATCGAGGAACTGACTGAAGATTAACACTCGGTGACCGCGCTCTTTTAGCTTCGGCAGCAAAATTTCAAGCAAGCTGAGCTTGGCAGACGCTTCGACAAGGTTACGATGAGATACGGCGGCGACGTCGGTGCGCTCCTCGATCTCGCGGCTGTAGACGAAGGGATGACACAGGCACTTGCGCAGCTGCATCAAGATGTTGCTCAGACTGGCGCGCTCCTGCTGCTTGAGACCCTTGTCCGAGGTGAACAGGGCCTTTAGCAGTTCGGGACTCTTGGACAAGATCGATTTGTATACTTGCTTCTGCAAGTGGCTCATGGAGATGGGCAGAATGATTTGACTGAGGGGCGGAAGGAAGGTCAGGACTTGAGCCTTTGTACGGCGGAGGATGAATGGTCGAATCATGTCATGAAGCTCTTTGATGTTTTCAGACGTCATCTCGGCGTACTTCTCCTCGAGCTCTGCAGCGTTAATAGTCTCGTCCAGGAACTGCAGCAGGTTGAAGAGCTCTCTAGCGTTGTTCTGCAGAGGGGTACCAGTCATTAGCAGCCTGAACGGTGCCTTGACGCCTGAGAGGGCGGTGTACAGCTGACTCTTGTCATTCTTGAGGCGCTGACCTTCGTCGGTGATCAGACCGGCCCAGTTGACGCCTCGCAAGAATCGTCGACAGCTGTCATCGGAAGCAGCTTCATAGGAAGTCACCACAACGTGGCATCTCAGATCTTTGGTGCCTTCGGGATACATCTCGTACTTGTACGCCATCTCACGAGCTTGTGAAGATCCGAAGTACGCCACCACACGCAACGACGGAGCCCACTGCTTGATCTCACGTCGCCAATTGGCGCATGTTGAGTTGGGCACCACAATCAGGAAGGGGAAGCAGTTGTGTTCCTGAACGAGTGTCGCCATGAAGCCAATGACCTGAATGGTCTTGCCAAGACCCATCTCGTCGGCGAGGATACCATTCTTCTGGTTGTACCATTGGTAGTATAACCAATTCAGACCCTTCATCTGATACTTCATCAATTCACCGCCGACAAGGTTCTCCGGCTGAGCTTGCCTCTCCAGCTTGGCGAATGGAGTGTTGCGGGCTTTTTCCAGGCGAGCTTTGAGTGGGCCTTGCTTTGGAACCTTGACATAACGGCCAGCGACCCAGTCATTATACGCAGTCACAAAGTCGAGCCATCTGTCACCATCTTCCGATGTCGGCACCTTGTCCCACACTGCGTCTTCGTAGCCGAGACCCTTGTACTTGATGAGTGCCTTGTCGACTTCTTTGATACGCGCTTTATCGATCTCCTCGGAGCGGATCTCGACATAGCTGGTGAACTTGATATCAAGGACGATATCAATGCGGAGGTACTCCTCGGGGATGGCGTCCTCGGTCCGCATCTTTGGCCCATCCTCCTTCTTGAAGAAGGCCCTTCGCATGGCAGACGCACTGACGCCCCATGTCCAAGCACCAGAAAACCATGCTGCGTGGAAGTACGACTGCTTCTCCCACTTGATGAGATATTGCTTGTCGTCTTCATTTACGAGCTCACAAGGCGTACCAGGCTGGTAGGTTTCCACATCGGACGGACGCCAGGCGACAAGACCCCCGATTTTCCTATCATCGGTGTCGTCGCATTCTTTGCACATCCACTTGTTCGAGTACTCGCGGAAGCGCTCGTCAGCCATTTCCTCGTCATAGCGGTTGACGTCCATGGCGTACTGCGACAAGGGTGGTAAATGGTGGTAGTGCCATGCTCGCGAGCACTTGGTGCAGCGGAAGAGCACGTTGTGTGGGTTGTTGATAAGTTTGGAAGGTACGTCAGTGATTGGATCGTCGCCGCCATTCTCTTCTCGCTCCTTCATCTCTTGCTGAGTAGTCTTGCGATGCCTGAAAGGTCTGCAGGAATCGCCGTTCTTGCCACAGTCCTGACATCTGGCCAAATTGGGCGCAAAGCGGTCCCTCTTCCGGTAGACGTTGACACATCGCTTGCACTGCAGGACGAACCGCTCATCGCCGACTTTAGTGACGAGATGCTCACGAGTGCTTCGAGTGCCCAAGCAGTTTTTGTGATATGCGAGTGAACATCCTTGGCAGTAGATGAGGGGAGCGACGTTCGGCCCATCATAGCACACTTCGCAGCCTTCAACGTGACGGGAGCGGAACAAGTCGCTTCGAGGTAATGTCTCGAAGACCTCCCGGACTGCCTTGGCCTGCGGCACGGAGGTCCTTGCTGTAGAGTCTGAGCGATAGATGTCGTTCTCGCCCGCCTCCTCCATGTTGTTCGTGGCGCGTGTAGATCGCTCGGACTGACGAGCACCGATGCGCTGGGCCTTCTCAGGCCTGAATGCACGGAGACCTTGCCTCTTGCGTTTGTGGCCAGGTAGGATATCTGAACGAATGATGTTGTCCGAGTTGCTGGTGTCTTTCTCGTCATCCTCGCTCTCTTCATCATCGGTGGCTTGAACAGGTACCGGCTGTCTGGTAGAACGACGCGTAGGTTCCAACGCCCTCGTCTTCCTCCCTCTGCGCTTCCTGCCCGTATCCTCGCTGTCTTCGTCACTGCTTGTGAGCTCGTTGGGGTCGCTGAGGCGTGACCGACTCCTTGATTCGCGCCCACTGTTCCTCGCGCCCCTGGCCAGCTCGCTCACCCGCCCATTGCGGAGCCTTCGGCTGGGTGCGAGCTCGTCTTCGTCGATGTCGTCTTCCTCCGAGGAAGAGATACCAATCGTGGTGATATCCACGAAATCGTCGTTGTTCGCGCTTGAGGTCTTGCCGCGGAGCCTCATGTCGTCAGAGCTAGGAGAAGATGCATCGTCGTATTGCTGGTGGTTGTTGAGTGCTGCTGGGCCACCTGGAAGCTCGAGAAGTTCTTCAAAGTTGATCTATGGCGCAATGAGAAACGTTCAACGGGAGGGTCGTGGCTGAGAGTTGGAGGGTTGGAGCTTGGCGGGTATGGTGTAGACGACCCCAAAGCCGCGGACAGAGTGTTCGCTCCTTTACCTCCTCGCGGAAAGCTCACTCACCACTTCCCTCAATCACCGGGTTGCAGCCATCTCACTTACCTCTCTAGTCCCACCTCCCACAAGCTTGACCTCATACGCGATGTCACCCCGCGTCGAACACTCGCGCACGATACTTTCCACCTCATCTTGTGGCTCGTAGTAGATGTATTCGCTCTTGTTCCGTACAGGCTTTGGTCGAATCTGGAGTAGTCTCCTAGCCTTTGGCAGCGGTTTGGCATTGATAACATCTTCGCCGAAACTGGAGTCGGACAGGAAGCTCTCCACAGCGATCGAGGCGCGTTTTCTGGGCGGCGAGCGTCGTGCAGGCGACCTTTGTGGCGTTGAGCGGCGCGAGACGGGGGTGGCACTTGTAGACGTGCGGCTGTTCGCGCCGGATCTCGTCGTGCCTGCTTTTCGAAAAGCTGCCATGAGCTGGGTAGTATCGTCGTCTGGGCCCATTTTGGCGACTCGGAAACGGGATGCGACGCGTGCTCGAGGATATGTCCGGGTATCGCAAGCTTATGAACTGAGGGGTGGTTTGCAACTGCCAAAGAAGGTAAAAATGTATGGTCCTGTGTTTTACATAGCCGAGATAACGTTGCATTAAGTCGCGTTGCGAGTCCGGCCGACTTGGAAGAGGGCAATGACGCAACGGTCGCGTGTGTGAAGTTGACTTGATCGTCGTCGGATGTTGGTTGCGGCGGTACACGTTGACGCGTGATGGCGCGAATGCAACCAGTACGGCGGGCCATTCATCACCAAAAGTTGGCGAAACTTCAGACGAATGTGAATGCAAGTCCCTGTCGCAAACCAGGGCAAATACTGCCCAAACCCCTGCTGTCTCCAAAAAATTTCCTCAATGCCGTACCCTTTTATGCTGAGTAGTGCGCTGCTACGAACCCAACGAACTGCCCTCCCCCGCACATTCTGCCGCTACAAGTCCATCACCGCGGCCATCGAGAAGGGCAGAGGCAGTGGCCCAGACCGCTTCTCAGGACCACGGTCGAGCAGTCGCACGCGCGTAAGCTTTCACGATGAGCACGTGACGTCTTCGCGCGGGGAGCGGGCAGAAGGAGGCAGGTCACGCCCGTCACGCAGCAAGTCTTCGATAGGAGCACGGCGCAGAAGATGGGAGGATGAAGGTGTTGCGCCTAGACGGAAAGAGCTGCGGAAAAGCGGTGGAAGGTCGGATGAATCTGCTGTTGATGGTCGCATGAGGGGGCAGGATAGCGAGAGGCCTTGGTATGAGCGGTCACCTGGCACAGACAGGCCTAGACGGTTTGAGGACAGACAAGAGCGACCAGGAGGCCGGGATACAGGGAGCGAGCGAAGAGAAGCGCCTCGACGCGGCCGTGAAGACTTCGAGAAAGGCGACAGACCGCAACGCAGGACAGAAAGGACACTCGACCGCAGTGACCGATCGGACGACCGCCGGCCCACAAGAGGCTTCGACCGTGACGACCGACGCTCCCCCCGCAACGACCGCGACTCCAGAACGTCACAGTCAGACCGCGCAGAACGGCCCGACCGTTTCTCCCGCGACTCCGCGCGGGAAAATCGCTCCTCGATCCCCTCACGTGCCTCCCCCCGCGAGCGCGCCCCCGACTCCCTCCCCTACACCACCGCCGCCAGCGAATTCATCTACGGCTACGCCTCCGTGCTCGCCGCCATCCGCGCCAACCGCCGGCAATTCTACAAACTCTACGTCAACAGCCGGGGCCTGAACCGGGACATCCTCCTCGCGCGCGCCAAAGCCTCGAATCTGCGCCAGATAACACGCGAAGTAGGGGACCAATATGACCGCGCTTTCGACAAAGCATCCTCCGGCCGCCCACACAACGGCTTCGTCCTCGAAGCCTCGCCGCTGCCTGTCCCACCCATCGCCGAACTGAAAGAGTGCTCGCGGGAAGAGGGCAAGTTCGACGTCGTACTCGGCCATCAGACCAAAGAAGAAGTCGCCGTAAATGGCTCCCGCACCTCCTACGCCTACAAATCCTCGTCGTGGCGCTACCCACTGATCCTCTACCTCGACGGCGTACTAGACGAAGGAAATCTCGGCGCCATCGCACGGAGCGCCTACTTTCTCGGCGTTGAGGCTATTGTTACACCGACGAGACAGAGTGCACCGTGGAGCCATATCGCGGTCAAAGCGAGTGCCGGGGCCGCGGAGGCGATTCCTATTTTCAAGGTTGCGGAGCCGAGTGAGTTTTTGGGCAAGGCGAGCAGGAATGGGTGGCGATGCTATGCAGCCGATGCGATACCGACAGCGAAGGGCGCGGAGAAGGGCGCGGAGAAGGGCGCGGAGAAGGACGCAGAAGCTGGGAACACGTCTGACATCGTCTACACTCTGGCAAGGTCTTCAAAACGGTTGACGGAGCACAGTCCGGTTGCGGAGCATCCTACGATATTGATGATGGGCGCTGAAGGCACAGGGCTCAAGTCCAGCTTGCTCAACATTGCGCATTACAAGGTCGGCATCAAGCACGGACGGGAGGTTGACGAAGTTGGCGTGGACAGTCTTAACGTGAGTGTGGCGGCGAGCTTGCTGTGTCACGACATGTTGAAGCGCAACAAGGTTGTTGAGCGGGACCCTGAGAATGTTGTCTTTTAGATGGCCAGCGAAGATGTTGTATGATAGAGTGTTCAACTTGCGAGCCCTCAGCCCGGGCAAGCATTGAGCGGACGAGAACCCATCAAGCGCAATCCAGTGAGTATATAACCCCACTCGAGCCCCCAGCTCTTCTCTTCCTCTTTCCCTTGCTCGTCTTTTTGTTTGAATTAAAGCAGACTTTGCCGGTTGTGCAACGGTGTAGGTACCACTTCTCCCTTCTACTTCCACTCACGTCTTCACAAAATTGTCCATCCATATTCTGAAAACTTGAGCTGCTTTCCGTTAAACAAAAACCGAGGGTGAAGGTGACGATGTCTTGTTGTGGCGCCAAAAGCTGCACCCAGCAAGAGATTTGTTCGAGCTGCGGCTTCCGACAAAGAAAATACAGAGGGAGTTCGTGTCCACGTTGCAAAAACTATTCCTCCATGACTTGTGAAAGTATCTATAAGAGAGTCGTCCGCTCTGCTGCTTCTCGTCAAGAATCTATCCAATCACTTCCGAGATCATCATGCAGGCCGCTCATGTGCCGGCCTTCAGGGCTCTTTTAATAAATGGAAACGGGTTAATATTGGTCGAGACTGTCTGATTTGACCTGTGTAGCCAAAGATGGAGACTGAAAAGTGTATATAGACTCTTCATCTATGCGTTTTGCAATCCACCACGGCGCCGTTCCTATCTTTTGAACATTCACATGTGCCTGCTTTGCTGAAGACAAATACCCTTCACCATCTTCACGTGCGGGGATCCCTGCTGTCATGGCAGCTTGTGTACATAGCAGCATCCAACGTTACTGGCACTGAACGAGCTTTATGGGCCATTGCAAACGGGCAGCAAAAATGTATGGGGTTGTTTTGTGAGGCTGCAGTTGTGGAGATTGAGTTTGTTCCTAACACCGTATCGATTGACCGAACATGACGTCAATTGCCTAATTTTGTAAGCTCCCCAACCTTTGGAAGTGACCGTCCAGAACAATACAGACAACGCAAACAGTAGCAAACAGTCTTCCCATCGTGAAGTGCTCGGTCCGCTTTGTCCCGAACCGTTTGGTGCCTGGTGTACGCACCATTCGTGGGCGTGAGATTATCCGCACATTATCCCCGCAACTATACGCAATGCGGTTGGTAGTTCACTCCACATGGGGAACAATGTCCCCATACCCCAGATATCCAGGTGGGTCGGTGAAGAGGTGAGCGAGATCATCACAAAGATCGGATTCGTATATAATCTTGGCATGCAGGCGGCTCAACTGCTTATTGCCTGTTAAGCTTCGCCCCCGGACAACCGTCTCAAGATGCGCTTCGACATCCTGTTGCTCCTTCTCACCTCGTTGAAACTTGTCTCCGCGCGACTCACCGCCAACGAGACCTCGGCGTACCTGCAACTCGAAAATGACAGGTTTTTCGTCTCAGTGAACAAGACAACCGGTGGTATCGACACCCTAGTCCTCGATGGACAAGACTTGCTTGGCTCTGCAGCCTACATTCCATATTCGCCTGGAGGCTCTTCGGGTAATGGGAGGTATGGTGTGGGCCCATATCTTGACTGCTACTGTATCCCAGCCACCGGCCCATCAAGCACTGGATCGGGCTCATACACACCTGGTTCGATCGATCCCACGTACCAACTCTTCCGGGGTGTCGATACTCATAATGTCTCCTATGGTGGTGTTTTGATGAGTGAAGTGTATCCACCTACCGGCCAGGTTCTGCAACAATACTGGTTTCTCCGTGACGGGGAGACTGGCTTGCATACATTCAGTCGCATCGCATATCACAATTCTACCACGCCCTTCCTGCGCAACTTGCAGGAATTTAGAACACTCTTCCGGCCCAGCACAGAGCTCTGGACCGATCTCATCACTAACGAAGATCTTGCCTCGCCTATGCCGATCCCCAACCCTGCCACTGGCAACCTAACGAACGCGACTACCGTTCAGGATGCGACTTGGTACATCGGCAATCGTACAGATGATCCGTATGTGGATGCATTCGCGGATTACTTCACCAAATACACATTCGCTGCAGAGTGGCGCGACCTGACCGCTCATGGCCTGTTTGCAGACGGCTCGCAAAGCAAAGACAACTCCACTTTCGGCGCCTGGCTAGTGATGAACACCAAAGACACGTACTATGGCGGGCCTACTCACTCAGACCTGGTGGTGGACGGCATCATCTATAATTACATGGTCTCGAATCATCACGGTGCGGGCACGCCCAACATAACCGACGGCTTCGATCGAACGTTCGGACCCCAGTACTACCACTTCAACAAGGGGCCCGCTGGTAGTTCGTGGAAAACGCTATATGATGAAGCCGTCCAGTATGCATCTTCGTCTTGGAACGCCGACTTCTACGACACCATCGCAGAACATATTCCAAACTACGTGCCTACGTCGCAGCGAGGAGCGTGGAAGGCCAAGGTCCAGCTGCCCGAAGGCGCGAAGAATGCAATTGCAGTGCTCTCCCAGAACGGTGTAGATTATCAGGACAACGTGATCGACCCGTTGACTTACCAATACTGGGCTGACATCGACAGCAACGGCACAGTAGAAATCGATCGCGTGGCAGTGGGCACGTACCGGGTGACAGTGTACGCTGACGGCATTTTCGGCGACTTCATAGAGGATGATATAGTCATCAAAGCCGGACAGACGACAAACTACGGCACACTGTCATGGGAGGCGGAGTCCGCAGGAACCGAGCTCTGGCGCATCGGTGCCCCAGACAAGTCAGGTGGAGAGTGGCGCCACGGAGGAGTACCTTCCAACACTTCGCTTCATCCTCCGGAATACCGCATTTACTGGGGCGCATACGACTACCTTTCCGACTTCCCGGATGGCGTGAGTTTTCAAGTCGGCAAAAGTGATACATACAAGGACTTCAACTACGTGCATTGGTCCGTGTTTGGTGGATATGCAAACTCAAGGAGGCCACAACAGGTCGCAGGGCATGGCGAGATCAACAACTGGACCATTACGTTCGATGTCAATCAGCATGATTTGGCACACAAGAAGGATGCAACATTCACGATTCAGTTGGCGGGGGCTAAGACGGCCGCTGGCAATACCGACACGTTCAATGTTACACAACCTTGGAACAACGTACCGTATGTCGTTGTGGTAAATGGGCACGAATTGGAGCCATGGATTATCCCGTGAGTTGATATCATGCTTCAGACTGAGAGGCACGATGCTAATGTCTTTGAAGCTACAACCAGTCTTCTTCGTGCGCTACCCGAAGCGCCGTCACTTGTTACACATTGAGGCACAAGTTCCTGTTCCCAACAAGCTATCTAAGCAGCAACATCACTAACCAGTTCGTGTTGAGCCTTCCGTATAACGCTACGGACTACGAGAGTGCGCTGTTGCCGAGGAGTATCTATGTACAGTATGACGCCCTGAGGTTGGAAGTCAAGTAAAGTATAGCTGCATGTATTCAATAATATACTGCGATCACTTCAAGGGCCGTCACTTCTGGGAGGGCTAGTATTCTGATGTCGTGACCAGGTCGTTCCCAGGCTGAAACTGCTGTCGAGAAGTTCTCCTCTGTTGAGCCCCATGCTCCACCTGCGTACGGAAATGACACGGTCACCGCGGCACTGACCTTCAAGCGCGTGAGGAGAGGAAGTAAAGTCATAGATTCTTCTAGCCCCATCTGTATTTGCTCAACAAGTCTCTTCTGCTCTAATCACCACGTAATTCCAAAGCAAATCCGTCACGGCTGGTGGCGGGTTGATTGAAATGCGCCTGCTTGTTCGATCCTGCTTGTGATCTTTGAGCCCCAGACTTCTGGAGGGCGTATTCTGCACGACCACCAATGTCTAAGGCCTGTTCCAGATTGTCAATGCATCAAACGTAAATACAGGTTGACGATTTCGCCGCCAGTGCAGCATTTTCCTTATTCAAATGAAGTCAACTTCGTTCCGTGATCAGGAGCTCCGCTTTGACTTTTCCTGACTTCACTTTATGTTGGGAGAATACCAGCATGGTGCTGATGAAGCAAAAATGGCTTACATTGCTCGCGTGCCCTCAGACACGACTCTGTCGCGACTAAGATGAAGGAATCGTGTACTGAAGAAATCAATTCATCTGACTATGCTCGCTTACATGGTATATTAAACCGATTGGAGCGTTCGATATTTCTTCCGCAATGTCCTCTCTATCATTTCCAAACTGGCGTAGTGCGTGGCAATGTTTGCCGGCAAAGGACTCTAAACTTTAATACCTCTTTACCCATGCGTGGCGGAAGCCGAAAACTAAACTCTTCTGGTAAATGTCTGGGCTCGATTATATTCAAGGTAATACAAAAAACAGAACGCTTGCTGGTACGTAGCTTGTAGCAAGTGATGGCCCAGAGCGACGCACAAAAACGGTGACTCGTTGACGCATGTCTTCTCATTCGCAACTATTACAGACTTACTCGAAACAAAGAACGCTTGATCAAATGTCGACTGGCATGCCGAGAGCACGTATTTAGCCATCTCTTCAGGCTTGTCTTTCTTGGTCTCTTGAAATGCTCTGCTGAGCGCTCGACAGGAAGTACCGCAAACACATGTACTTGGCCTGCAATCAAGCGAGAATAAAGCTGTGCATGATATCCAAAAGACTGGTAGAAGACCATGGTGTTTGAATTTGCCTGAAGTGAAAGACTCAATAAAATCTGCACTCAGGCGTTGCCATGGGAGTTTATTTGGCCAAGGAAACAAAAGGCCAGAAATGGAAGTCGCCGAGCTACATACCTTTGAGTACTGTGTGACGGTTGAGCATGTCAAAAAGATCAGAGATGCTTGCCATGTTCTTTGGCAATTTTGTGCCCTCAAAATTCGGAAAACCAGAAAGCATGGTGTTTCGAGGCGTTTCAACGCTGTCGAAACTATGCGAATACCTACTTGCTTTGCTCTCTTCTTGTCTTACTCCACTCTTCTACGTCTTGAAAAGTTGGTGGGAGTAGTGCATGCGATAGGGCTTTCAGCTCTGTGACCATGTGACTGTGTCCAACGAGTCTATGAACGAATCACAGTCTCAGCTTTTCGCTTCTTCACTGTCGTTTATCTAACTTTGAATCCGAAATGGCCCAATTAGCTTTCGATGTCTCGTCTCCGCCAACATGCCAGATCTCAGGTCAGATCTCTGGATGTTCAAATTTATCCTGCCAACTCAGTGAACAAGAGTCGCGTCAAGACACTATCATGTGCACTACCATTGCCTGCGCTCTGGGACAATGAAAGGAACGCCAGGGCTTACGATATTTTCCAAGCCTTGCGCGTACTTCAAGAGCTCAAAATGCTGAAGCACCGTTGATATTTACAGGCTGGGATTTGAGGTCTTCCAACTTCGAAGACACTATTTCCAGTCAGCAGGCTCGTTGTGCGCTATCCAAACTTATTCCCAAGGCCTTTATTGGGTTCTCTGCACAAATACACAGTATAGAAGCTTCCCAAACCTGCTATTTCTTCCTCATCATCACAGCCTCTCGACATCATCAAAATGGACAACAACAAGATTCAATGTGCCTGTCGGTCAATTATTATGTTGTTGGTTTCGAGCGCCAGACCAATGGCAGCCACTTCCAGTGTGAGCAGCAAGGGGCTAGCACCTACATGCCGCGCCTTGACATCCAAAGTTTCTCCCGATAACCTTGACTCTCTTTCTTTTTACCGAAACAGGCGATGTGGTATTTGATGTGCCTTTTCGTGAAAGTCCGCAACAAATGGCATGTCTTCTTATGTCCTGGGGGGATAGAAATGCCACAGCCAGGAACACTGTGAGCACCATGGTATGTTCGGTGTGAGAACAGGCCCTGAACTCTTTGAATTGAGCTTTCGATCCCAAAAAGCTTGAAGCAAGGATGGCCTTTGGCCTTCCCCGGTTCGTCTATGGCTCTTAAAGCCTTGTGCTCGATATGAAACGTAGGTAGATTCACACTCGTCATGCAGTCGACGAACCTGTTGTTTCTTTGGATGCCCTAGTGCTTGTAGAGGTGTAGTCCATCATCAAGCGGATGCAGGGTGCGTGCGGGAGGGAGGGGGAGCCAATGCACACCCATGTACCCCGGACTTCAACAACCGCGCTGCCCTGCTGTACGGTGCGCGCCGCTGTGGTTGTTGTGTCGTGTGCTGGCTTGATACATGCAACTCTGTGGTCTTGGTTGATTGCTAATGATGGAAGGCCGACAATACTGCTCAAATGGACTCTGGATTGCGAAAGATGGGTCTTTCGCGATGGTGGAATATGTCCTTCAAGAGGTAGCTTGTATACGGTCTCGAAAGTAAGGTCCTCCAAACCATGAAATCGATACGAGTCTGCAGCCACAGTCTCAGACACAAGCGCAGCGTATGGGTGTCGCACCTCACGCACCCCGCCTCAACACATGCACTCCATAAGCTGTGTAGTCTTCTCACCCAATCATCTTGCGCAGCTTATCAGTGTGCTCAAACACGAGCCAATCAGCAAAATGACGCCTTTGAGAGAGGCTGCTGCGACGCAAGCGTTCCCCGCATCCTGCGTACATCCTACTCGGCTGTATCGCTGCCGTTTAGTGGCGGTGAACGTGCTCTTATCTTGTTGTCTGAATGGGATTTGTTGGTGGATGGCACCTACCAAGGTAGGCAGCTGTCAATACTGCGAACAATAAACGCGCTGTAAGCACGTCGACACCGTCAGCGAAACACCCAAGACAGCAGTCGTGCAATATAGCGTGGTAATGAGAGTGTGAAATCGATGTCCGCGAACGACATTCGTGGTGTTTTGGAGGTGATCCACACTACGATCCGCTGGCGTGATGCAAGGAAAACCATCGTTCCAGCATGGCATTTGCGACCCCACGTGTTCGCGCGAAGACGTGCCCACTTCGCGCATCTCACAGCTGGTGGTGTGCTTATGGCTGGGAGGTCTGGTGACCGCTCAAAAGATATCTTTCGAGGCGTGATCGCTCAAAGAGGACTGTCGCAACCCCCAACAGCGTCGCGGTACTTCCCATTTCGTACCTTGATCACAAAATGGGGCTGGCATGTTACGCAGAACACAGTGTGACAGTCTGAGTTGTTCATGTGGATTTGTGGGGTTGCAGGATTCTCTGCGACTCACGAGACTCGAGAAAAAGAAAGTGAGGTTTTGTAGGACCTTGAAATGAGTGGGTGAGTTGGCGGCAAGGCTGGGATGTTGCCTGGTTGTAATTTCGAGGCCATGGTGAGATCGGAGATGTGCGCGATGTGCGCACGGTTGGTGCGCGCCACAAAGTTTGGCAACGGCGTCAACAAAACCACAACAACGGCAGGAGCAACTGGCAGGCGCAACCACGAAGCACCAAACAATTGACCAAACCCGGTGTTCACGAGCACGCAGAGCGCGATTTATGTAGTCTACAACATTGCGTTACGCGCTATCAACGGCACGCGAAAAAAACGTCCAAGCGGTGAGGCCGCGGGATGTTATTCCCTAGCGGCAACTGGCGCCTCGACCCCCATGCCGTCATGATTCTCTTGTCTCCATGGGACCATGACATGGGTAGCGCAAAACCCAGCTTGCCGTACCAATACTCAAGCTTTTCCACGCTCCATCCCCCGAGCCGCCTACATATTGCTCCCAGCATGCATCTGCGCGCCTCCGCTCTGTAACCTGCTCCTCTCCGGCAGGTTCTCACGGATCCCAGAGGATTTACAGACCGCCTCGGCATCCCGAAGCGTCGCGCCCCGCCTCGTTGCCTTGCTGCTTGCGTGACTTCTGCACAAGCGATCATCGCCAAACCGAAAGCAAGCAGCGTGTTTGGCCCAGCCAGAGATAGCTATCACGCACACCTTTTCTACCACCAACCGCGCCCCTCGAAAGCTTCCCATCGCCCTGAGCAAGGAGATATACACCTCGAGGCATCATGACGCGCAGGAGTGTCTACGCTGTGGGCCTTGTGTTCACGCTGGTCTGTACTGCGATGACAGTCGCCAGTATCGCCATGCCGAGATGGGTGTCTTACCGCCCTGTAAGCTGCCTCTTTTCCACCGCCATGATTACCCACTAACAGTGCATTGTAGAACGGCGAAAGAGAATACTCGTACGGCCTCCACTCGCGCTGCTCCGCCAAAACAGGCCACTGTGTCCCCTTCCCTCGCACCTCCGACTGTGGCAAAGATGCCTCCTTCTGCAACATGTGGCGCACCGTTGGCTTCTTGATGAGCTTTGGCGTAGTCGTTGAGCTGTGCACGCTGGTCAGCTTCGTGGTCATCGTGTCTGGCGGCGTGCAGAGGAGGGTGCAGGGCTGGGGCGTCGTAGTGGGTGTGTTGATATTCAGCGCCATCATTCAAGGCGCTGGTATGGCTATTGTGGTACGCTCTTCTCCATTTCTCTGGATTTGAGGTGATTGGGTGCTAACGTGGCGCAGTCATACGTCTTCGATCACGATGCACGATTCTTCTCCGGATTCCACCTCGATTCCTCCTGGTCTATGTGCACCGCATCCTGGACACTCCTCGTCGCCACAGCGCTGGGCATCACAGCATCAGCATACTACCTGCCAGCAGAGGGCGACTACGAGCTCATCCCAGAAATGGACATTGAGCCAGACGACCAGTGAGTGCACCATCGCCACAGATTAGAGCTCTCTAACGACAAGCAGGCTACTCTCGCGTGTTGCAGCCTGGGATAACGGCTACAAACACATCGGTTTCCAATACCAAAACGAACCCCCGGAACGAGATCCAGATATGATGAGCATTGCTTCCTTCCAGAGCAGACAGAGCATATCGAATTCTGTACGGTCGCCTTCGATGTCGCGTCCAACCCGGTAGTCGATCTACCCTCCTCACGACCACACCCTTCACGGTCGATGAGCGATGATATCCTTTGCATGAGAGTGTAATGGCGGTGTTTTGGCATAGCGGCGAAATGACTGCGTTTTGAGCGTTGTTTGGCGCTGGTGCGTTTCGTTTGAGTGAATGATGCGGCATATCTTTTATTGTTATGTGTAGCTTTCGCGCTCTTGCTTCCTAATGATACCCCTCTGCTACTCATTCTGGTGGTTTTGGGCGAGTGACTTCTGGTTGGTACGTACTATGAGCGTGGAATTTGCAATCGACAACTGTCTCGACACACAACCACCTGTCATTTCAAAGCGCTCGAAGTTTTATTACATTAACAACAAGATGCAGTTTTCACGTGCTGTAGGGAGCCTTTCTCCATCATAAGTTTGACTGACAGGAAGTACACTGCATACCAGGAATATGATCCCATCCTCTCGACTTTTTGGATCATGACAGATCATACACCACATCTGACAAGGAAAACATGATACTGATGTCCGACACAAGACGAGCACCTCGGCATTCCTTACTCAGCCATGACATTTCGATATAGATCAACAAAGCAGTCGCGGCCCTAACATTTGCGCGTCCGAAGTCGCCTTTAAGCACTTTCACAATCAGCACATACGAGTTTTATGAGATGATTTCAGGAGCCGGAAATTCCAAAAATGGAGTGTAAAGGAAGAGATGGCCATACACGGTAACCTATGCCTCAGACTCTTGCCCGACGACCATAGAAATACGTGAATATAATCTCGAGCAATGCACAGCAAGGAGCGACACGGGATCTGGCTTCTTGACTCTCGCTTTTCTGATAGAGTCTGTCTAGCTTCAGGGACAGACATCGAGCTTCCCCTCGGGCCATTGACTGAGTAGTAACTCGCCATCAGTGTTCAGACATTGGGCACCAGATGTGACAATATGGTCAACTGCTGAAGCGGCGCAGATGAATTTTTTGGTTTCTTTCTTTTAGGGTTTAAAAAAGAGGGCCTTAGAGATGGAAAAATCAGCATCCAGTGCCCAAAAGCACACAACGAACTCCCAGACATATAAATGCCCGACCTACTTTTGTACCGAGCGAAATGGAAGACAGTGCACCCACGTGAAACCGGGCAGGTCCTCTTTTTCGGTACCTTTTCGAGAACGGGACATGAGGAGATACGCTACGGGTTTTCGGATCAGAAATACGGAAATGGAGGGCGTTAGGAGAGGGTTTGAACAAGACGAAGGGTCGAATATCTACTCCGTTCCAGAAGATCGCGACCTTGAGCGGAGTTGAGGTCTGTTTTGGACTAATAGCAGCGAGGAGCCACGCAGGACATGCCGTGCAGATAAATGCGTGTTTCAGCTGTTCAACCGGACCAGGTTTGTGAAAGGTCGTTTGGCTTCGTCCAAGGTGCTTTGGCATTTTCGAAACCTGTCCGGGCACCAACATCGCAGTACGGCACTGAACTATGATTTTCCAGAGCTGGCGGATGAACAATTCGATAAGCACTTTTGGGTCTTTGAACAGACAGTGCGATGGAGAGGTGCATGTCCCAGGGTGCTGAGAAGGGTTATATTCCGTCAGCCTTACGCAGCCTAGACAGCGTGCTCTAATCATCACTGACGAGTCCTCACAGAGACTCTTGCACACCGAATACCACAGCAATGGACAAATCTGTGGTGCACGCCATGCAATCATTAGATGAATTGCTGAGTCTCCCGCTCATGACGTTGCGCTGGAACGTGGACAAGGGCTCAACACATAGCACAATCACATACGAGTCTTCGAACATTCACGCGCAGCAATTGACGTTAGACATACGCTCGAGCCTGGCCAATTTTGAGGCTTCAGAGAGGGAAAGATAGCTCCAGCATGAAAGCAGTTCGACGACGTTTTGTCGAATGTCTCCTGGACTGGCACACGAAGTTCTCGACGTCTTGTAAGAGAAAAAAAAATTGGAGGGTAGGTATGAATGCAAAGGCGCCCCTGCTCAACAAATACGATGTTCAGAGGTTGTAGTTTCTGATGATGCACAGCAATAAGCCACACAGAGCATTGCTTATCCGACATAGTGTTCTAAAAACAATCTGATACCGCACCCAGAGTGGTCATTGTCTGTTTTGGAAAAACTTTGTCCTTGATATTGCGCAGACATCAACGATTGGTGGTGGCGTTTTGATTAATCTTCGGCACATCAAACCGAGGAGTATATATACCTGTGGTTGCCACAGGCATTGCGCAGAAGACTGTGACAATGGGCAGTGGCGGCAGAGAACATAGAGCACAGGCTGTACATTTTCGGATCTGAAGACACTCCAACTTTAATAGATAACATTCAGGCCGGCACTGTGCGTTCGCATACCACTACATTCTAGTGCAAGAAATGAGGGTCATGGTTTTTGAAGAAGTTGTAATTTGTGTGAGAGACAAGTATTGATCTTAACATGCGTTGTACCTCAATCTGTTTTTGACTGTCTCGCAAAAGAAACATAGGCTGCCTCTACGTGCGTTTCTAGAGCTTGGGAAAGGTGACGTCCAAAGAATCTAAATGTTTTCCCGCACTCCAGCATCTTGGTCGTCTCTACTTCGCCATATCGCAGAGAAGCCACATAGCAACCCTATCGTCTCACTTCTTGACCAGGCAATGAAGGACAGATAGAGAACTTCGATTTGTTTTCAAACGCAGAAGCGCGGTCGCAACGTCCAAGTTGTGATTATCTCTTTGTAGGGCTTGCAGCGCCCGCACATGTCTCGCTTGCCACCATCTTTTCGAAGCTCTGTAGAGCGAGATAGTAAAACAAGAGAAGTAAGCTGTAAGATACGTATACTCCTGAGTATGACCCAAACACATAGAACTCACGCCACACTTATTCGAGGTTATATTCTTTTCGCAAAGATCCGTGACACAAGACATGGTGCAGTGTAATTTCCCTTTAGGTTGTGTACAGGATCATACTTTGGAAGGATCATACATTCAAGCTTGATGTTCTTTCTACTTTGTTGCAGCCCGCATTGAGTGGAACTACAGACGACAGCCGGCTTCAAGCTTTTCGACTTCACTCAATGCTGACACATACAGCGTGCATATCTCAGCTTTTGGTAGGATCGAATTGTCGCGCAGTAGAGGAGTAAAGTCACAATTATCAAAAGAAAACAAAAAAAAACAAAAAAAACACATGTACCGTCAGTGTTCACGGAGCATTGTGCTAGACTGAATTGTGTGCAGCAGCTTGAAGATGTCACAGAGCCGAATACTCGAGCTCCTGCTACCAAAGATATAGTGCATATCTACGACTGTTTCGAAGGTCGGGCAATCTTCCATCAAAATGCGTGAGGTCAGCTTTCGAAAGATTTTTTCGTCTCTTAGAAGCAGACAGCTCTAAAAACAGATAATCGAGTTGGGAGTTTGGTTATCGCGCAGACAAAAAACATTTGCCGTGTAGGAATACTCGGTTGCGTCGTAAAGGATTGGATGGGAGAGAGTATATATATGCCCTCGCTTACTTCTTTATGGCAATTATGTCAAGGACGGTAAGTAGTTGGAAGAAAAGTGAGTTTGAATGCAGGGCAGGTACAAAGGTTGCAGTAGAGAGGTGACAGAAAAGTGTAGGATGATTCCATGGCTCCTTGGTCGGATCTCCATCCGCCCCTACTCTACTCTGGGTATCAATAACTTCTCATCTCACACCTCACCCTCCTCATCTCCCATTCCCCATCGCCAACTTCCGATTCCTCTTCACAAGCGCCCCCAACTTCCTCTCCAACACCTCTTGCTCCCGCCTCGCACTAACCATCGCAGCCTCCGCCTCTTCCAGACTCAACAAACAGCTTCTCTCGATCTGTCTCCCACCCGCCGAACCACCAACGCTCCCTCCCTTCACCAATCCCTCCGGCCAATGCTCCACCTTCTTCAACTCTTCCAACATCCTCCTCACATTCGCATCCGCATGGTCCAGTGTATTCATACCTAGCCCGGCGCCGACTAGGCCTTCGAGCCCGCGCACGAATACGCCGCCGGATTTATCGCCCACCATACTTGCTAAGCCGTCGAGTTCTGTAGACCCAACGGCCCCGCCTTCGACCACCGCGCGCGCTGCTTTTTCAAACCGCCCGGCTTGCACAGAGATAGACGAAGTGCCCGACCCCGGAGCGCCGCCGACAGCAGCCATTTCTGGGCGTGGGTGGTTGGGGGGCGGGTTATCTGTGCGTGGGAGTACGAATTGATTGAGATATGCGCCGGCGTCTGCGGGGGTTTGCTGTTGCACGGGGGGCGAGTTTTGCGGGAAGTCATTGGGGTGGACAGGTGGTAACTGCTGCGAATAGGTATTGGGATCGAATTTGAGAGTGCTGGTTGGCGAGTTGGGGAGTTTCTTGCCGGCCTCCTTCAGCGCTGTAGCGATGGTGGGGAGCACGTCGGACGAGTTGTAGGGGCCGTTATAATGCTGGCTGGTGCGCGAGGACGGGTGATAGCGCAGGTAGCCGGTCAGTTGCTCTATCTGAGCCTCGAGTGAAAGGGCTTTCTCTTCGAGCTCGGTGGTCAGGCCCCAGAGGAATTTCCCGTTGGGCGTGATGAGTGTGCGGGAGTCGGGTTTGTCCTGAGGTCCATTGAGACGCACAGGCTTCTTCTTTGCGAGGGCGTCGAGGTCGGCTTCTGAGAAGTGAATTTTGAGGTCAGGGGGAGACGTTGGGTGGCCGGATTGCGTGGTTCTCGAACCGTGCGTTAGGGTTGATGAGAGCGGCTTGAAGAACTCGAGAGCTGATACGAGGATGTCGCCGGTCTTCTGGAGGCCACTGAGAACTGACTGTGCACTTGGCTCGCGCCTGTCCCTCGCCTCTTCGGGGTGGGTCTCTGGCTCTGGAGTTGCGCTTGCAGAATTGCGCGCAGACTGTACCTTGACAGAGACGACACTAGGTGTCTCCACTGGCTCGTCTTCCACGATCACACTCTTTGGTGACGCAGGTTGGCTCTTCGCAGCAGCGGTCATAGCAGCGACTGGCTTGGGAGTTATGGATGGCTTCTTGGCTTTCTTCTTGCGGCCAATGATAGGTGCCTGCACCACCTCGACATCAGACCCATTCTCTGCCACCTCCTTCTCTTCCTCCTGTCGCTTACGCTCTTGTCTATTCTTCTTAGCTTGCGCTTTGGTGATTTTCCTGACTGGCGCGGAGCCGACAATGCTGTTAGGAGGTGGAGAGTTAGCTCTTGAGATCATGCCTGATGTCATGGAGGCTGTATCGGAGATCAACTCGCTGGCTGGCGTGCCAGGCTGATTCAAAGAAGCAATACTCGCCTGTCTCGACCTCAGCTTGTCCATCGTAGGAATCTGAGGAAGAGGTGGTGTCGGCGCAGCCACGGCGGGTGGCGTCTCAACCTTTGGTGTTGATACAAGTCGCAGTGTTCGGGGCGCGGCCGTGTGCTTGATGGGCGAAGGCGCAGCCGCTACAGCTGGACTTGCAGGTACTGAAGGAGTTGTAGTTGGAGGGATTGTGCGCACGCTCTTCGTCTGTGGCTCTGCCTTGCGCGCGGCCGCAGTAGGCATTGGCTCCTTATCGACCATCTTAGTGGTTGGGATGTCAAGCTTGCCAGGGTGCTGCCGTTTGGTGTTTGCGTTGGGGATTCCAGTAGCAATCGAAACGTCTGCGCTCTCCTTGGCGGGCACCTTCTGGCTGCTATCCTCTGACGCGGTCGCTGGCTTCTCAGCTCTGTCAGCCTTCTTACTGGCTGCCTTGCTCTTCGCTGTGGTCTTTGCAGGCGTTTCGGGGGTGGCCTTCTTGTCCTTCAATTCTGATTTCTTCGTCGATGCATCCACCGCTGTCTTGCTTGAGGCCTCAGTCACGGCTTGTACTTTGGCACTGGAAGCTTTGGTGGGCGACTTCGTCGGTGTCGCGGGTACTGCATTCGTGCTTGCGGCTGGCGCGGCATCGACCGTCTCGACAACTTTCACTGGCTGCTTTCCCTTCTTTGTCTTTGCAGGTGTCTCCGGTTTGACTGGCGCGACAGGTATCACAGGTACAGCAGGGACAATAGTGGATGAAGTGGTCCGCGACATTGGACGAGAGACGGCCTCCTCAGCGATTGCCCTGGGAATAGCCGGAGCGGTAAAGCCTGGCGGAATGGATGGCGTTGACCGTCGAGGCTGCTCGAAGAATTGTCCACCCAGTGGTGTGCCTAGCGGAGGACGCATGGGCTCGTTCTCGTCATCATTGACGAGTGCATCGACTTCGAGCGTAGCTTGCTCTTCATCAGCAAACGTTGTACCTATGTGCACAATAGTCAGCATTTGTTTCAGTCCTAGCCTGCAGTGGCAAGAAGAGGTAGCGGTCGACAACAACGACGGCGGTGACGGCAAACGGTAATAGTAGGCAACGCTGCAAAGCACTTAAGTACATCAAGTTGCAAAGGTAGTTCTCTCGAGCATCTTCGTCACTTCAAAGGCAGAAGGATTGTAAGGAAGCCATCTCTCTATTAGAAAGTAAGCATGCCGACTAGAGAGCGGCAGGAAGGGGACTTTACGTACATGCGATGGCAATGACGAAGATGACGAGAGAAGTTAACCGAGGCGTCTGGCGAAGCAGCATGTTCCACCCAAGTAAAGAAAGACATGAACAAGATGCGAGGTATTGAAAATCCATGAAATCGTGCCAAAGCCAATGACCTGTGCCCACGGCTGGCCGTTCATTTAACGCCGAGCAACTCAGTGCCTTTGCACTTGTTGATATGCCGATGCAGTGTTGCCAAGAACCCAAAACGCCGTGCGTCGTTGCCGCAAAGAGAAGTACTAAGACAGTATATCTGACCCAGTGGCCGACTAATTGAGTGAAAGAAGCGAAATGTCTACCACCGTCCGGCACCGCCGAAGTTGTTATTGTTCGCGTAAAGCGGAGAGAATCCGTTCTGGCCTTGGCCATACGGTCCCTGCCCAGCCATGTTCGCCTGGTGTAGCCTCGCCTGTAGAATACTCGGGTCTTGCATATCAGCCATACCGCCTCCTCCAGAGGAAGTTGTGTTGGCGTGGCGATGCTTCTTGCCCTTCTTCTTAGATTTCTGCGAACCAGACTCCTGGTAAGCGCCAGGCGAGGGTCCATAGGGGAAATTTAGCAGGCCAGGGGCAGGGGAGGTAGAGGTCGAGGGATGTTGATTGAGAAAAGAAGGAAACATTGACTCACGCTTACCAGAATCAGCCGTCCTAGCACCACCGTCCATGTTCCTGTTGCGGAGCAAATCCTGATACAGTTCGTTGGTGTTTCGGCCGGCTGCATTCGCACCGTAGGGCAGACCGCCAGTAGCGAAGCCATGACCCTGGGCAAACATGTTGGTACCGCCAACAGGTGGAGTGCTGGTGGGCTTCAAACCCGGAGGCGGTCCTTGCACGTTGGTGAAAAATTGTCCGCCCAGAGCTTGGTGCTGGGGCATCTGGCTGAACTGGTTCGCGTTCTTTGGCATCATCGAGTTTTGCTGGCTCATAATCTTCTGGCTTGCGACGGGCTGAACGTTTGCCGAGGCAGACGCGCTATCATTGGCAAAGCTGAAGCGAGACGTGTGCCTTGCGTGACCGGAAGCATTCGCCCCGAGATTTTGTTGGTTTTGGGTGTTTTGCAGGGTGGAAAGGAAAGCATTGGACTGAGGCCCAGACTTGAAGTTCGATAACAGAAGTTGCTGCTGTTGCGCTGGCGTCAGGGCACGGTTGTTCAAACCGAGGTTGCTGAAGTCGTCTGCCAGGGACGTGTTGCCAAACAGATTACCGCCGAAACCCTGCTGGCCTGGAGGAGCGATGGCGTGTTGATTCTGGTGGCTGGTGGCGGTTTCGTGGTTTCCCTCTGGCTCTCCGCCAAGTTGAAGGCTACCTCCAGCAGTCGTCTCATTCTCCTCAGGCTCTGCAACTGGAGCTGCTTGGGGCTGCGCAGCAGCCTTGGCCTCAGCTTCAGCCTCGCGCTGCTTCGACAGTTCCTGCTCTTTCTCCCTCATCGCACGTCGTTTGGCGCCTCCATTGGGATCCAGGAGCTGAGGGAACTCGACAATGGCCTTGAAATCTTCTTCCGAAAGCGCGGCGCTGGAGAAGACAAACTTGAAGTCCGAGTTGCAGATGGTCTTGAGGAGGCCTTCGAAACCGGTTACTTTTGGCTTAACGGGTGTGGGTTCTGGAGAGGCATCTTTCGACTTCTGTGCAGCCTTCTCCTTTGCCTTCTCTTTCTTCCTTTCCTCCTTTTTCTCCTCTTTCCTGGTCTTGGGCTTCGGTACCGGCTCCTCCACCTTGGGCGGCTCTTCCTTCTTCGGCGCCGGTGTTGGTGCTTTCGAAGCTTGCGCGGGAGTGGCATTTTGTACCATTGGGCTAGGATGCGATGCGATCGTTGAACGACTAGCACGACGCTCGAGGGCTGCTTTGCTCGCCCAGCCTGCGGTTGCCGGTAATCCTGGCGAGTCTTGCGTAGGGCTCGATTCTTCGTTGCTGTGCTGTCGACTCATCGGTGCGGCGGCGGTGGTGATGGCGGTGGTGACGGCGGCGGAGACAGGAGGTCCAGCGTGGGCGGGAGGCGCAGAGCGAGACGTCGATGATTGCGCAGGCTGCTGCGTCTGGATGGAATTCATCATCGATAGATCCTGTCGTGTGAAGCTTTCGTTGTCTTCACCGGGTTCGTGGAGGAACATGCAGTTGCGGTTGTTGCACTGCTCGCCGCGGAGGTAGGCTGAGCAGTACTTTGTCGTGCCGTATTGCGCCCTGTAACGAGTGAGCATGCTAGGTCAGAAGCGAGTTGACCATGCGTGGCGTACCTCAAGACCCTATCGCCGTTCTGCGAGCCATCGACCGCCGTGATGCAAGCCTCAGCATCTTCCTTGCGGGCGAAAGTGACGTATACACCGACGGACTGCTGGTGCTGGGCATTTTCGCGAGCCTTGCTGACGACAATCTTGATGATCTTGCCGTACTGGCCGAAGTAATCAGGACCGCGGAGCGTGTCGAGCAGCCGGTCTTCCCGTATCGTTGGTGTTAGACCGGTCACGTAGACGAGGTTCTTCTGGACGACACGCAGACCGGCGAGGTGCTTGCGGCTGAGGGAGTCGGCTTCAGCCTTCTGAGCCTCCTTCTGCCGTATCTGGGCGTTCTTCTTAGCTTTCTGCGCGATCTGCTGCTTGTGCTTGGCCATCCTGTACGATGTTAGGCGTGTCTAGGAGGACGGGCGCGGGGACCCACTCTTCGGGAGTGATGTTCTTGAACTCGATGGTCGAGTCGTCGTACGGACGGCGACAGGCGGGACACAGCCCGTTCATGGTTGTCTTGATGTTGTTGTAGCAGAACTGACATATCTGGCGTGGTATTAGTACAGGCGACTCGGCCTGGCTTGACCGTGACTTGGCCTTCGGCGTACTTGGTAGCCGCAGGGACACGGGCGGAAGTTTCTGTCCGACAGATCGAACTCCTCGACGCAGAGCGGGCAGCACTCGTCCTCGTCGTCATCGACGAACTGGTCATACTGCAGGCGGGACATGGTGTGTGTGTGTGTGTGTGTGTGTGTGTGTGGAGTCGCAGATGTGCTGGGTTGCGCTGCGGGTAGTGAAGTGGCCACCGGGTGGGAGCGTGCCGCGGTGGTTGTCTACAAAGATGCAGCGGGGTCGCGGGAGTATTGTGGCTGGAGCGTGTCAGATGCAAAAGACGCAAACAAACGCCGGCGGTGTCAAGGAAAGAGATGCACTATCGTTCGGGGGTGGATGGTAGAGCGCGCTGGAGGCAGGTGCAACTGCAAGAGAATGACCGCTAGGGAAGGCACGGGCCACACTAGACTCCCGCCTGCAGGCGAGCTTGAGGAACGTCGGGTATCGAAGCCACTTTCACCACCCCATTGCCTGCCACCTCCAGCTGCATCGCGCAGCCTTATCCGCTCGAATACACATACAATGGCTATGCGGCTCGTAGTCAGCCGGCCATTGGCCACCGCCGCGCGCTCGGCCGTCCCGCGCGCATTCTCGACCACGGCTCTGCGGGCGAAGGAGATCGCAGGCGAGAACACGGAGACGCCCAACATGCGGGTAGGCATCGATTGTAGCTGGCACTGAGGCGTCTGAGCTGACATGGAGTGCAGTACGCCCCGCGCAACGCGTCCGAGCCGCTCAAGCGTGCCATTGTCAACCCGGTCGACAAGTTCAAGGCCAAGGGCGAGGCCCTGCACACATACGGCAACTATCTCATGTCGTGTCTGCCCAAGTACATCCAGCAGTAGGTCGTGCCGTACTACTAATATGGTCATGTCTAACAGACCAAGGTTCTCCGTCTGGAAGGACGAGCTCACCATCTACATCCCCCCGTCAGGCGTCATACCCGTCTTCACCTTCCTCAAGAACCACACGGCGGCCGAGTACACGCAGATCTCTGACATCACCGCCGTCGATTACCCCACCAAGGACCAGCGTTTCGAGGTTGTCTACAACATGCTCTCCATCCGCCACAACTCTCGCCTGAGGATCAAGACGTACGCGGACGAGGCCACCCCGGTTCCCTCTCTCTGCGACCTGTACGACGGCGCCAACTGGTACGAACGCGAGGTCTACGACCTGTTCGGTGTTTTCTTCGTTGGCCACCCTGACTTGAGGCGCATCATGACCGATTACGGCTTTGACGGCCACCCACTGCGCAAGGACTTCCCCATGACCGGGTACACCGAGATCCGCTACGACGAGGAGAAGAAGAGGATTGTCGTCGAGCCGCTCGAGATGACTCAGGCATTCAGGAACTTCCGTGGTGGTTCCGCGGCATGGGAGCAGGTCGGCCCTGGTGAGAACACAACACCAGAAAACGTGAGTTCTTCCAGATCATCCTCCTGGAACTATCGTTGCTAATGATATTACAGTTCAAACTGCCTACACCCAAGCCCGAGCCACCAAAGGAGGGCGAGCAGAAGAAATAGAAAATTAGAGGAGAATGTTGCAACCTGTAAATACACGAATCAGTTACCTGTACCACCATCTCGAGCTTTCCTATGCATTGATTATTCAGCAGATCTAGCCTCATCTGATTGGCTGGATGTCGGAGGCTTGCGCCAAGACCCTCGCACTTCTCCGCTCTATCAGGTAAGGTTCGGGGTCGATCATGTCAGGTACCACATCTCCAGGTACGATTCGACAGCTGACAACATGCAGCACTTCACATTGGACGTTACCCGGAAAGTGCTGGTACCTCGCACTTCATTGCCAAGAGCTGCCCCTCACTGCATCACGGCATGCTGCATGCCAGGACGTAACGACGCCGGAGTGGCTGTCCGCTCCGCCGTTTTGTGGATCTATAAAACGCCTTCATCGTCTTCAGGAAGACACCATGCCTGAGCTGGCTGGTACTTCCGATCTTGACCCATACTGCTAGTTCATCTACCTACCACGTGGCTTTGCACCGAACGTATAAGTACCAGTCATGCTGTCTTCCTTCTTGTTTCGTACCTCCCATCTCCTCACCCTCCTACCATACCTGTTATCAGTGACCGCAGCAATGGCATCCACGACCAACACCACAACAATCAAGCTCGAGCCCTTCACCCTCTCCTCCCCACCCGGCACAGACATCTGGCGCAAAGCCCCCTCGCACAACGCATTCAACGCACCAACCCACCCCTCCCCGCTCCCCACCCACAAACTCTCCTCCTTCCAGCGCGCACGCTTGACTTTCTCTCTCCCGCCCGGCACCCAGCTCCGCCAGTACGACCAAGCCGGCCTACTCCTGCACCTCACCAAACCCGGCATCCCGGACGAAAAAACCAAGTGGCTGAAGACGGGCATCGAGTGGTACTACTCCAAACCGTACATAAGTACCGTCGGGTGCGATGCCTGGGCTGACTGGAGCGTTGTCCCCATCCCCTCCTACACAAGCAACTCCTCCAGGCCTTCAGCGACGATCGAAGCCAGGCGCGAAAAGGACGTTTTGGGAAAAAGCCTTTGGGTCTACTGGATTATCAAAAGGGAGGATGGGACAGAAGAGCGCATTCCGCTTCGAGAAGTAAACTGGTTCTTCGCCGAAGAGGAGGGGTGGAGTGTGGGTGTTGGTGGCTATGTGGCCAGGCCTACGAAAGACGGGGGTGATGAGGAGCTGGGTGTTGAGTTTGCTGAGGGGGTGGAGGTAGAGGTGCTGGACTGTTGAGTTGCGGATCTGGAACAGCCAATCCACCGTGATAATCATCGTGGCAATGGAATGTGCAGATCATAATGAGGTTCTTATTCCATACCCGAGTTTACGTCGAAGAGAGCTGTAGCACTTTGCCAATAAAATCATACCATGTCAAATGGTTCGTCAACAAAACGCACACTGCTCGCTTCCTGAACGTTCGCAGTACCTTTCTTGCCTCGCACTGTAAACAAGGGCTGCGAATTGTTTGTGCATTCTGCTAATTCAGTCATGTTAGGACGATGATGGTGGCCGTCCAAATCAGGAAGGAACAGCCGAGGATTCAACACTCGCCTCTTTACTCTAACATTCTTACAGCAACACAATCATCCAGAACACAACGTATCTCATTACAAGCAGGAAGTGGCTTGTGGTCGAAGTGCTTCCATCGGACTCGAAAGTGCGAATCTGTCACCGACCAAGTCAAGAGGAGAAAGAGCAGGAATCCAAGACTCAAGCACCATGGCCGTATACGATATGGACGACGCTCTCAGCACAGCGCGAAGCAAACACACCTCCAACACACCATCAAAACAACCTTCAAACCCCACCGCAGAAAGCAGCGAAAGATACGACCGGCCCATCGCCGCAGCACAGGAATCCGGACTACCCATCATCGACATCTCATCATACCTGGACCCCTCCTCATCTCCTTCAGCACGGAAGACAACTGCTCAAGCCATCAATGCCGCATGCGTAAACTACGGCTTCTTCTACCTCACCGGCCACGGCATCCCCACCTCCGGGTTGCACCAGATCATCGACCTAGCGCGGCGGTTCTTCGCCTTACCCTTGGAACAGAAAGACAAAATCAAGCGCTACGACGCCGGCGGCCCCGAAGGCGGAGACTCCGCACGCGGCTACCAGGGGTTGGGCGAGAATGTCACGGGGGGCCTGCAAGACATGCAGGAAGCTATTGATTTCTACCGGCCGTGGAATGGAGAAGAGGAAGTTGGTGATGGAGGGCAGGGGACGAGGAAGACGCTCCAGGGGCCGAATCTGTGGCCTGAGGAGCCGAGGGAGTTGAGGGAAGTGTATGAGGGGTATGTTGAGAGGGTGACGGAGGTTGGGAGAAGTCTCGTGAGGGCTATGGGTGTTGCGCTTGAGCTGGGGCCTGCGTGTGACTGTGGGGAGGCGGATAGGAGTACAGAAGATGAGGAGGTGTTTGTGCGGAATTGCGATGAGAGTTTCTGGGTTATGCGGATGATCAACTATCCTCCCCTACCGCCCTCTGTCAGACCCGCCGGCGGAAATCCAGAGGATCTCAGCCAATTCTCCTGCGGCGCGCACACAGACTACGGCTGCGTCACCCTGCTGCTCACCGATCCAACCCCGAGAGCGCTACAGGTTCAGTTGAAGGACGGGACCTGGCTTTCTGCAGACCCTATACCAGGGGCGTTTGTGGTGAACATAGGCGACATGATTGAGCGCTGGACAAATGGGATCTGGAAGAGTACTATGCACAGGGTTATACATAGGGGTGATGGGGGAGTCAATGGGAAGGAGGGAGGAGGCAGGGTCAGTGTGCCGTTCTTCTTTGAACCGAATTTTGACGCCATGGTCAGGCCTTTGCAGAAGTGTGTAAAGGATAGTGGAAGGCCGAGCATGCATGAGGGGAGCACGTACGGGGAGCATCTGCTCACAAAGGTGTTTAGTAACTTCTACTATAGTAAGAGGACAGATTGGTAGCAAGGCCAACGCCTGGAATGAGAAACCACAAGTCTCGAGAGCAGCGCCCATGCCTCTGCTGTTGGTGCCTTCATCTGAGTACAGATCGAGACAGGACTGTGGTGCAAACATGGATATCAAATACGCGTTCGTTGCGGGATGAGCCATAGCAGCTACGTAGCCTCTCCATCGCTTGCCACACCCGAGGACGGGCAACTTCGGTTTCCAAAACATTGGAAGCGATGTTTGCTATGCTGTGTCGTGTCAAAGGAAGGGAGGCGTCCTGCACATGACGCTAGATGGCGGTGAGCCCCACCACGTCGTAAACAAGGGTCCAACAGTTCGTACCCCTTGGAGGCCAGATACGCAATTGCATTCACGACACACCTTCTCACCCTTCACAGACCTCAGCTTGAACACGTCAGGCCGCCAAGATGAGCCTGCAAGCCCCTTCCCTCTCGTTGCGGTCTAAGAGCCCGTCGCGCAACAGCGGCTCCACCAAGGCGGTGATCCTGGTATTCACTTTCTGAGCACCCAATGTACCACGCAATGAATGCTCACAACTGCAGGTCGGTGGACCGTCCCGCGGCACAAGGTTCAGGCCTCTGTCTATGGAGCTGCCGAAGGTGTGTACAACAGCAACAACAACAACAACACTGAACACTCTAGTCGTGTCGACAGCTGACCCCTCCAGCCACTGTTCCCCGTCGCCGGCCACCCCATCATCGAGCACTGCTTCCGCGCCGTAGCGGCCGTGCCCGAGATCAAGGAAGTCTTCATTGTCGGCTACTATGAGGAGTCCGTCTTCCAGCCCTTTATCAACACCGTCTCCACCAGCTGGCCGCAGTTGAGCGTCAAGTACCTGCGCGAATACCAAGCCCTGGGCACAGCGGGCGGTCTCTACCACTTCCGCGATGTCATTCTCAAGGGCAGGCCCGAGAAGCTGTTCGTGCTCAACGCCGACATCTGCTCGTCGTTCCCTCTGCAGGAAATGCTGAGGCTGTTCGACGACAAAGACGCCGAGGCGGTCATGCTGGGCACAAGAGTCGCCAACGAGTCGGCCTCCAACTTCGGATGCATCGTCTCTGACGCCCACACCAAGCGCGTCCTGCACTACGTCGAAAAGCCCGAGTCGCACATCTCCAACCTCATCAACTGCGGTGTCTACCTCTTCTCCACAGAGTGCATCTTCCCCGCCATCCGCTCCGCCATCAAGCGCCGCACCGAACGCCCGCGCCTGCTCTCCTACCCCTCCTCGGAGAACCTCGAGTCCTCCTTCTACCAGGGCGACGATGACGACGAGGACAAGGCGAACCTCGTCATCCGCCTCGAGCAAGACGTCCTTTCCGATATCGCCGACTCGCGCCAGTTCTTCGTCCTCGAAACCAAGGACTTCTGGCGCCAGATCAAAACCGCCGGCTCCGCCGTCCCAGCAAACGCCCTCTACCTCCTCAAGGCCTTCCAGTCCGGCTCCGAAGAACTCGCCGCCCCCTCGGCAAACATCATTCCCCCCGTCTACATCCACCCCAGCGCGCACGTTGATCCCACTGCGAAACTCGGCCCCAACGTGTCCATCGGTCCGCGCGTCACCGTCGGTGCCGGCGTGCGCATCAAGGAGTCCATCGTCCTCGAGGACAGCGAGATCAAGCACGATGCGTGCGTCATGTACACGATCATCGGGTGGCATAGTAAGATTGGCGCGTGGGCGCGTGTTGAGGGTACCGCGCTGCCGGTCACCAGCCACTCGACGAGCATTGTGAAAAACGGCGTGAAGGTGCAGAGTATTACGATCCTGGGCAAGGATTGCGCGGTGGGTGATGAGGTTAGGGTGCAGAACTGTGTGTGCTTGCCGTATAAGGAGTTGAAGCGCGATGTCTCGAATGAGGTTATCATGTAAACGCTCTGCAGCGAGCAGGCTGCGAGTCAGACCGACAGCACCGCACTTGACCGACGGAGGGGACATGTAGCGTATCATATCCAAAAGTATAGCACGCCTTCCATCATCCCGAGTTGTTCGGCTTGGAAGTACCAAATGGTCAAGCCCAGGTTCGCAGAGTAATAGATGCCACAATCTCGCTCCGCACATCTTTCCACGCCGAAACGCAATGCGCCACAACCCTCGGAGCCCACTGTCTCAGAACGCGTGCAGTTGAGATACGCATGCCTGCTCGAGCGCCCCCATCGATACCTAACCCTGCAGACTGGCCAGACTGGCCAGACTGGCGCGTATGGACTTTCTGGTTCCCGCGTGCATGATCAACGTCACAGCCCACAAGCTCACGACTACGCAGTCGTCGCTCTCTTCAGATTGCATTAGGCCTGATGTCCTGAACACGATGAATCCAGACATGGGTGGATAGAATCATGAGCGGCACCTTGTGCCTCTAACGCAAGCGCCACACAACCACCGGCACGAGGCCATCGTGGTATGGAAAAACCAGCATGTATGTATCGCTACATCGACACGAACGAGTGATGGAGTCGGCGCAGTAGTACCGTAAGGTGACGGACATGTCGCAGTTGGAATCCGAAGGGTCTGGTGATAACCGTACTTGACTTGGAGCTCGCGGGAGAATGAAAGACCATGAAGTAAAATAAGCGAATACCCAATACGCATTCCCCTCACACAACAACACTTCATCCTTGAATCCAGCTTCCCTCTCATACCTGTCATCTCATACCTATCATCTCATACCTATCATCTCCTACTCTACCCCCTTACTTCTTTCCTTCTTTCATAACCCTCTTCACCTCGTCGTAGTCAACATCCTTAAACCGCCCCCCATAATCCCTCCACCGCATCTGAAACGCCACTCCAACAACCGGCAACACACTAACCAGCTCCCCCAACCCCGCCCACTGCGCCGGAATTTTGACCTCCTGCCCTCCCTTCTTGATACCCGCAAAAGCACCAGCAGCCAACAAGATAGCACCAAGGTTGTACACCGCGCTCCATACAAAGTTGCAGATAATTCGTCTATATGCGGCTTGGCTGATGTCGAGGAGGATGAGAATATCGGCGAGCCGCTCGGTCATGAGGACGACGTCTGCGGCTTGTTTGGCGACATCGGAGCTCGAGTGGGGGGAGTGCATGTGCGCGCCAACATCTGCTTGCTTCAAGGCAACAGAATCATTCGTTCCGTCGCCGACGAAGAGGACGATGCGGTTCTTCTTCTTCCACTGCCTTTCTTGCAGGTCTTGGATGTACTTCTGTTTCCCCTCGGGCCTGCAGCGGCTCTTGGTGAATCGTTTCGGGATGTTGAGTTCGTGCGCAACGGTGTCGACGGAGCCTTGGGAGTCGCCACTGATCATGTGGACGGTGATGTGGCGCTTGTGCAACGCCTCGATGACCCTCTCGGCGTTGCGTTTGGGTGTGTCGCGTAATTTGAATACGGCGGAGACTTCGCCTCGGATCGTGACGCAGAGGTAGCTGCAGTTCGCTTCCTCGACGTGGAGGGAGAGCCAGGTGGGGTTTCCGGCGCGGACTTCGTAGTTGCCGGCGCGCGTGAAGCCTACAACACCTTCTCCGGGTAGGCTGGATATGCTGTGCATCTCAGCGGGTATGAGGTTGGGTTCAGAGCTCATGCGGGATTCTTTGGCTAGGAAGTTGTTGACACCCAAGGAGATGGGATGCCTGTTGTCTTTTAGAAGACCGAGAAGGATAGACTTGACCTGAGCGGGCTCCAAGGTGCCATGATACTGTTCGCTGATGACCGAGAAGCAGCCGGTGGTGAGCGTGCCAGTCTTGTCGAAGATGACATCCGTGACGTTCCGTGCGACTTCGAGCTTCTGGGGGTCTCTGAAGATGATGCTGTATCGTGCTGCGACCCCACCCGCAATGAGGACGACCATGGGAACAGCGAGTCCGATTGCGCAGGGACAGGAAACAATGAGGGTGGCGATAGCGTAGGTGATGGCTCTGACAACGGCCTCATGCCAGTCACGCTTGTTGTAGAACCGGTCAATGAGAAGCCAGATGAGGAAGACGATGGATCCAATCGCTGCGATGGCAGGTACGAACCAACTAGCTATGCGGTCGGCCAGGGCTTGTATCTTTGGTTGCGTCAACTCGGCGCATTCGACCATTGTAGCGATCTTGTGGATAGTGTTCTCGTGCGGTAGCGCCTTCAGGATCACAATAAGTGTTCCACTACCGTTCATGGTGCCAGCATAGACGCGTGAGTGTACCCCTTTTGCGACGGGGATGGATTCGCCCGTGAGCATAGATTCGTCGACCTCTGACCCGCCATAGTAGACAGTCCCATCTGTGACGATGCGCGTATGTGGAAGAACCTTGAAGCTGTCTCCGTACTGTAGTAAACGGGCATCGATCTCCTTGGTGGGCGGATCCGCCTCCCGTTCGTGACCCCACTCGACAAGAAGCGCTTTGTCGGTCTGTAGAGAGCGGAAGGAAACAGACTTTGCAGCTCGATAACGGGCGAACTCGTTGATGACGCGACCTAGCAGGATCAGTGTGACCAGCAGAGTGGATGTCTCGAAGAATGACTCCGTCCCCAAAGGCTTGCCGATAACCTGATACACATAGCACACGACACTAAAGACGTATGCAGTCATAGTGCTGAGTGAGATGAGGAAGTCCATGTCAAGCACACGAGAGTACCATAGCGACCTGAGGGCGCTGGGTAGGAACTCGATCCAGGCAATGATCTGGACGATCGAAGCTAGTGCTATCGAAGCATGAGCGTAGGCGAGCTTATCGTGGTCGACGGGTGCCCATGCCAGCACCAGGACAGGGATCGTAAGAATTAGAGCAGGAACAAACCAGCATAGCGCTCGTCTTGTCTGTTTCGCCCCCAGTTTGAGGCTTGAGTGGGTCGGAGGTGGCGCCAGGGCCACCTCGTCGTTTCTAAGACGATAGAAATCGTATATCTCGCGAGCACCAACAACCTTTGCGTTGTAATGAATACGCACCAGCTGAGGTTGTCGGGTAGCCGTTATGCATTTATCGACAGCTTGCTTGGTTTTCGTTTTCTCAATACCGTCACCAGTCGCTTCGTTGAGGAGCAGGTTGTCCTTGGTCCAGTACCAGGAAGGATTCCAAAATTGTCTGTGTGGTTCTGGAAGCTCGACTGAGGTGATACCCTTGGGTCGATCTTCGCGGTGGAAGTCATGAGTATTGGTGTGCATGAGCTCCAGAACTTGGTCTCTGGGTCTGCTGTTTTGTTCAAAGGAATACCCGGTTGCGGTATTCAGCTTCTTGAGAACGTCATCAATGGAGGTCCGACTGATGTCCAAGTCGAACTCAAGCCTGGCCATTACGATGTTTACTTGGTGATCGCGGATGGCTGAGATGCGGTCCACGGCCCGTGTTATACCAGTCTCGCAGCATCCGCACTTCAGTCCATCGATGTTGAGGATGAATCGCTGGTAAATCGGGGGCCCTTTCTCGATGTCTGCGTTGCTAACTTCATCGCTGACTTCGTTCTCTGCTCCTAGTTTCTTTAGCCACAGTTCTTCATCATGGAGGGAGGCTCCTAGGCAGCAACTACCCTGGGAGTGCGAATGTGAAGGTGAATGTGCATGCGAATGCGGGTGTGCATGTGCATGCGAATGTGGATGTGAGTGGTGCAGCGAAGTCGTCCGTCGAAATGCGCGCCTGAATCGGGAGACAGCGCCTCCATCTCCGCTATGATCGGTCGCGTTCAAGGTAGGGGACGTGCCTGGGTTCGAAAGCTCAGGTTCGATCAGGTTGCGTATTCCAGCGTAAGTGTCGACTTGGTCACTTAGGCGACCTGGAGGTCTCCGGTGAGGCTGCGGAGGGCTTTGAGGAGGCGAGAGGTCCCATCCAGGACTTTCTGGGTATGGATCCGGTGAAGATGTTCGTGCAGGAGACAAAACGTGACCGACACCGCCGACGGCTGACATATTGAAGCTGAGGCTGTGTAGACGTAATTGATGGGGGCCTGAGGTATCAATAATATATGTGGGCTTTAGCGATACCTGACGAGACCGTGACAGTGAGTGAAGTTTGGAGTGGTGAACGCTATGGTGTCCTTGAAGTTTGTACCCACGTGCTGTCTGTCCCTTTCTTCTCACTCAGATGGGAAGTCTCCATACATGTACTGTGGAAGCCGCATTGGCATTGACCTTGCTGGCAGCCGCGCGGGAGGCGCCTGCACGCAGGCTCCATGCAACCTTCCATAGTGAATGGTGCCGTGTGGTGTGACCTTCGGAGCCAGCAAAACTGCAAAAATTGAGGCTCGTAGAATGCTTTTGTCTTACCAGTGGGGGTTGTGCACACTTCATGGAAGACAGGGCCGCCAGTGACAGCTGCAGGTTGCCTTCCGCAAGAGACAGGTGCGACAGAGCGTGATCACTGTACGAGATCCGGTCTTGGCGACGCATACTGATAGGAGGTGACCATGTGTCCTCGAAGTCCTTCATTCAGATGGTGGAAGGGTGCTAGAGAGTAGTGCAGAGCTCAGGTTAGTGGTGAGGCATCAATTCTGGAGGGTTTCCGTGGGCATGGCGGAGGTCTTTGTTATGCTTGTTGCTCGTGTCTTGTCTCTACAAACGGTCTGGGAGCCGAAGTGAGTAGGAGGGTTTATTTCCGTGGGACATGGTCGACCAATGATATTGCTTCGTGCAAGTCGGAGACGATGGGGGCGGAGTCAATGGTTGACACGCCCTACACGTGACTTCGCGATTTGTTGCGTCATCGTTTGCCGGTTCAGTCCGCGCAGGCGGCACAACCTTGACCTGTCGCATCGCAATACCAATGTGAACCCTCCACCCCCCACTCCTTCAAGGAACCAACTCTGGTAGGTGCCATGTGCACTTTGCCTACCACAACTCCAACTGCAAACGCATGTCACTAGCGCTGAACCCCCGTCCCCACATCGTGCGCCTACTTGACGGCCGCTAGAAACCATGGCAGGCACGCGAGGCCGATTGCGCAAGACAAATGACGCGCCAACCCCGCGACGGTCGTTGCGCAAGAGGGACACGCAAGCAGAGGAGCAAGACGACCTGCCTGACGTTCTGCGGGAAATGCTGCACGAGGAGCGCGTCGCAAAGAGAGCCGCGGACGATGAAGACGAGAAGCCGCTGAAGAAGCGCAAGACAGCGCATGCCCAGCGAACTTCGAGTCCGGCCCCGCAAGCTCAGGTCGTCCAGCCTGTAGTCAAGGCTGCGACTGCACGGCCGTCCAGACCTGCACCACCATCACTGCCGCCCGCGCTGCTTCCATACGAACCACCACCACACAATGCGCCGTCACACCAGCCTAGTCGTGTTCTACAGACGGTCGAGGACTCTGATGAGTCCGACGGTGACAGTGATATGGAGTGGGAAGATGCGCTGGGCGGGGGAGGGGACAGTGACGACGAAACTGAAGCGAAAGCTGCGCCTGAGATTGGCGATGTCTCCATCACAATAGGCGGCAGCAGGAGTGAGGAGGTCTCGACGAAGAAGAAGGTGCGGCGACGGGCAATCACGTCGGTGGATAGGAAAAGGCGACTGGACATACACAAGATGCACATTCTGTGCTTGCTATACCACGTCCACCGCAGAAATACCTGGTGCAACGATGCAAGGGTGCAGTCTGCTCTGCGCAAGTTGGTCGAGCCTGCGATGTTGACGAACCTCGTGCCGGACCCTGACCTCACACAATACTCGGCATCGAAACGCTTCGTCGATGCTCTGAACCATCTCATGATCATGTGGTCCAAGCGATTCAGAGCTACTGCGCAGGGCATGTCGAAACCAAAGTGGGCAGAACCTGGCGCAGAAGTGCGGCCGTTTTCCGACTTCGACGAGCTCGACAGTGCCATGGATAAGGACGACTTTCGTACAGCGGCACGCACTCTGCAAGGCTCGTGTGACGTCGGCGGCCAGCTGTTCTGCGCTCTACTGCGCGGCATCGGTATCGAGGCTCGTTTGGTCTGCTCACTGCAAGAGCTACCATTCGCATCCGCAGCACAGCCGTCTACGCCCCAGAGACCCAGTCAACCCACAAAGACCATCACCGTAGACCCCTACAACAAAAGCCCGGCGAAGAGCTCAGCGCCTGCGCGCAGCAAGAAGCTCTCTCGCCTCGAACGCATCATGGGCGAACGCCATCCTGTGCTGAACAAAGCAGGCACGGGACCGAAGAAGCTGAAGGCATTCCACACACCCTATCCAGTATACTGGGTCGAAGCCTTCAACTCCGCGCACCAGAAATGGGTGCCCATCGACCCGCTGTCAACATTCACCACCAACGACCCGGAGAAACTAGAGCCACCGTTCAGCTACATGCAGAACAGCCTGACCTACGTCATTGCATTCGAAGACGACTACACCGCGCGCGACGTAACCCGGCGCTACGCAAAAGCGTACAACGCCAAAACGCTGAAATTCCGCATCGAATCCACCCCCCGGGGCTCACAGTGGTGGACGCGTACCATGAAGTACTTCACCCGCCCAAACCCCCTCCCGCGCGACACCGCAGAAGACACCACTCTCGCGCGCAAAGTAGCCGCCGAAGGGATCCCCAAAAACGTGCAGGACTTCAAGAACCACCCCGTCTACGTCCTCGAGCGGCACCTTAAGCACAACGAGGTCATATACCCGTTGGATGTAGTGGGGAAGGTGAATGTCGGCAGCTCCATGAACCCGCGCATGGAGCCCATTTATCGACGGAAGAATGTGCACACCGTGCGCTCCGCAGACAAATGGTACCGCATGGGCCGCGACGTTTTACCGGGTGGTCAACCACTCAAACACGCAAAACCCAAAAAGGGGCGCTTACCTTCCATCGGCCCCGACGAGCGTGTCGAAGACCAAGCTGATGAGGTTGGCGCGGCGCTGTATGCAGAGTTCCAGACAGAGATCTATGTTCCACCGCCGGTCGTAAGGGGCAGGGTACCCAGGAATGTGTACGGCAATCTGGATCTGTATGTCCCCTCTATGTGTCCGCCTGGCGGTGTGCATGTGCGACATAAACTCGCTTCCAAAGCCGCGCGCATCTTGCAGGTCGACTACGCGGACGCGGTTACGGGGTTCAGTTTCAAGGGGCGGCATGGCACGGCGATTGTTCAGGGCGTTGTTGTGGCGCAAGAGTACGGCGAGGCTGTGAATGAGGTCATTGGGGGTATGGAGTATATGCAGGAACAGGCTGAGGTGGATGCTAGGAGGGCTGAGTCGCTACGACTCTGGCGTCGCTTCTATCTTGGCTTGCGGATTGCTCAAAGAGTCAACGATATCGAGATCGATGGTCAAAGAGGTGACGTTATAGATGTTCAGGCGTCTATCAATTACGAAGAGCAGCGCAAACAGGCTGATGACATGGCTGGTGGTTTCTTGCCCGACGATTCTACCTACGTCGAGCCTTCTCCTCTGCCAAGGGGCAAGCCAAAACCGGACATCGACTTCGGTGGTGGCTTTGTGCCCGAGGACGAAGTCGAAGTCGAAGACGGGGTTGAGGATGAGCAAGATGGGGAGGGCGTCAATGGCAAAGTGAACGCAGGAGGTGGATTCATACTCAGCCAAGACAATGACGACAGCGACATTGAACTTGGTGGCCCCAGTCTCAACCGCCAGGAGTCATTCGGCAGCGTTATCCTTGAGTCCCAGGAGCTGCGGCCTAGGAGACGGAGTAGTTTTGGCAAGCCCTACGTATCCTCCGACACCGGATCCCAACGGCATGATGGAAAGGATGAGGATGAAGAGAGTGAGTGGGAAGACCCTGCTGGTTTCGCGAACCTGCACGATGAGCCGCAGAGCTTGGCGGATGGAGATGGTAAGCCCGGACCCGCACTCGAACTACCGGAGCGCGTCGCAGCCCAATTTGCTCATGGTGGGGATACGGGTGGTGGTTTCTTCCTTCCGCCTACGAGGACGGATACAGATGTGGCGATGCACGATGCGATAGCACCGTCAGAGAGGCAGCTCGAGAAAGCCGTGGATGGAATGGCGGATACAGAGACAGTCAAGCCTGAGGTCAAGGTCGTACCAATCGCTGAAGAGGAAGGCGATGAAAACGCTGAAGCTGAAGCGATATCGGCCAGCTCACCCTCGGAAACGGGCAGCTTGCCGCTCGAGGACCCTGATGATGAGGACGCGGATCCCGACTGGCTGGTCGACGCAACATGAAACTTACACCCGACACTACGGCCGGTCGGTCGCGTAGTGGAACATTGTATATAATATGGTAGTACGATGTATACGAAGTCTCCTAATACTGTGGGTAGTGTTGCGTTCGTCCTTTGGTACCGTGTTGGTCTTGTGGTTGAGATGGCAAGACGGTACGACGTACAATATACAGCGGAGCAGAGCTGGAAAGTGAGGGATCCAAGGATTGTCCATCACTCGATGCAGGTCTGCGCCTTCGTACACTCGTTCACTTGTCGGCCAGATCCGTTGCGCCAGATCTCTCACCAGGCACAGCTTCTCCCACATCCTCTCCTCCCTCCTCACAGCTTCCTTATACTCCGCACTCGCAAACCCGCACTGTGAACTCACAGCAACCCTGTTTTCGAAGCACTTCCTCCACCGTACTCCCTTGCGCTTCAGCAATAATCGCTGCAGCACTTCTAACCCCCTCTTCCAGCACATCCAGATCCTCCAACTCCGGCTCTTTCGTCGACACCACACCCAGCACAATCGCCTTTCCCTTGGGCAGGAACCTCGACGGGTTAAACTCTCTAGCCTTATCTGTCTTATACTCCAGAAAAAGAGTGTCGTACTTCAATTTGAAGAGTCGCTGCGTAATCTTCTCGTAACTCCTCTTTGCGAGCCACAAATCGTCCGTCAAATTACCGCGGCAGAGATGAACCCCCGTCGTCAGCCCTTCGAAATGGCTTCTTATCGCGTCGTTGTGGGCGCGCAGGTATGTGCTTAGCAGCTCGATGCCATCTTGCTCCAGCGCGGACAGGAAGTTGGGACCGCAGAAGTATGTCAAAAGCGTGCCAACAGAGATCCTGAACCAGGTCTCCACCTTCCTTCCCGTGAGCCCAATCCTCCCTCTTCGCCTAACATCGCGCACTCTTGCATATCAGCTTCCTCTGAACCAGCGCTTCTTCCGCAAGCTGCTACTGAGCGGTAATTTACTGCCATTCTTATGGGATTTGGATCGAAAAGCGTACCTAACCATGCAACACCACAAACCTACATGAACAACTGAGGGTGAAGCAGGGGTTGGAAAAAAAAAAGAAGAGAGCGGGGTGTCGCTAGGGCCGTGGAACCGGTGTAGGATTTGGCAGAGCGTGGCCGATGTCGAGAAGTGGATGTGAAAGGTGTATGGTATTCAAACGGAGCTTATCTGAGATCGGGGCTTATGTAGCACAGACAAGAAGCTGCAGACACAGGATATCGATCATAGTCGATGGTCGTTGTTCATTATCATTACGATTCAAACTCTACTCACATGTTCAACTCATACCCAATCATGCCCTCGACTCCTCACACTCCCTCTACCATCCCCTGCTATACTGATCTCTGTCGTACATGTGATCGTGCCAATAGTGTCCTTCCCCTCCAGACTCTGCTGCGCCTCAAGTATCGAGTACTCACTGTCATTATCGAGGTCGTGCTTCGGTCTCTCTTGACTTCCTACAGCATTGCCGTTCACCACGTAGCTGTTTCCGACTTCCTTCATCACATAGCTGTTGCCTGTACCTTTTCCAAGGCTCTTGCGGTTGCGCGATGTGCCCAGCACACTCTCGGGTAGAACGCGGCGAAGCACGGTTTCGAAAGTCTTGCGAAGTGGAGGCAGGGAGGCGGTGAATGCGCCGACGAAGACTTCGGATACGGCGAAGATCGAGAGGTTAACGGATGTGTATGTTGCGTCTGATGAGGAGTAGAGAGACTTCATCTCGTAGAGTTTGAGGGCGGATATCGTTGTTGTACTAGTTCATGTCAGCATATGAGGATGGAGTGGAGAAGAAAGTGGGCTTACATGAGACCAAGGAGGAAAACGGCGCGAACGCCCCAGAGTGTGCGCTTGGGTAATTGGACGCGCGAGACATAGACTAGAGGAGCGACAGTATAGATCAGGTCGGTGAGCATGTTTGTTGCTGCGCCGGAGTATCCTGAATTACCATCAGTCATGATGATCGCATGTGCGTAAGTCCAAGCAGAGCTCACCAGATATGACTCTTGGTTTATCACCCCAACAGCTACCTGGCTGGGTGCCTGCAACATCCCAATGCTTGGAGATAGGCTGGCACTCTCCAAGCAAGATGATTGAAGGAAAGACGAAGTTGATGCCGACGTGGATAACCACAGACAGCCAAATGACGATGCGGTACCCCTTCGAGAAGTCGAGCATCAGAATATAGGCGCAAATACTGAGCTTGATCAAGGCCATGCCGTAAAGGTTGAACAGCTGGCCAAACCAGAGCCATCGAAGGTACTCCTCCAAGTTGGCTGGGGTTTGGATTGGATCCCAGACGTGTCGGCCTCCGCCGACTTCGGCTGTTTTGTAGGCGAAAACAGCGCCAACGATTGCTAGTAGCTAGGTCTGAATGTCAGTAAATTTGAAGCAAAGGATGTTCGTAGTGTAAAGGCATACATGTCCGGTCCATAGGAGGTGATCTGTGAGTTGAAAGAAGTTACGATTCTTCCAGCTAACGTATAGGCGTAAGCTGACGAAGATTGAGCTGAAAACGATCAATGTGACGATTGGAATCTTGAGATCGTTCGATCGGTCGTCTAGAGGCAAACCCTCAGTAGAGGTTGCTGCAGCCATGATGCGGTACCAGTGATAAAAGAAAGGAACTGTCGAATAGAAGAAAAGATGAGGCGATGCTTGGACCACACCAGGCGGTTAGACTTGCAGCACAAGATGCGTAATTCAGATGGGAGGCGCATGGAGCGGATTCTCCTCCGTGGACTAGCGGGACGGGCTCCTATTAGATATCAGGTCACATATAGGCCCATCGAAAAGATCCGCCGGTAACAGGCAGCCGGTTCCTGGAAGACGCGTCCAGCCATGCAGGTAGCGCCCTTGGTGCGGGTGGCTTTGCGCAAGGAGCGTCCGCTGCTGGAAACAAATAGACCCACCAAACGACTCAAAGGCCTCTTCAGCGGTCGTATGACATGTTAGATGCATCGACGAAACAGATATGAGATACTGGGGCTGCATCTTCATCATCATGCGCTCGATCTTGGTACCGAATATGTCGCTGTGAAGGCTTACGCCATGGTCTGGTCGACGCATTATCAAGGCTTCTGGATTCAATACCCTAGATGCTCTAGTTGGACGAAAACGCTTTGGCGTAGCTGTGTGGTGCCTGTCAAGGTAAATCTTTATAAATTCAGGGTTTACTAGCCAGCGCCGTCGCGTGAAATCGTCGTTAGCTTCCCCAGACCCTGACTTACCCGCCACGGAGATGTTCTTGTTTCTCGTCCCACGGAGCAGCCAGCGTTTGTGATTCACTCGATTGGCTTTCTATATTTTGACTTATTCAAATGTCTTGGGTTATAAGGGAATATAGTCCATATGTTCACGTGTTGACAGATCGAACCATGGTTCCGTGGTTCTGAGGCGCACGATAGCGTGCAATACCGCCGCAAAGTCATCCACAGCCACAAAATGCCAGCTGAATCGTTGTGATGGCTGTACATGATCGTGTACCGCTGCCATTCCTATCCTTGCTGCTGTCGTAAACGGAAAAACGTACCTTGCCACGTGGGAAAGTGGACACAGTGCCAAACAAGCCAAGGCCCGTTGTGAGGCTAAAGCTTACTCGTAAGGCTTCGGTGGTAAACCTAGTCCTGGATGCGAAAGGTAGAGTCAAGCCTAAAATCACGGCGCCGCCGAAGCCGTGAAAACTGAACAACGACAACATCGGATATGGCGTGACTTCGATCTACCGCCCCGCAATCGATAGAGAAGAAGCTTTGTCGGTTCGGAACCCTCGGAATCACTGTCGCTGCAGAATTGCCATGAAGAAGTCGAGTTGCCGGCGGGCTATGCGGATCTCCGGATGGACACTTCTCATGCTTTACTGCAGATCCAGGAGAAGCAACGGAACAGCGATATCCATCTCGGAGATTTCAACCCAAATCTGGGGCAGTCCGCGCACAACGGGAGGTCGAGAGAAAGGTGAAGAACTTGGTAGCGAGATGATGTACGTCGAGACACGTGGGATTTTTCGCTTAGTGGCGCTAGGGCCACACTACGTAGATCGTGCGGGAGCGACCCGGATTCGATGATTTGGATTCGCAGACCCAGTTCTTAGCACCTCTGTCCGTGGATCTGGAAGCATCGATCCGGTTAAACAACGGTGCCAAATGTCTGCGTCCTCTCTTTTGACAGTTGCATGTCATCGATGGTGCGCGTGTGTTCGCGCATACGAGCCTTGCCCCCTCATGCGAAACGCCAATCTAGCTCGACCGCCACACTTTCCAAAACTCTGAACACCTCGCCACACTTACCCGTCTGCTAGCACGCAGTACCCGCAACCATGGTCGTAGCCCTCGCTTATTTTGTTGGTTTTAGAGCAGCAACCATCTGTCAGGGCAGCCACTAGAAAATCCAGGCCCGCTGTACCCCTGGATCACAAAGTTAAAGCCCTTTATCAGAACCAGGACCAGACAAAGCAACACCGTTGAATCCGCTCTTCGCTTCGTACATACGAGTATGGTCGTCCGGGTGGGTATTGATAGAAGTGCTTTCCAACGACCCGCAAAACGTTCACTTTTGATAGGAAATGGTTCGACAAAGACGATTTTGCCGCGTCGCCCATGCTCGAGAGATGCCAAGGACCGAACACCGATAGCTCAGCCCTGAGAGTCTTAAAGTGGTGACTTTATCCCCTGTTGAATACTTACAAACCTTTGCCTTCCCGCGCTCGTCCAGGCAGGTCTTGCGGTGCACTCATTTCCGCCATTCTGTCAGTGTCCGTTCCATCGGCGTCCATTCGTTGATTTCTTTACCATGGGTTCCCTCTTCAACGGCGCCTGCCTCTTTACTTGCTGGCTGCCAAACATCTTGAGCCCACAGGGGCAAACAGTACCCGGGTCCGAGCCAGACATCGCATGGAAGACATACGATTACATCGTTGTGGGAGGCGGACTCACTGGACTTACTGTCGCCAACCGCCTGAGCGAGGATAGCAGTCGTAAGAAGCCAAGTCTAATTTAGTAGTGATCGCTACTGACGATCATCAGGCACGGTTCTCGTTATTGAGAATGGCTACCTTGTTGACGATGTCTCGACTCAAGTTCCGTCATATGCAAACAGCTTGAACACAGGCTTGATGTATGATATCACATCAGCTCCCAATGTCAACATCGGTGGCCAGACAAAATCTGTATGGGTAGGCAACGTCGTTGGTGGCGGGTCAGTCGTAAACGGCATGGCCTTCGACCGCGCGTCTGCTGCCGATTATGATGCGTGGGAGCAGCTCGGCAACAGTGGGTGGAACTGGAACAGTCTACTGCCGTACTTCAAGAAGTCTACTACTTTCACGCCACCCTCAACGGAAAACGTAAAAGCATGGGGGATAACGTACGATGCGTCATACTACGGCACAAATGGTCCAATTCAAGCCTCCTTCCCTAACTTCGAATACTCTGACATCACCACTATCTGGGCAGCTTACAAAGCCCAGGGTGTCCCTCTGCCCAAGGAGCATGCTTCGGGTAACGCAGTTGGTGCCTACTGGATTCCTACAGCGCTACAGCCGGAAACACAGACTCGGTCAGATGCCAGGAATGGATACTACGATCCCATAAAAAGCCGCAGTAACCTTATCCTGGCTACTGGCAAGAAGGTCAACGAGATTCTGTTCGACCAAGGTTTGCTCACCGGTTACAAAGCCAAGGGTGTTCAATACGTGTCGCGCTTTGACAACTCCGTCAAGCAGGTCTACGCCAGTCGTGAGGTGATTATGGCTGCAGGATCCATCTTCACACCACAGCTCCTCCAACTAAGTGGCCTTGGACCCCAAGACGTACTGAACGCAGCGGGAGTGCGCGTCAAGAAAAACATGCCAGCAGTGGGCGCAAACATGCAAGACCACCCCAACGCCAACTTGCAGTTCGACCTCACGAACCTAGCCACTCCAAACCCACTATCTGGCCTGGATCCAGCGTTCAACGCATCGGCATGGGGACAGTACAACACCAACAGGACCGGTCCGATCACCCAAGCCCACGGAAGCAGCCTTGCATTCCTCAGCCTGAGAACCATCACCGACAACTACGAGTCGATTGTCTCATCCATAAAGAGCCAAAACGCTCGCACCTACCTCCCCTCCGTCTATGCCGACTCCAAGCTTCTAGCCGGCTTCAACAAACAGCGTGACATCATCGCAAACCTCCACTCCCGCGCCGACGCAGCAGTTGCCGAGTTCCCTATGGTAGCATTCGGCCTTGCTATTGGTGCCCTGCAGCGCCCGTTGTCACGGGGTACTATCACACTAAACCCATCGAATAAGTACGATGCGCCTGTTGTGCAGTGGAATACTTTTCAGAATCCTATTGATCGCCGGATCATCGTCGAGATGGTGCGCTGGCTGCGTCAGCATTGGGCGCGTCCGGAGTTGAAGAAGTTCTCACCAGTTGAGATAGTCCCTGGGACTGGCGAGACAGATGATGAAATTATTGATGCGCTGATCCAGACCAAGTCGCTCGAGGCAAGCTTTGCGCATATGTCTGGCAGTTGTTCGATGATGCCTGAGGCCTACGGTGGTGTTGTAGGCAGCGACTTGCTCGTGTATGGCGTGAAGCAGCTGAGTATTGTGGATGGGAGTATCATCCCGCTGGTACCGGCGACGCATCTACAGGCTACCATGTATGCTGTTGCTGAGAAGGCAGCAGATCTTATCAAGGCAAGGAATCCGGTGTTGCAAACACCGTCGATCTTTAATGCTTTTAATATCTTCAGTCGGTGGAGCTTGTGATAGTCATATTTTTCGTAGTTGTTTTTCATTGTAGATACTTATTTCAAGAATTGCTCGTTCTCAAGATCAACTCAACTTAGAAGCTGGCTGGCGGTCTTCGAATAGGAGTATCTTGCCGGCCATCACAGTGGATGGATACCTCTCCTTCACCATGTACCAAGGCGCAATCACTGCAGGGACTGATTGATTGATTGATTGATTGATTGATTGATTGATTGATTGATTGATTGATTGATTGATTGATTGGTTCAACGTCCAATCTAAGTCTAAGACTATGGAAGACGAGAAGAGCAGTAGCCACTCTGGTAATGCAAAGATTTAGTTACAGGAGAGTGAGGTCAATAGAGGTACAAGGGATGGTGAGGGCTCAGGCCATCACTGCAGGGATCCTTGAGCGCTTCTTTGAAGAGACTGTACTGCCATACTGCAAGCCTGGCTACTTTGTACTGGTGAGGGATAACGCATCCATCCACTGACTAAGAAGAGTGCAAGATCTCTGTGCTGACTTTGGTGTTCAGTTGGATTACTTGCCACTATACTCTCCTGATTACAACCCAATCAAGAAGAGCTTCAAGGAATTGAAAAGCTGGATCAAAAGGCACTGGAGGGGGGCAGAAGAGTTTGACAACTTTGCGTACTTCTTGTTCTACATAGTAATGTAGGCTTGCTGTGGTGATGTGGGAGCTCGTAGCTGGGTTTTGACGTGCAGGTACCCTGGACGAGGCAGACGGCCAATGTGACAGCGTCAAACAAATCGCAACAAATAAAGCTGCCAGGCCAAGGAAAGCACTGCTGAGGGTGTTGGCAGCACCTCCCCAACTGGGCACTAGCTCAGTGTTGCGATCCTGTGTCTCACACGGCAGATAAACCTGGCTGTTCCAGAAACTGTACTCGTCCCTAAGGACCAATTAAACCGTGCTTCTGAGCTTTGCTTAAAGTATGACTTCAACAATCCCCAATAAACTGTCACCCTCAATCCAAAGACTGTGAAGTCACTGTAGGCCGGCAATCAAACACAGGATAGATTGGCGCCGTCTGAGGCCAAATGGGATGATATTAGGCAAATCCTTGATGCCTGAGCCTCAAGGTTTGTGAGGAATATATACATGTGTGTCATCCTGGCATGGCTTGCAGCGAACAACAACCCTCCCAGTCATTTAAAGGCTCCCATCACCCTGCCATTTGTCAGCTTGCATCATTGCTTGCATCATCATCTTGTGCCCCACTTTAGTTAGCCACCCATCTAGATATATGATCCCCTTCTTCTCACCTCTAGATTGTTCTCACTCATGCTTGCAATTCACATCAACAATTCACTTCTCAGTTCAATACTTCACCTTTACTCCTCAACTCACTCCTCACTGATCCTTTGTGGTATCGCTACACTTGATCCCTCCTTCATCATTTATCCTTTACACTACTTGTGGTATCCCAACACTTAGTCTCTTCTAAACTCCTATCTTCTACAAGCCTGAACCTCCCTTCTACCAATTCATCCATCTCAGAGAGCAGTTGGTATCCCCAGCTGGTCCCCTCTCACATACAACACCCCCCCCCCTTATTACTTCAGGATGCTAAGCAATTCAAACAAACTTCAATTTTTTTTTACTGTAGCTTACTCTTCTGTTTGTTTGGCCTATCAAAATAGCAGCGGAAGCCTTTTATTTGGTTGACATTGACAAATCAAACAAAACTCAAACAAAATTTTGATGCATGTTCGGTTGTTGACAACTTTAATCGGAAGGCCCGCAATGCGAAGTCTGCCTCTGGCTTTGCAGATAAAACGAGGGAAGATTTGCAACTGACGTTTCACTTATCTAACGTTCACTTCGAGCGCCGGCTGCCAGCATGACAGTGCGGTGGTCACGCGGCACTGCAAAAGAATGCCAATTGATATATGCTTCGCAGTGACACTGAAGACGAGTATGAACTTGAGGAATTTGGATATACAAGCTACACTTCACGATCGGCATTCCATAGCAGCCATAGGGTTTCTGCCAGGCAAACAGGTTTCTGGTTCAACACAATTGTGTGCTACCCTGTTGTGTATTTGAACACTACCTTGAACCTCTATGACTCCCATCTAATACAAGAAGCCCTTCTCCAGCCAAGAAGAATTGGCCACTGAATTTATCCATCAGACTCTTTGTTCTGCCTCTCAGGATAAATCCGATGACCAGTGTAGTTTCCAATCTCGTCGTGATAGATGTGAACAGTGTGGGATTTGTTTGTTTTGGCCTGTTCTTCAGTAGCCAACAGGACTGTCGTGTGCTGCTTGGAGTCGGTATGGCTTGTGTGGGTAGGATTCCTGTGTTACGCATACCCATGAGCCGCATAAGTCGCAAACGTTACTGGGGCGCATGCTTACTTGAGCTTGGCGACGGTGAAGTGGGCTAGTTCAGGCTGCTTAGTGGCTTCGTGGATCAGATTGAGCGTTAGGTGACGAAGGTTAGAGTTTCTGATCCTCTGCGTGAACTTGACTGCACTATGGGCGATGGGAGACATTTTTTTCAAGCTGGGATTGATAATAACAGATGATACAATCAAGAGTGGTGCCTATGGTCGTGCGACTACAGCTAGTTATGAAGTCCTCTAGCCGGCTGCAAGTAACCGCCGACATCATTTGTTGCGGTGTATATAACCTCTAGGACCCGAGGGTCAAAAAGGTCGGCTTTTTTGCATCGCTGCGGGGCCGCGACATCTTTATTGGTGCGTTACAGGAACACGCTGTGGCCGTCAGGCTTAGCGCTGGGCTTAGCGCTGGGATGCCGTTCGTTTGCTTGGCACCCTATCAAAACATCCGTCAGCGCTCCAGGACTTAAGCCGTCGCTTCGAAAGCATGGGATTTCACAAATTAAGCCCGCGCCCTTGCAAAGTATTAGCTTGGAAATCGCTTGCATGCACACGAATATTTCGGGCGCCTCCGCCTCCTCGCTCAATCTGTTACACGTCTCCTCGAACTCTCCAGATGGATCATTCATCACACATCTGCGATATTGACGCCGAGCCTCTCCACCGCTACGGCAAGGGCGGTTATCACCCAGTTCACATAGGAGACTCCTTGAACGATGGCAGATACAAGGTCCTGCACAAGTTGGGCTGGGGGAGCTACTCGACTGTCTGGGCTGCACGAGATCAGAGGTTTTGCTTCCACTATGCTCTGGCAAGCACCAAGCTTATGTTCTCCCAGAGCACGTACGTATGTTGCTGTAAAGATCTCGATCTCGGGCCAAGAACGTTCAAATCGAGAGTTCACAGTCTTACGTGCCCTTGCAGCGGCCCACTTTGACCACCCTGGCGGTCAACATGTAATGACGATGCAAGATCACTTTCAACTCAACGGTCCAAACGGTACTCACGATTGCTTTGTATTAGAGTTGCTAGGCCCAAGTGTTGCTGATTATCTTGATGCGCATTTCGACAATGAAAGACTTCCCGGAAAACTTGCAAGAAAGATTGCAAAACAGACTCTCCTCGGTTTATCCTACATACATGAACAGGGGATCGGACACGCAGGTAAATCACAATATTACGGCTTGAGGCTGAATTGCTCACGCTTCTTAGATCTGCATACCCGGAACCTAGCCTTCACTGTTCCTTCAATACATGCTTTACAAGAAGAAGATCTGTTCCAAAAGCTGGGCAAACCCGTGACAGGGTTTGTCCAAAGAACCGATCGAAAGCCACTGGAGCCTAGCATGCCCCGCTATCTTGTTAAGCCTTCCTCTTATTCAACGAATTACAACTTTTCGCTCGATGCAGTCAAAATTGTCGACTTCGGTCAATCTTTTTGGAGCGCCGATCCTCCAAAGACATTTCACACTCCACTTCCGCTCCGGGCTCCCGAGATCATATTCAGGGATAGAGTAGATTGGCGCGTTGACTTATGGAGTATGGGCTGTATGGTAAGTCCAGACCGCAGAGACTTTTGTTACGACAGCGACCGAGGCGAAACTAATATCCTTCGCTAGTTATTTGAGCTCGTTGTCGGCCAACCGCTATTTGACAGCGTCATGACCACCCCCACAATCCTTGTCCGCCAAATGCTAGAGATGGCTAGTGATGAGCTGCCGGAGCGTTGGCAAGCAAAGTGGCGCGTCATGGAGGCAGCGTCACCGGGCGAGGAGTCCGTCTATTCGCTCCAAGCCTGGTTAGAGGAAATGTACTTTGACGGGGAGAGGAGCGAAGACCTGAGCAGAGAAGATATTCTTCGGGTGGGCGCGCTTATCCGAAGTATGTTGCGGTTTGAGCCTTGTGCCAGGGCGTCATCAAAGGACATCCTCCAAGACTCTTGGTTTCATGAAGACTGACACATCCATGATTGGGAGGGGAAGACCTCGCCTAATGCACGACTTTGGTACCGGCCAGGTGAACTGTAAGTGAAGTCTCTAGAAGAGAGGAACTGGATGCACCGCAGACGCCTGTGACGACCTTGTTAATTGCAGCTCTGCTTGCGCATACTGTTGTGTAGGTCAATGAAGTGAATAACAACCATCCGCTTTGTACTCTTCAAAGGACATATGTTCCTACGTGTACAAGTCCCATATCGTCGTCTTGGCAATGACACAAAGATGCAGGAACGCACAGATGGGTGACTGAATCCGTGCAATCGAATAAGCTAGGAGTAGCTCAGAACTGGTACTGATGGACGCGATACGTGCAGCTGGTAATAATAGTGAGGTTATAACGTTACGTTGTTGAAGTCGTAGTTGACTGTGACGGACGTGCTGTGGTCTGGGTATAGCACGTGCCAGAACGCGTTGCGGGTTTCCCATAAAACACGTCGCAGGAATTGTGCCAGAAATAAACAAGTCGAACACATAAGTCTCCATCGCCCAATTTTGCAAGTAAACAAGTAGAGCTGTGACTGAATATTTGCGAGATTTGACTTGTTCGATAATTGTGTGTACTGCTGGCTTATAGGGAGGTGTTGTTGCAGTAAATGCAATAAGTGAAGGTGTAACCGCGCAGGGCAGTACGTCAGGGGTAACCGCGCGAAGCAGAAAAATCGGTATATTGTTGTTCTTGTTCAGTGTTCTCTCACTCGACCCCCAGCGGGGTCTGTTTACATGACGTATGTATCTCGTGCAGTCAAGAGCAGGAGGTGCTTGTTGGAAAGAGCAAGAGCACCAACACACGTGGCACACATGACCTCCATACTCCATAAACCGTCACAGGTGTTGCTGGCTGGCTATCGCGATAGAGGTGTTGGATGACCACGTTGATAGCGCTGTTGCTGGTGTTGATAGCAGGAAGGGCGCAGCAGAGGAGCTTGATCGCCTTGCAAATGACTTTACGGGTGTTGACTGGACGCGATTGCCTGGTTTGATGAACCCGCTCTCGCAGCCGCCGCGCAAGAAAAGCTGGGTTTATGACCACGGCTATCGCTGCGTTATGGAGAAGCAACCTAAGCGCGTCTTTTTCATTTGCTGTATATGTCATCAGCAGAAGGTTATTGATTGCGGAGGGCATGAAAGTACGAGGTAACTGATGCAATTACAACGCCAGCGACTCACCTATGGAAGCATCATGGCATCATGGCCACAGAAGGCCTGCTAATGGAGCCTGTTATAAGCAACAGCCAGCGCTCTGTGCGGCAAATGTTCGCCTCCAGCAGCCCATTGCCACGCAACGTAGCCAACGGTATAGGTAACTTCAACGCGCAAGGATTCCGGATGACCGCTGTGTCATGGTTTATAAGCAATAAATCACGCCCTCCGCGAGTTCGAGACGCCGGCATTCACGGCAATGATAGATTTTGCCAACCCAGAGGCAGCCAGGGCATTGTGGGCGAGCCACAACAACATGTCGAGGTTTGTGATGAAGGTCTACAGCTATGTACAGCCGCAAGTTGTTCAGGCGCTCTGAAGCTGTCAGCAAAATCCAGATAAGCTTTGACTGCTGGACAGCTAATGGCAGCCATCGCGGCTTCCTCAGTATTGTGGCTTACTTTGCTGACAAGTCTGATGCAGTTAAGGACCTGCCTATAACCCTCTCACAGTTGGCTGGCACCCACGCTGGCAAAGTAATTGGGGCAGTCGTCACCAAAATCCTCCAACAATTTGGCCTCCACGGCTATCGTTAAGGCTGTTTTTTGTCCTTGACAACTTGCCATCCAACAACCACGCTGTCGCCAAGTTAGCGGAAATCTTCAACTTCGAAGCGCAAGAAAGGCGCATATGCTATAGCTATCATATAATTAACCTTGTTGGCCGGTAGGTGATGTTTGGCATGGATAGAGAGAGCTACAATAACGAGCCGTCAATGGCGGCCATCGAGGCAGCACTAATGGGAGCTTGGCGCCAGGAGGGACCTTTGGGCACCTTGTTTGCAATTGTCAACTACATCAAAACACCGCAACAGTACAATCTATTCAAGGATTATCAGTGCAAGGCTAACACGGGCTTGCCAAAGCTGCAACAGGACATCAAGATGCCCGTCAAGCCAGTCGTTACTCGCTGGAACAGCTACACTGGCACCTTCCAGCGCGCTGTTGAGTTAAGGGTGGAACACTCTATACGGCAGATTTTGTGCAAGGTGTTCTTCCGCGACCTTGTTATATTTCAGTCGAATCGAAGGAATAGTCGGGAACATGCTGCTAACAGCCTGCCACGTAGGGGGGCTACCAAAATTTATCCCCAAGGCCTGGGAACAGCTTACAGGTGGGAATCCAGACGAAAGACAAGGGAAGAGTTGGAGAGGTACGCAAAGGACCATCAACGATATTGCTTGATCGGCGACTGTGTGGATGGAGGATCCTGGCTATATCTCCCAGAAAGAATACTAGACAAGCGGTAAGGACTATGTTCAAGATATTGCGAACGTCTCTGACACAAATCAGGCGGGGATCTATCAAGCTCTCAGAGGAGAACGTCGCACCTCTGAAGCTTGCTTTTAGTAGGATGGAAAGACCGGAACGTCCTACCGAAGCAGCAAGACAAACCCGCAACTTTCAATCACGGTTGTATCTACCCGAATTTCTCAAGCAAGGTTCACAAAGTACCGCACGATGCAGGGCAATGTACAAAACGGATGAAGTCAACTAGAAGCGGCATGCCACAGACTCTAGCAGATGGAAATGCCGAAGCGTCTGTTGCGCCTTCACCCATGGGTGAAGCCAGCTGAGGAGTCTTTGTGTTCGGCAATGTACACATCCGCGTTTATGGTCCTGATTGGAATAATGACTTGATTGAATGGGCTCCCCTCCTTTGCGAAAGAACTATGCCCATACAGGCAACTATGAGAAGAGGAGGGTGCGGGTAGGTGATTTTGGGATCCAATTAATCGCCTTGTCAAGCTGAGTATGATGGTGATGCTTGTAGATGGATGCACGTTAAGGAACAGCCAAAAATGAGAAGAGGAATAATGGTGGAGAGGGAAGAGATCAGACAGAACAGTGACGTTGACCTGACCTCTGCTATGTCCGTGGCTTCCGAGTGGTGGTTAAGGTCTGGTTCAGGGTCTAGCACGTGGAGAAGCCCACATATATATCCTCCGATCAAGCCCCTGACCCCTCTCTACTTCGATTTCTTGGTACACTCTTCTTGAGCTACCAAACAAAGGGGGCCCTAGACTTTTGCAAAGCATAATATCTAATCTTGAACCAGTACAATTTCATGATATGGACACAGGCGATGGAACTAATCAAATCAATTTACTTGTTCACAGTTTTGCTTGAGACCCAGGCAAGGGGAGGAGCTAGTAGGGGCTGAATCACGAGAATTGTTCAGAGGCAGTCGAAGGCTGGACTCGATCTGAACCACAGATTGTATGTATGGGAAGTCATGGCAGACTGATCAGGCGTTAGCCATTCCACGACACCCTACAGTAATTGCATGTAGGTGTCTGCGACTCTGTAAACTGCTTTCGCCATTTGTCAAAACATTCTGTATGAACACTCTGTCCGCAACCATTTTTGCACCAGACAGCGCCATTCATTGACTTGTAGCTGTTGTAGCAGATTCTACATTCCTTCGTGAGAGCCCTTTTTTGGACGTGGTTTGTAGGCATCGCGTTGCGACTACCATCGTCTCTAGCTGCAGGCACTTGGTCGCGTAAGGATCGGAAACGAGGGTCCAACACTGCAACCTGTTCAACAGAATCTGAAGAGACGTCTCCAATGTCTGCTGTACGTACAACCTCCTCTGACGTGAGGTGGCCAGATCGATCCAGAGGGTATCGCCTTTTGTGTTTCCGCGATCTCCTATTTCTTTGGCCTGATGCTCGACCTGAGAGCATGGCATTATATCGACCTCTTTCTCCCGCTTTGTGATTACCTTGGTTCATCTTATAGAGAAGGTGTTTAATCGGGTATTTTATGCTTTGAGTGTCGTGAGCAAATTATCTAAGCTGATTGTGGGTGCTCTTACTGATCTTCTTTTGAGGAAAGCGACCAATTCTATGAACATTCCATTGTCAGGCCAATATTATTGGCCATGTTGTTAATAGAAGTTTTCAGACGTATTTTCCAAGTCCTCTCCGTATGTCATCTAAGTGTAGGATAAATAAGTATTGAGACCGGTGGAATTAATATTTTCTCCCCGAAGTGCTCCAGTGCGCTCAAATTGAGAGGAGACCGTGTTGTTCGCCCAGATGGTGTTTATGGTGTGAACAATGCCTTCCAGGGACATTTCGATCTCGTAAGGTAGGAATTCTTCGTGAATGATGTCGAACTGCTGGTGTAACAAATCCTCCTACTTGGTTGTCAACGTGGCGAAGACAATGAGATTGCGTCAAGCTGCGATGAAACATACAGAGACGTAGCCTTATCCCAAGTCGGTCCGCGAGCGATGTTGTGCAGGTGAATGTCGACGTTGATGTTTGTGTTTGAGCGAGAGACCAGGTGGTTTCGTTTGATTGCTTCGTGTTCCTGCGCATGCTTGGCCACGTCGTATCCCATGCGCAAAGACGGACAGAACACCTGCACGGCTCCAAAAGAAGCCATAAAGGCCGCGAGCTGGAGTTGAAACATGTTGAGAAAGTGGTGCTTCACTCCATAAAGTGGCGGCATGGGCCGCTGTAGTATACTGATAGCTACGGTAAACAATAATGTAGGGCTATCGGGTCGATGGAATACTGCGCTGAGTTGCTATCCACCTAGGAGATGATGATGTATACTGTCCCTGGAATGTGCTAGTACAGAACAGTCTAAGCAAGGGTGATCGGGTCTCGTAAGGACCGACTGACATCGCAACACATAAGTTCCCACCCATCTCATGTTCTTATACCCGCCAATTATAGACCCTGCTACTGACCCCTAACCTTAAAGTCATGACTTCCAGCACCTTAATGCCCAAACAAGCAATTTGGTGAAGTCGCAGCCTGCCTGAAGAGATACGTCTGCCTCATGCGCACTCGGTCAAACATCCTTAATCGGCGAGTCCGAATACACGATCAACTACGGAGACGTCGCGAACTTCACATATTCGATACCTCCGTTCACCATACTTCTGCCTCAACAACTGTAAGCCATAACCTGCAACGATTCCAAAACCCTCTCGGAATACCACTTGAATCCGGATCATGCTCAACGATACTGGCCACATCATTCAAGTATCGTGTTAGCTGCCGCCAATCCCAGTACCAGTCAGGATCCTCTCCTTCGGGCACGCCTTGTTGCATGTCTCGACAGGCCTTTACGTCCAGATCCCACAGGTACGGAACCAGGTTACCACCCAGCAGTTGTTCGCGAAAGAATCGCTGGGTAAGTTGAATTCGGGTCGCGAATGTTGAAGATACGAGACGAAGGGAGAGAGCGGAAGCAGTCGGCAAGAGTGCCACAACTTGATCAATGATCTCTGTCGGTAGAGAATCCAAGCCACTGGTTCTCCTATTGGACGTTTTGGAGAGAAGTAGCGGTGCTTCTTCCCGGGGCTGTGCAGGCTTCAGAACCTCTAGTACGAAGGCCGTCAGATTTTTGTCGTGTAGTGGATCGACAAGGAATTTCTACAATACAAATCAGCAAACGATACAGGGCTGAAGGGATGGGAATGAACCTGGCAGCCTTTTGCATACTCCCACTCATCATAGCCCCAATAATCACATGCACCGTAGTATTCATGCGGCCAGTAAATATTCCACCATTCATCGACATAGCCTGGACATTGCTGACGCAGCTTGTCGTAATAGGCTCGAAGAGTCGGTAGTCCGTCCTTTGCAATCACTCCATCTTGCTTCGCGACGAACACGCGTTTGATAATGTTTGCGCAATTACTATGCATGGCAAATAGTATATCACCGTTATTGATAGGGTAATGAGTAGGATAAGTTCGACCACCTAGATGGAAAACATTCCCTTCTCCGTAGTGACAGTACGGATCTCCGAAGAAAGCGGGATGCTCATCCGTGCGTTTGTAAGCTGGCATATCGGCATATACAACTGGCTTCAATTCTTCAGACGTTTCTAACGATGAAGGGATGCCGAAGAGCTGTGCATCATGGAGCCACTGAAAGGTTACGTCAGCGTTGCGGATATCTGGCGGACGAGTTTTGGATACCTCAAAATCATGATTGGTGTGCCCCTGAACGAGATATGCAGTATTAGGATCATCGACGAGGCTGTCGTAAGGGTTGCCAAACGAGGCACCGCACACACTGCAATACACTTCTGGTAGACCCATGGCCGCTGAGTTGATCTGATGTTGACCTAAACGCGGTGAAAGGGCGGCAGGATGCTGCTAAAGCGAGGTATGTCTGATGATCTGATGAACAGCTGTTGAGTTAAGGGATTTGATGTGAGAGAAGATGTTGTCGGATCATAGTTGGACCCGTGCCGCATGGAGGTGGTCGTTCGGCAACCGATGACAGCATGCACGGACCAAGAACCGGCCGTCGGTTTCAAAACAAAGCTCCACAGTGCATCGCACAGACACCCAATCACCCTTCACAATCCGTGCATCACTCTATGACTCTTTTCGGTATTAGCAGGGTCTTGCACATCTGCCGGGATGTGTCCAAAGCCAAGGGTACGGCAGGTCAACGTACCATACTTGGCCATCATCAACCGCTCACTCGAATGCGACATCGAGATTCATCACCTGGATCGATAAGCTTTATTATTCGGGTTCAGCTCATTCAAGGCTCGACGGAGCTCCGAAAGTCTCAGTTTGGCGTTGACACGTCCGATCGCATAGCGCTCGGAACTGCTCAGCGGACTTCAAGTCCGCACTTTGAACATCCACGACTTGAGTTGTGTCAAGACTGATATCACTTATAATCAGGGTACAAGAAATCATTTGCCCGCACCAACTCTCTCGTTGCATCGCACCAAATCAACTTCATTCGTTTCTCCGCACTCATCTCTTCTAGTCTTCAGAGGTCGTCTCAGTTGTTCCAATTTCTCAGCATTACAAGTCGAAGCATCAAATTATATAACTGGAGCCTCACTCGTTAGTGGTAATTTGAATAGGTTACGGAAATCGCCACTCGAATCACTTTGGGATATCACGAACTTTATTTAAAAGATGCGCTTTGTTGTTTGGTTAGCTGTTGCCCTTGCTGGTACTGTTACAGCCAAAGGCACTAAGCCGGAAGCCTCTGGCAGAGCACCAGCAAAGCCAACAGTCAAGCGCGTTCAACAGACTGTCTCAAAATCCACCAAGACATCCTCGGCCTGCTTCTACGACGACTACACTCCAAAGGCCGACGCAGGTCCTAGCGATGACTCTGTCCAGAAGCGTTCGATTGGCGGTAGAATTCTCATCGAAAAGCGAAAGTTGAACGAGGTCCCAACCAAGTTCGGCAATTGCGAGTTCGCAGCCAAGGCAGCAGGGTTAAAGTACAGAAACAACCCGGTATGTAATTGTAGCAACAGAACGCGATCGTTCGCTGACGCTACCTTTACGTATAGACTGTGGATAATGTTCTGAATAACATCAATGGTGCTGGAGCCATTCCAAAGTGGTTTAGCTTGAACGATGATTGCAAGGCTGCACCTGGATTCGGTATGTACGGTATCTCGTTCAAAGTGGGGGTCAGACCTACCAGACATAGATTGCAGGGATGGCAATAGTGTACGAGTGCAATCAGCAGCGCTGACAAGACCATGAAGATGTTGTTGGAGACTCTCCTGCCCGTAAGGATAAGGTCCAGACGGTTACCGCCAACGGAAGGGTTGTGGAAATCCCCAAATACAATGTCGATCACGTATGGGAGCTGAAGCTTATGACGAAGTTTTTCGAATCTGTCTTGCCAGGACCCAAAAGTCCAGGTGCAACTCTTACCTGCGCTGACTTCGAAGCATCGTTCCTCGTTACCGGCGCAAAACCGGCCGATCAGCCACTTCAGAAGCTATACGACCGCATGCCTCAAGCACTGGAACGCCCAAGACCAGAGATTGACACACTGGAGTTCGCAGGTACCTCTGTCGAGTTGAACGCAAAGAAGGCTAGGATCTTGACGCCAAAAGCGGACGCTTCAAGTCTTTTCGGATTCAACCACCTCGCCAGCCTTCAGAACATCAAAGACAAAATTCACGCCCTACGCACAGTCAGTACCACTATCGCCATGATGAACGACGGACGCGTTGTCAAGCTGTTCGACCGCGCACAGGACCGACTTAAAGTCTATATGGGGGAAGTCGACACACGCATCGCGAACCCTGCCAACAAGCTCAGACTCAGCCGCACTGGCTTCACCTGGACTGATGCTTTCAAAAAATGGATGGAGAAGTACATCGCCGATCGAGGCGACGAGACATGGACCTGGGTGCGCGACATGATGCTCGAAGTGCAGAAGGACATCAACAAGATGCCCAGTAAAACCGAGGCCGAGAAAACAAGAAAGGCATTGCATCAAGAGTATTTGGATACGTTCAAAAAGAGTGCCTACAGTAAGCAATCGCATTATACGGTGAAGTGGAAAGCGTGAATAGCACTAGCTAGCCGACATGATGAGATCTTGGCAATAATAGTACAGCGAAGAGCCTGTTGCTGCGCAATTGGCATGAGTAGACAATAAAAACATGTGGAGAAACCCGAAGCTCATCATTCATCTTGAAAATCTTACAGCCTGCAGTGCAGCAGTAGTGAATGCCTCTCTGGAGTACGACAAAACTCCATCTGACATATTGACAACCATATAATAAAAGCTTTACGATCAACCCAACTTTGCGAGTTCAAAATTTGCTTTACAACCAACAAAATACCTTATCTAGTCCACCACAGGGTTTCGTAATGCTGTGCATGCTATTCGCACTAACGCGCTTAGGTGCTCGACACAAACTAAACGTGGTCTTATACTTGCATACCTTTAGCACGGCGCATGCTCGCTCGAGTCCCTCAATATATACCCTCCTTTCAACGCTAACACCTACTATCAATCCCGCACATATCCACACTAAGCACGAAAAGACACAGCCAACCATCGCCACCTAACATCGAAGCCGCTGCACATACTCCTTAAAGTACTACTTGCAAGATCGTCTCGCGACTGAGTTCCAGACGTCCTGAGCCATTACCATTAGTTACCCTCCTACTCGGTTATCGCCTGTTACCAGGCTACCAGACCAAAGGCGTGATGTGAGTCGCTAAGCCTTGGTGCCGTACCTAAGGTGAAGTGTTCATGATGCATCTCGAAAATAAGAGCTGTGTCACATCATAGGACACAGCGTCAAAGCGAACTGACTAGGTCATTCTCTGTTTATGCATGGCCACAGCCTCGCACGATAGCTTGTGTTAATCTTTTATATGCCATGAACAACAACGTTCATCCAAAGAGGATAGGATTCAAACGCCAGGTGCCCTATAGATGGTAACGTATATGGTGCTCAGATTTGTTTGTTGAACAACTATCGCGGCCCAATTTACAATTTGGAGTATTCGCCTCGCGATGTTGATAAACAGTAAACCCATCATCATCCGTCACCACGTTCCCGGATGGCTTAACTTGTCGCGGTCGCGATGTGTATACTTCAGTGCCATTGGTGTGACGCAAGGATTGGCCTCAGTCGTTTACCGAAACATCCAATAAACGGGAAGACTCCACGATGTTCACAAGAGAGTATCATTGGGTATCAATGGTATGCGCATAACGTTACGCTATAGTGCAAGAGCATATACAACTCATACAACTACAATGCTTGCGGTGCAGGCGCAGCAGGCGCACTCTGCACATCACGAGGCGGACCCGGTGGTCTCGCGCCTCTTGCAGTACCACCTCGTCCACCTCGATGCCCGCCGCGACCTCTTCCGCGGCCACCGTTGGTAGCACTGTCTACCTTCGGCCCCGACGGTGGCACGAATGCAGGTGCCTGAGGATTCGGTGCTTGCGCCCCAGCTCTTTGTGCGTCAACAGCCTGCGCCCTCGGTACACGAGGTTTTGGTGTTGACCTCTCCTTGCGCTGTCCATCCACTGCATTGCCTACTTTCTTCTCCTTCTTGTTTTCTCTGCCTTTAGACGCTTTGCCATCCGCGCTAGCATTTGCACCTCTACCACCATGGCCTTTCCCTCGTTCCCTACCGGCAGCCTTGGCAGCGCGCTCAGCAGCCCTCTTTGCCTGCTCTTCTTCCTGTATCGCACGCTTACTCTCCGCCTCCCACCACTGCTGGAACTCCTGCTCTTGCTGAATCTCTTCAAGGCTGCGCTTTGCAGCTGCGTCGCGTATCGATGTCTTCTCAGCCTCCTGAAGGGAGAGGATCTCCATCATGCTGAGATGTTGGCTTGGTGAGGTGGGTGAGTGGGACGGGAGAGGGATGTGCCGAACGGACATAGGTACCGGGATTGGTGTGTTCGAGACAGACATACCGCGTTCAGAGGCAGCGGGTCGTGAGGGTGACGATGCGTCTTGGGTGTTGTGCTCTTTGTCTTTACCTTTCCCCTTGTCTTTGCCTCTGGCGATGGTCTGGCGCATGGTGAGTTGCGGTGTGCTTTGAACTCGAGATGGCTGTGACGACGGTTGTGGTGAAGGTTGTTGCAGGGGAGATGTGGCTGCAGAAGGAGCCAAGATCTGATTGGCACTTGGCTTCCTGTATGATGCAGCCTGCCATGGGGATACGGCTGGCGGTGCCGGCTGCGCAGCTTCAATCTTGATGCCTTGCTGTTGGGCTTGCTGCAGTCGCTTGCGTTCCTTTTGTGACATCTTAGGCTGAGCAGCACGAGCACGTTCGTGTTCCTCTCGAGCTAAACCGAGCGCCAAACCAGAAGGCTGGTCACTCGAGGTTTGCGCCATGATGTCCTTGAGATCGAGCTTTGCGCTGGCCAAAGGGGCTGCACCCCATGGCTGACTCGGCGTCCTCGCTCCTGAGAGCGCGCTTGGCGGCAACGAGCTAGGTGATATGAAGCCATCTTCGATGTTGCCTTGAAGAGTTGATTGCCGTTGCTTGATCGCAGCAGGCCATGGTGACTCGGGTGTGCCGACCAGCTGGTCAGTGGGCTTATCTGGTCCTTCGGTGAAACGTGGAGGTTTGATCTTTTCCATTGACCCATCTTGCTCGTCTTCGCCATCGGACATCTCGAACATGAGGTCAGCGGCGGAGCTTTTGCCCTTCAGCTGTGGGGTCAGGGCCGGACTCTTGGCCTCGATCTTTGCATGGTTGGAAGCCCGTCTTCGGTTGCGTTGGCGTAGTGGCGAAGCCGACACTTCTTCCAGACTTTGCGCTCTGAAAGAGGCTGATGGTGTATCAGCACTGGCATACTTATTGGAAAGTACGATGGCGTCGATCTTGGCACGCTTGCCTCGCTCGATTCTTTCCGCAAGCTCGGGGTACTGCTCAAAGAGGAGAGCTTCAGCCCTTCCACTTCTTGCGAAGGGAAGATACGCTAGCTGATTCTCGCGTGCGACCTGGTTCAGTTCGTTCAGCAGATCGTCGTCGAGCTCGTCCAAAGACCTGATCAGAGTTAGAGGCCGCCGAAAAGTCAGAGTAGACGGTACTTACCCGTTCTGCATGACTGCCTCCAAGCTGAGGCAGACATACTCCAGAGCTGCATCCTTGAACTCCGCAACAGAGCTGGGTGCGACAGCAGTGAGCAGCGAGCACACGTTACGAGCATTTACTGGGCCCTTAGTCAGCTTGGTTTATATGCGTAACATGGGTGGACGTACCATAACGACCGATCAGTCTTTGACAGATCTGCGACAGGCGGTCGAGCATCAGCTCGTTTGCAACGGACATAACATCCATGACGTGATCCAAAAGCTCGTCTAGTGCAAGTAAATCATTGAGGTCTTCGCTTGTAACGTCGTCGAAAATCTCCTCGCCAGCGTCGGTGTAAAGGTGACGAACAACGAGCTCAAAGAGGTGTGTCTCAACATTCGTCAGATCGATGTGGACCGGTGCTGAGCCCTCTCTTCTTCCTGACAGCCATTGCCCTCCAGCACGACCCCTAAACAAACCCTCAAAGAAGGGGCATCGCTGGCAGACGATGTCAGAGTGAAGTAGTATCTCGCCGTCAGCAAGGTCGACAACGACGTCTCCACTTTCGAAAAAAGACGGTTCCTTGATGGCAAGCTCCAGATCCACGTGCAAAGAGCGTCGAGGGTTGACCATCTGTCGTACAGCGGGCTCGAGCTGTCGCAGTTCCAATCGAGATGCTATCTTCATAAGCTCTGTTCGGACAGAACGGTAGCGGAAGGCGAGTGCGGGCGCATGTCGGGTAACGTTCCAGAAGTCGACAATTGAATCAGTGTATGCGTATAGCGCCAGGTCAAAGATAGTCAAGAAGTCCAGGCCCTGGAACATCACAAGGGTGGAGTCGCCATCTTTGCTGATTGTCAGCAGCTCAGGGATAACGTGCTCAGAGTCCTTCAGACGGAAGTCTAGCATGGCATCTCTGAAGACACGAGAACGACCAGACATGACGAATTCGTGTACAGGAAGGCGAACATCCGAGAGCGTGCTTCCAATGACCATATCGTATGTGTTCTCGGAGGTCATCGAGGTTTGTTCCAAGACCTCTGCAACCTCCTTCTCGAGATCTTTCGACTTTAGCACACGCTTGTGGAGGGCTTGCGATTGCCCAGGACGGTTCCAGTATCTGGGTACCGGCTCTTCGTCGTCAGATGACTCTTCGTAGTTTGTCAAGTCGTAGAAGGACAGCAATGGTGCCAGATCTTCCCAAAGACCAGGCTCATCAACACCAATCTGATTGCGTGTGACGTCGCAGTCCTTTCGCACTGCAGCGTAAGCACCATATGCAGATGCACGGACAGCGACAACGCGAGTCAAGCCTGACACGCGCTGAAACTTGTAGTCCTTAGGTTTCAGATCAGCAGCAGCCGTGGTGTTCGCGCTCTTGATGGTCGCTCTCCTAGTACGTCTCCACACAGTACCGGCCTCCGTAGTCAGGATAATGGAACCATCTTGATCCACATCTACATCCCTGGCAGCCATGTGACTCTTTTTGGAAGACCAGATGCGATATGGTGCTGACAGGGCTTTGCGAATCTGTTTGGGGTTCGTGGTCGATGTGCTTGTGTCCTGCACACCATCTGACCGACGACTGACAGCCACAGTAAATACTTCACCAGACGTCGACAAAGCACATATCGTGTCGCCGCCTGATGTTATCTTCTGGATCCTGTTCGGCGCGGTGTCGTACTTGGTTGTAAGCCAGCTTTCCTTGAGGAAGTTGCTCGTAAAACCATCGAGCGCAAAGTTGAGCTTAGAGTAGCCGTAATTGGCGAAGACCCAGACTTCTCGATTCTCAAGCATGCATATCGAGGCGCCATCAATTGCTGATACTGCAGCGATGGGCGATGAAAACAGAGATGCGGCAATTTTGCGAGGAGTTACCTGCATGTCCAATGATCGCGCGTCCGAATCGACAATACCCAGCTGACCTTCGTTCTTGCCGAAGGTGTACAAGGAAGTTGCGCTGTGGACAACAGAGTGGATTCGCGAAGCTGCAATGCCGATAATGGCCTCGCGCTTCAAGGGACCGAAGATCTGAAGGGGTAGTGTCGAGATCGGGTCATCGTCCTTAAGAGACGGCTTCGGTAAGCTGTACCCTAACTGACCGAAGGCATTGTTGCCCCATGAAAAGATCTCACCCTCGTCCGTAACGGCAAGGGTGTGGTTCTGCCCCAAGGCTACTGCAGCGATCTTCCTTTGGCTTAAACCGCCACCTTCTACGCAGGTGAACTGGTAACTCGTTGTCTCACTGCCGATTCCTAAACGTCCTCCAGTGCCATGTCCACACATGTACAGATTCGAGACAGGATCAGTCGTCAGTACAGCGGTGTGCAACTTAGACATTTGTACATCCTGTATCACGATTGGGGTGTTCCGGATGTGCGTCGGAAGATCAACAGTCCCTCTCGGTATTTGTGTCCCGGCATCTTGTACAGGCACTCCCATTGCAGCCCAGAACTGGTTGTGTCTTTCTCGGTCCTCCTTGTAGAATCGCCGAAGAAGGTGATCTGGTCTTCGCAGGACCACGCGCTCCGGAAATGCTCGATCGTCCTGATCGCCGAAACCAAGAGTCACGTTCTTGTTGCTGCCGAAGGTATAGACCTCGTCGCCGCCAAGGAGAGTCGAGGGAATTATTAGACGTTGATGCAGCTCATCGTCCATATTCCCGCTATCGCCATGGGCCATCTCGTCGTCGGAATCTGAGTCGAACATGGGGGCTTCTTCTGGCCGTAGTGTTCGGTCTTTGATCGTCATGGAGAACAGATCGAGTGGACCATAACCTTCTTTGTCCTTGATCTTGACCAAGCCGCGCGCATGCTGGTTGAAGCCATGGCCTTGACCAAGTACGTCCTGGGCGTCGCGGTTCAAAATTAGACGGGCGATAGCGATGTTGCCGAAATAGAAGGCTCGGTGCAAGGGCGTCCATCCGTTCTCTGCGTCCTGTGTGTACAAGTCCGTCCACTGGTGCTCCAGCAAAATCTGCGCAAACTCAACAGCATTTTCAGATGTTGAGGATGCTGCGTGGTGTAACAGCGTGAGGCCTGCCGAGTCGCGGCTGTTGATGTCTGAGCGGCTCAGCGTCACGCCTGCGCCTATGGCGGTCCTGCGGCCTTTGGCGCCTAGCATTGGTGAAGCATTGTAACTGCCTGGGCTGCTGTTCACCGCAGCGCCGGTTGGTCCACTCTGCCAGCCAACGTGGCTCTTCTGTGCGCCTGCGCGAGACGACTGTGTAGAGGACGCGACGACATTCCGGAAATTGTCGACGTCATCTTCGAGATAGTATTTCCAGAGATAGCCGCTCATGTGCCAAATGTTGGTGGTAGTCTACCGGAGTTTCGACGAATGCCTGCCCCTCGCTATGATCTCAGGGACCAAAGCGTATTTAAAGGTGCTGGCTGCGAAACTGAGGTGGAGCTCCAAAGGGTGCGCCAAACGCGATTGTTCGGCAGGTATATCTCCTGGATAGACTTTGTGGTATTCGAAATATGTATCGTACGCGTTGTGCGATTTCGGTGTGTGGGAGTGCGAGGAGTGTTTGCGGCAAGTGGCAAGTAACAGAACGCGGTTGCTCGAGTCAATTGTGCTAGTAGTGGGGTGGCGAATGAACGCGATATGGGTGGGAAGCTTCGAGATAATCGAGTCTAGGTCTTGTCGAGATTTTTTTCGCAACAAGTACTCTGAGTAATCCGCGAATTTCGTTGCTGCGTTTACTGTCGGTGACCTCGGGAGTGTCTCTGATATCTCGGTACCCTGGGTCTATGACGATACAGGGAATTGTGGTGGGGTTCGTCGGTCGTCGCTGCTGATTGTCACAGAGGTCTTTCCATGAGTCAGAGTAGAGGTCGCAGTCGTAGCACTTGCTGAGGTTTGCAAAGATGCGCAAAATGCGTCACTTATATGTGATGGATGCTGGCGGGGTATGAAGAGCGATGAAGAGCGATGCGGCTGTTCGAGGGATGTGCCTTCGATACTCATCATGAGTCAACCAATCAGCTACCAGCGCTCTCCACGGGCTTCCCTGCTTGCGCCGTGGAGGTCGACATCACTGCGACGGCGTGATGGAATGACAAGTGTTCCATAGTCAAGAAAAAATTGTACCTCGGGTGTGACTACAGTGAAACATCGAAATGAACACTCTCGACGTGTCTGGGGGATCGCCGTTCATGTACACGCGCCGAGTACCCCACAGGCGGTGAGTGGCAGTCGGTTGGTCAGTGCCGTGGAAACGACCGTAAACACAAAACATCCTTCTTGATGCCGAGCTTTGGTCGTCTTATACATCATGACGCCTAGAAGACATGCAGCACATTGCACTGACATTGCCTCAGAACTGGGGAAGCTCGACCAAGCTCAGATATCTGACTGCCTCCAGGCTGCTGAAGACATCACATAATTAAAGGCCATGTTCCTCACATCTGCATCTGCAGTGTCTGCACCAAGCCAACAACACTGGCGAGGTCTCAACATTGATGACGCAACCTTCATACGATATGAGCGCATATCCCAGTCCTCCAGGACAATGAAGCTGCCTAGTGAGCCTACCATTGACCACTGAGCGCTTTGTTGGCAGCCAGGCAGCTCTCAGGCACGATGACTGACCCTTGACCGGCTGCTGGACGTCGCACACGAAGACTAGATTGGATCTTGCGTTACCGGTCCAGTTCGGTTGGCTTGAGATTGTGCACGGAGGAAGGTGAGGCGGGTGGAACGGTGGTGCATGGCCGCGTCCAATGGCGTGCGATTTCGCAACGTGACAGCCAGCCCAGCAGCGCACACAGCTCGAGGAGAGGAGAAGTAGCATTCCACTGTGATTGAGTTATGATCAAGCAAAAGTCGCTGGCATTGTTTGATGCTTTGTTCGTACAGAGCGCTTGAACTCGGTTCATCGAGGTTCCTTATCGTGATCCAGTATCTCTTGTGCTAAGAGGCGGTAGCGCAGGCCGCAATGTGGTGAAGCTCACATGCACCGACCATTGCCTATCACCAAAGAAGACGAGCTCCGGCTTCCCCAGAAACGCTGGGCTGTGTTGAAGGCGCCATAGATGGTAGCGCTCGCTCATCTGCAGCTCCTTTGACTCTTGCATCCACCACAGTTTCCCTTCCTGGCGACTGCGTCCTCTACCAGTCCTCTACCAGTCCTCTATCAGTCCTCTATCAGTCCTCTATCTCGCCGGCCCTTGTCTTGAGCTAGCAGCCATCGTCATTCGGCAGCCGGAGTCACGCTCAACTGTCACACCTCCAACTCCACACGCTTTGATACGCCTCCAACGCTGTCTGCTCGCCAGACCTCTCTTGACAGCTCGTGTGCCAGCTAACACGCTAATCGGCATCTAAAAACGATACCTGCACTTCGACGTTGAGCGCCCACCACAGTACTGGTACCTCATATCCAAGGTGCTCAAGCACAACAGCCTTATCTCCACCCATCTCCGCGCCCTTCAGATCAACGACATGGCTGTTGCCTGAGCTGCCCCAGCCCAGCACGACACCCCAGTGTGGATCTGAACGACATCTCTGACTGTCGCTGCTGACCCCAGCCGCCTGCACTCGTGATGGCTCCCAGGACTCACCTGTATTCGCCGTATTGCCCATAACCGCATCCCAGCACCCGCCGCTCATATACCCTCCGTACCTGTTCCTGCAGCAGGTCTCCCACACCATGCAGCCCTCCTACCTCCGCCCGTCGTCGCGCACAGCCTCGGCGACCAACAGCCTCCAGACGAACCCTACACGAACGAACAACCAGCGGTACGGCTCGCCATACTCAGACACCGACCCATACAGCGATAGAGGTCCTGATGACGAGGAAGGCGATATGGCTTCAGCGGACCAAAGGAATAGCCAGAAGGTGAACCAAGTCATCCAGGTACGTACCGCTGGGCAGCCTTACCTTGGACTTTCCACTAATGCATCCTAGAACTTCTTCACCAAGGCTGCCCTTACCATCATATCATCACGAGTCATACTGCCGCAAGCCTTCAACAATAGCGGTGGGATAAGGCAAAACAAATGGGTAGGTCGCCATCAACGACCTCGTGTACGCTCCCATACTGACATGACTCGCAGTTCAATGTTGTGTTAGACGACAGTGATGTGGTCCAACAAGACCTCGCCGACTGGAAGAACATGGACGCCGTGGTCGGTCAACACCCTCCTCTTTGCATCGAGATATACTTGGACACGAAAGCGTTGGGACACAAGCAGTCGCTGGTCATACGTGACGACGACGGAAAGAGATGGGACGTTGCTCGTGCCCTGGACCACGCCTCTTCAGGCCGCTCCGCCAAAGCAACACAAGTACTGCTCGAGCGCTGGACGATCAGCGTGGGCGACAAATCTTCGGTGCACCCTACGGATCTCAACGATCCCCTGCCAAACGTTTACAAGAAAGCAGTCGTCTTGTTCCGAGCCCTCTACACCTACATCCGCTTTATCCCGGCTTTCAAGTACTACAAGAGTATTGCCAAGCAACCTGCAAACAACCCTGCGCTGAAGCTAGCCTACCGGATTACAAACGGCGATTTCAAGAGCCCTCACGTCGACACCTTACACTTGCCATTGTACCAGTCTAAAGAACCCGTCATCGATCGGCAGGATTTTGGGCCTTCGCACTCGCCGGTTGGGCCATTGCGTATATCTGTCGAGTACCGTACAAACTGTGAGTTCAGTGTCGAAGACTCCGAGTCATTGCTAAGCTCGGAGTTCATGGGCCTGGACAATACGTACTTTGCTCAGTCACAACGAGGAGCGGTGCCTGGCTCCCTTCCCGTCAATAAGATCCACGCGCAAGAAACACCTGACATTGGACAAGCCTACGGCAGCCTGTCTACATTCCATCAAGTCGGGCCACCAACAGGGACGAGTCCCATCTCTGCTCTCCGTGCCGTGCGAGACATGCCTTCATCTTCACCTACTGAATCGCCGCCACAGAAACTACCGCCAAACCATCGCACTGCCCAAGGCTCGAAGTCTTCACTGCGATCTGGTGATGTTCCGCAATATCAGCGACGCACATCCGTCTCATTCCAGCCATTCAAAGCTGGCTCGTTGTCTTCGTCACCTGCTCCAGGTCCCGCAGCACTCCCTTCGCCAGGCAGCTCATTGGGTCGACCAAGCAGCTCGTTCGGACGTACCGCCACTCCTAATCCACTGCTTCAGCCTCGCAACCGTACTTCGTTGACTGCGCTTCCCCAACAGGCACTGAGGACACCATCATTACCCAATGAGGCAGTCATTGTCTCTTCTGCGTCAAGCTCACCACGGCCTGCTCCTATTAAGTACAGCAGTAGTTTCGGACATCGAAGAAACCGGTTCTCCACCAGCGGCGGCAGTAAGACAGAGGATGACAACCTGAGCAGCGGCAAGGGCAGTGTAGCGTCTTCCCTACAGCGTGGCTCGGACGTACTGAATGGAGGGGAAGGTGGCAGTTCTGGCGAAGTCAAGTCGGACGATGATAACATCTCAGACTTCTTGAAGTTACTCGAGGCCAAAAAAGAGTTGAAGAGCTTCAACCGCAGCGACAACGCCTCGAAGGAATCCGCCATGCGTAGGACCACGGCCCAGCTGTCTAAGTATCAGCGTCTCAAGGATTCGCATGCGGCGCTCTCCGACTCTGTCTCCTCTTCCACAATGCTGCACCGTTCATCTTCGTCCTCAAGTCGCCAATTGTCCAGCGTTCCTGCCATGATCGCTGGTACATCAGTGTCCACTGCCTCGTCACCAGGCAAGCCGATCTCACCACACACCCCACACACTCCCGCCATCCCATCTCGTCTCAGTGCAAACAGCATCATCGAGTATGAACCACGGCCGCGACGAAGTCGATCTTCACGACCGAACCGAGAACAGGACACGGCTGACACACAAGAGCCGAATGAGGAAGATGATCCAAGCACGAATGCTATCGACATCCCCACCTCGCCTCGGCATTGGGAACGGAACTATGGCCGCCGATCCAGCTCGGTTGCTCAGCAAGACCGTAACCTACCTGAAGACGACCCGGACATATACGGGCGCGCCGCTAGCCTACCACTCACGGAGATCGGACGGGCCAAGGATCTGACACCGAGTGGCCTATTTGCTCAGACAGAGACAGGCAACAGCACAACACAAGACGACCAGGGTTCTGAGGAGATTGATCCCCTTGACCACTGCGCACAACGACCCTCGTCCTCATCCAACATGCCCGCTAAGCGTGGCACCTACTCTAGCAGCTCTCGCGGCCGCACAAGCTTCTTCTCCCATGGTTCGTCGTCGGGTGCTACCAGCTCTACGGAGCGGCCGAATCGCTACAGCTTCTCGAGTCGCGGACTTGGTCAAGAAGATGATGAGCCCCTGCTTTTCCAGATGAGCGAGATCGGTGCTGGTGGCTCGCGACGCAGTCTTGAGGAAGCACCGGGGAGCTCCGGCTCTGGAGCTGTGGGGAAGCGAATGTCGCCTTGGGGCCGCTGATGATACAATACGCGCCCTTGCACTCTTGACAAACGCATACGCACATATCATCGCCCACACACATCACGCGACTACATAACAAGCAACACCAAACCAAAACAACGCATTTTGCATACTCTCACCTCCAGGTCATCGAATCGGAATCTGATCAACTCGGCGCAGTTGGATCAGCAAAGCGCGCATATCATTGTCTTTTTCTCATCCTGTCTTCTAGCAAGCGTTTAGTCACTTACACGTGAAACCTCGCACGGCGTTATCTTTTTCAAGACCAAAGGTCATAGGCGCAGGGACTGGCGCATGTAGGTTGGATTCACATATAAGAATGTCTACAGCCATGGTGTTTACAGCTTCGCTGCTCGGCGTTACGCATAGTATCTTCGAAGGAGTCAGGATAGTACGGATAGTTGGGTCTGAATAAAATCATGTTCATCATCAATACAACATTTGGGATAGACATGCCCTCTGACTTCCGCATTGACGGAAGTTGGGTTCAATAGTGGTTGTGGAAGCTCATACTATCGATGTTCGTTTTTGAGAACTGCAGACCATCAACGTCGACAATAAAATTACTAACTCCGACACAGCACTTTTCACGTGCCAGAAGACGCACCAAGAGACATGGAAGCACCAGGAGTCTGTTTCGCAAGTGGGGAGACGGTGTAAATATTGCTGTGTTATTGAATTGAGTTTACTCTGCTCTACCTCTTCTGCAACAGCTCGTCCAGTCCCTGCGCACCACCCTCATACCCCTCAAGATCATACTCCTTGGGGTACCTCTTCAATATATCCGCCATCTCGCTTACATGAGCTCTCTGCTCTTCCGTGATCTCCTCCCACACATCCGTAAATGCATGCTTGATATTCGGCTTCTTCTGCTTCTCCGCCTCCTCAAACGCCCTCAGCACCTCCTTCCTCGTCCCACTCCTGAGCTTCTTCTCCTTCTCCTCGTCCCACACGCCCCGGCCCTCCATCCACTTCCGCAGCCGTGTGATCGGATTATCGCGCCTCTTCCAGTCCTCGACCTCCACGCGCTGGCGGTACGCGAACGAGTCGTCCGAGGTGCTGTGGTGGCCCACGCGGTATGCCATACACTCAACCAGCACCGGTCGTCCTCCGTCTTCGAGCGCGAGTTTCCTCGCCTCTTTGACCGCCCTTCTAACAGCAAAAATATCGTTCCCGTCAACGCGCAGCGTGTCGATGCCGTACCCGGCTCCCCTCGCCGCAATGCCATCGCCGCGATACTGGTCGGAAGTTGGGGTGGAGATAGCGTATCCGTTGTTCCGGCATATGAAAATACAAGGGACTTGCCGGGTTGCGGCGATGTTAAGCGCAGAGTGGAAATCGCCTTCTGAGGCGGCGCCTTCGCCGAAGAAACATACCGCTACTCTCTCCGTTGTCTCTTCTCCTGCAGTAGGGGCGCCGATGCGGCCCACGATGCCGGCGTTCTGCAGTTTAAGCGCATACGCCGCGCCTGCTGCGTGTGGGATCTGTGTAGCCAGTGTGGAGGATATGGTGTGGATGTTCAGTTCTTTGGAGCCGTAATGCACGGGCATGTTCCGGCCCAGACCGTTGTCAGAGCTGTTGGCGAAGAGCTGGTTCATGAATTGGGCGAGGGTGAAGCCGCGCTGCAAGTACACGCCGGACTCGCGGTACTGCGTGAAGATCACGTCGGAGGGGTGTAGGGCGCTGGCTGAGCCAATTGAGATCCCTTCTTCGCCGGCGGATACCATGTAGAAGGACAGACGGCCTTGGCGCTGGGCTTCGAACATTAGGAGGTCCATTATGCTCACTGATGTCGTTAGTGCGTGTGAGGAGGCGAGAGGGAAGTGGGTGGAGAGTGCCTACACTGGACCATGTTCTTGTACAACTCGATGGCTTCTTCATCTGTGGTGTCTGCGCCAGTGCTCTTGTCTATGACCTCGCCATACTGGTTCAGGCAGCGGTATGTTGATATCGCGCCTTTCGATTTGGACGGGCGGAGGAACTCAAGGGTATTTGTGAACTCGCTGTTCAGTGCTCCGGGGAAGAGAACTCTACAACTTTTCAGTCACGTGTGCCAATAAACAACGCATGCACCATACTTCTCAGCATTCGCAGTCGAAGCCACACCTCGGCACTGCCATGGTGCTCTCACGGTCCTCGAAGCGTTGCATGGTGTGGGTAGTCTTTGAAGTTGCAGTCTACGCGCAGAGCAGCGGAACGGCATTTTGGAGTGTATGTGCTACATGTTCGTGGGCCGGCTTGGGGTTTTGGGGCATCCGGGAGGGAAGGTAGTCGGTTGTCGTGCAGTGCTTAAGCCGAAGGGTCGTTAAGCCGAACCCCAGAATTGATGTCAGTCGGCTTGGGCCGAGCGGGACAAGGCTGGTGGGTCGTTGGAGGGCACGTGCCAGCGCGGCGGAATAGCGCGCATCATTGAGAAAAGTCGCGCCAAGGAATTGCGGCTTCACGACATCGCCAACATGCAGACAACACGAGCAAGATTAGGGCGCCAGCTGCTGGATGCGCGGACGAGAGCGATACGGGAGCCGGTTAGGTGTTTCTCTGCTTCAGCATCACGGGGTGTGAGGGAACCGCCTCCACCACCGCCGAAAGCGCCTCAGGATGGCACGACGCACTTTGGATTCGAGACAGTGGCAGAAGCCCTGAAGGAGCAGCGAGGTGAGCCTTCCTTGAAGAGCAGCATATCGATTGAGTTGGCAACTAACCCCCCCCCCCTCACAGTCCGCGGCGTCTTCTCCTCAGTCGCCTCCTCATACGACTCGATGAACGACTTCATGTCGCTCGGCATCCACCGCCTATGGAAAGACCACTTCGTGCGCAACCTGAACCCTGGCCGCAACCCACTCACCTCGTCCTCCGCCGCCGATACCCAGGGCTGGAACATCCTCGATATCGCCGGCGGCACGGGCGACATCGCCTTCCGGATGCTCGACCACGCGTCGCACATCAACAACGACGCTCACACAAACGTGACGGTTGCAGACATCAATCCGGACATGCTGGCCGAGGGCAAGAAGCGGAGTCTGCAGACGCCGTATGCGCGGAGTCCGCGGCTGAGGTTTGTCGAGGCAAATGCGGAGAAACTGGATATGATTCCGGATAACAGTATTGATCTGTATACGGTTGCGTTTGGCATTCGAAATTTCACGCATAAGGATGTTGCGTTGAGGGAGGCGTTCAGGGTGCTGAAGCCCGGGGGTGTGTTTGCGTGTTTGGAGTTCAGCAAGGTCGAGAACCCGCTGTTTAATGCGGTATATCAGCAGTGGAGTTTCAACGCAATTCCGTATATTGGACAACTGGTTGCGGGCGACAGGGCATCGTATCAGTATCTTGTCGAGTCGATTGCGAGGTTTCCGAGTCAGGAGGAGTTCAGTGGGATGATTAGGGATGCTGGGTTCCTGATCCCAGGGAAGGGGTACGAGAACCTAACGGACGGCATCGCGGCGATACACAAGGGTGTCAAACCCGCCAACTAGAGGCGTGCTGTATTTTAGCATTGCGATGGGTATATTAGATTGTATGAGTATTAAAGCATATTAGATGGAGATTAATTCCAAGCGTCCTCGGACAACATTTCAGTTGGAATACTGTCTGCTATGTTCATAGGTAGGTGTTTGTTGCGCTCGCGAGCATACCCAGGAGGAAGGAGCGATCATACAAGGGTAGGATGTACAGACTGCTCCTTCGACATCTTCCAACCATCAACCCATTTTTGAAATTTTGGCTCCAAACTAGTGCGCAAGCGGAGGGCAAAGGATGTTCAGATGTACGGGACAAGGGTTTTGGCATGCTGGGTCTTCAGCTTCGCTTCTACTCTGATTATTCAGGAGAAGTTCCGGACCTACTTCTCGCTGTCCTACGCAAGGAACTTTCGTACGCGCTTAACACCAAAGTCAATACCGATATTGATCAGGACAATCATGTCGACTATTGTGCGCTCCGAAAAAGGTTCGCAAGAGGAGCAGGAGTGGTCGGCACTGCACTTTATTGGTAGGCAGTGCTTCATACACCTGAACAACCAATCTACATTAGGGAAATTCGCCGCTTCCTGTTCCACGGGGCTCATTCGGCTCTCGCTGAACTTGAGGTCGACCAAACGTTGCGGCATCAATCGGCCCGTACAGGGTCAGACTATCCCTATAGCAGACTGGCCTGGCCTAGTGGGTCACTGGTCAGGTATATAGCCGTCTTCTCTAGCTAGACAGCAACCCAACGCAGTGTTCCATCGTATTCTACTAGCGGCCCCAAGCGGCCACAGTCATGAGCTCGGAAGCCTTCAGTTAATCACTGCGTTCACCCGTTTATCTACAGCCTATACAACTGGTTGTCGACCATACTGTCAACACAGCCGACTGCTGTTTGACACGAAAATCGATCCGAGTGTCAACATCAGATAGAGCACGTCCTGAGAACACTATGAGTCTGTATAAGCAGGACCAGCTAGTGACGAATACGTTGATTATACTCAGAAGGCCTGGTGACTGGGAGAAGTGGCTGTTTATAACAAAGGATATAGCGGATATCCACGGCTTGTGGCCGTACGTCAACCCAGGTCTATCAGTGGAAGAGCTTAAACAGCTACAAGATGAGAAGCCACAGGAGAAGCCTGTGTGGAAGTTCAAGAAGACACCGGTATCTGAAGAAGAGCGGGAAGACATTGATATTGAAGATCTATCTGCTGAAGAGGTATCTGTCTACAAAGTGTGGGCAAGGAGGTTTGAGCGTGCGGAAGATCGATGGCTGCAGAAAGAGAAAGCCTTAAGGAGATTCAATTCTGAGATTGCTCAGACGATTGATGTCAAACATCTTGACCTAATCGTCAACTGTACAGACCCGTACAGCCGGCTAACGACGCTCAAGAAGCACCTCTGTCCATCAGTAGGTGAGATGAATCACCAGCTACGTAGCCGTTACAGGGCTGTGTGCACAAGACCAAAGAAGGCAAATTTAGACGCCTGGTTCAACGAATGGGTGACAATAACCAGACTCCTGACAGAGGCTAGAATGCCGGAGATTGACGGTAGTCAGTCACAAGAGGACTTCATACTATCGATTAGGGGCCTTGACAGTTGGGCAGCGACACAGCTGCAGGAGCTAATCTGGAAGGACCAGAGAGGGGAACAGTACGCGTCAACTGCAGACCTTGTGGCAGAATTTCGGTCCTACTATCGACGTACGCGCCTAATTGAGTCATCAATTGGTACATTAGCAAGATTAGGGGTTGCAATCAAACCAGACGGGCCAATAAGCACAGGGGAATCGATACGACGCGTAATATGCCTCTGTGGAGACAACCACAGGTTCAAGGACTGTCTGTACGTCAATCAAAGTCTACGACCACGGGATTGGAGACCCAGTCACTCAGTACAGAAGAAGTTTGACGAGCTACGTCAACAGTCAGGGAATCCAGTATCAAAGGTCTTGAGGATAGTAGAGTCTCAACTCAAGAAGGACGGCAAGCTGACAGACGATGTCAAGAAACAGTCTGTGATCAGCATGGACGATGGCCAGCCAGTCAGGAATACAACACACTGCAACTTTATACGGCTATAGCCGATTAGACCCAGCCACCGTTACTCACCAGGTGGATATTGGACTCAGGATCAAACTGTCACGTCACCAACAAAAAGGGACCCAACTGGACTACAACAGAAAGAGGAGAGCCCACAGACTACGTCTACGCAGGCGGAGTGTTAGCCCAGATAGAGAAGTGGGGTGAGGTTGTACTCAACGTCAAGAGTCCAACAGGACGGAGTCAGATAAGGTTGACGTACGTGGCCTACATACCTGGCTTCTTCACAAGTGTAGTAGGACTGTCACGCAGTGAACCTCTAGGAGTACACTTCGACTCAGGGCGTGACTGCCTGTATCAAGAGAAGTGTTGCGGTATCAGTTGGCCCTTACGAGACCCGATTACATTGCTTAGACTGTTCTGTAATAGCACATTCCAGTGACAGTATATATCATCATCTCCTAGCTAGATAGCAACTCAGCGCAGTACTCCATCGACCCGATAGTCCTACGTTATCGTTTACTGTAGCTATCAGTATACTACAGCGGCCCACGCCGCCAGAAGAAGGCGTCAAACGTGATTTGTCTACTACACTCCCAGGACGGACACTGGTTGATCGACGATGAGAGGGAGTAGGGGACAGTCCAACAAGCCTACGGCGCAAGCCAGCGATTAGGAAGAGCAGATGGTTTACGCGAGGCTGGACGCTCCAAGAGCTCATCGCACCGACGAGAGTCGAGTTCTTCTCAAAAGAGTGGGACAGGCTTGGTGACAAGCGATCTCTTTTGCCGATTTTACACGAGAGGACTGGCATCGTTGCTCGAGCACTCGAAGGGAGCCCGATGACGAGTTTCACGGTAGAAGAGCGGATGTCGTGGGCAAAGGGACGCGAAACAACCCGCGAGGAAGATGCAGCATACTCCCTTCTCGGCATCTTCGACGTTCAAGTACCACTCATCTATGGCGAGGGATATCAGAAAGCTTTCGGTCGACTGCGAAGGGAGATCAGCGAGCAGTACTCCATCAATCTCTCTACAGCTAAAGGAGCTTCCTATAACTCCCACGCCGAAGAGCACAATGCGCGATGCCTGCCTAACACCCGCGCTGCACTACTGCACGACATCGCACATTGGGCGACGAGCAAGGACGGGAAGCTCATGTTCTGGGTGAGCGGCATGGCAGGTACAGGAAAGTCAACCATCGCGCGCACTGCTGCTCACTCATTTGCCCAAGCAGGTCAACTGGGGGCAAGCTTCTTCTTCAAGAAAGGCGAGGGTGAGCGCGGCAACGCTTCATGTTTCTTCAGCACTATTGCCAGCGACCTCGCTGCCTGCGAACCTGGCATGCTCCCTGGCATCGGGAAGGCGCTCGAAGAAGACCCGGCTATATCGGAAAGGGCGCTTAAGGATCAGTTCGAAAAGCTGATCCTGCGGCCACTCGCAGAGATCCAGCAGGCTCGGTCTCAGGTTGCAGTGCGAGTCATTGTCGTTGACGCGTTGGATGAGTGCGAGCAAGAGGATGACATACGTGCCATACTGCAGCTTCTTGCCAGGACGACGTGCGAGGCATCCGTGCGATTGCATGTGCTTGTCACAAGCAGGCCTGAACTCCACATCCGTCTTGGCTTCAAGCAGATGTTAAACGGCACATATCAGGACCTTGTGCTGCACGAGGTGCCGAAGAGCACTATTGAGCACGACATACAATATTTCTTGGAGCACGAGCTTGGCGCCATACGGCAGGCGCGCTCGTTGTCACCAGCATGGCCGACCAAGGAGCAAGTGCAAGCGCTGGTGGAGCTGGCTGTGCCGCTGTTCATCTTCGCTGCGACGGTGTGCCGATATGTGGCCACGAAAGGAGGTGATCCAGAAACGTACCTCAATAAGGTCCTGCATTACCGGAAAGCAACATTTTCGCAGCTCGATCGAACGTACCTACCCGTGCTAGATCAGCTAATGGCGGAGCAGGAAGACGATGACCGTGAGACGTGGCTTGAAGATTTTCGAGATTTGGTAGGCAGCATTGTTGTTCTCGAGAGCCCGTTGTCCATCGTGGCGCTTTCTTTCCTGCTGCGGATCCCGCAGAGGCAGATTGAGTGCCGGTTAGACGCTTTGCACTCTGTGCTGAACATACCTAGCAACAGCGATGTGCCAGTAAGACTGTTGCACTTGTCATTCCGCGAGTTTCTCGTAGACCCTGGTCAACAGAGAAAGACTCCGTTTTGGGTGGACGAGAAAAGTGTACACAAAAAGCTGGCATCGCGCTGCCTCAAACTCATGTCTGCACCTAATGGCCTTCGGCAGGATATGTGCAGCGTCATACAACCTGGTATGCTAAGAAGTGAAATCGACAAAGAGACGGTAACTAGCAACCTGCCGCCTGAACTGCAGTATGCGTGCCGCTACTGGATTGAGCATCTCGAGCGCAGCCGGCAGAGCATCGCAGACGGAGACGCAGTGCACATCTTCCTTCAAACGCACCTTCTGCACTGGCTCGAAGCGATGAGCCTGATGGATGAGACAAGCCAATGTGTGCGCTTGCTGGCAAGACTGCAGGCGATGGCAACGGTGAGGGTCTCTGCGTGAAAGACATCACAATATACTGACTTGTAATATAGTCATCTGCAAGGACGTGTGCAGGCTTCCTCCGCGATGCGAACCGATTTGTGCTGCGTTTCTGTTCGATTGTGGCACAGGCACCTCTACAGGTCTACTCGTCAGCGCTAGTTTTCGCACCAGAGACAAGCGTTGTACGAAAGACGGTTATCAATCAGGTCCCACAGGAAGTAGAAATACTGTTGGGCAGAGAAGCAGACTGGGACGCGTGCCGCAGCGTGCTGGAGGGCCATTCTGGCGGTGTCAGGGCGGTGGTGTTCTCGCCAGACGGCCAGCTGGTCGCCTCAGCAGCCGACGAAGAGACAGTGCGAGTGTGGGAGACGGCGACGGGCGCGTGTCGCAGCGAGCTGAAGGGCCATTCTGGCAATGTCACAGCGGTGGTGTTCTCGCCAGACGGCCAGCTGGTCGCCTCAGCAGCCGACGACGAGACAGTGCGAGTGTGGGAGACGGCGACGGGCGCTTGTCGCAGCGAGCTGAAGGGCCATTCTGGCAGTGTCAGGGCGGTGGTCTTCTCGCGAAATGGACAGCTGGTCGCCTCAGCATCCTACGACAGGACAGTGCGAGTGTGGGAGCTGGCGACGGGCGCGTGTAGCACCGTGCTGGAAGGCCAGTCTACGTACATTCGCAACCTTGCTTTCTCATCTGACGGCCAGGTTCTGCACACCAACGAAGGAGACATTATATTGCCTCCATCTCTAAATCTGACTTCACCTGTCCAGCAGAACGAGCAACCTTCGCAGCTCTCTGTAGAGGACCAGTGGGTGTTGCGCAATACGCAGCGCTCTCTGTGGCTGCCGTTCGAATATCGAGCATACAAAGTAGCAGTGTACAAAGACTTGGTCTGTCTTGGGTGTTCATCTGGACGCGTGGCTCTGCTTAGGCTACGATAGAGCTGTGTGCAGGGCGTTGCGGTTGTTTGTAGTAGCATGCTTACGAACGCATTAGAGTTCTAAATGCAACATCCAAGATGCTAACATAGATCGTAGGAATGGTTTTTGCGATAATAGTTGTTAGAGTTGCTAACTTAATTGCGCTTCTGTAGCGGTGAATAGCTACCAACGCTTGTAGCAAGTACGCGATTTGCGCCCCGTCTTGCTAACCTTGACATTGCAGATGTTGGGTGGGAATGAAGCATGCAATCGCGGTAGCCCTGCAACGCTCTTGACTGCAGAATAACGACGTTGTTAGTGGCCAAGTCGCATGCCCTTGGTGCTGGCCAAATGCTCCTACGCCGGCATTGGTGCGCAAAGACCATGTGTAGCCACTGTTGCAGGCGGTGCTATCTGACAAAGCTGGGTTATCTAACACTGGAAGTGCTCCGCATAGCGCGTATGGTTGCATCGCGCTAGTCAGCCCGTACGATCCGGAAGTACCAGATTGTACGTTAAGGTCGCGTGATACCTTGTGCGACAGCAGCCATGTAGCCGGTTCTGCGTACTGTTGCAATGTCAGTAAGCTTCGATAGAACCTGCTTGTAAGTTTTAGGAGCATTAAGACTATTGTGGTGCTGCTGCAGAGGGCGGAGTATACTTTGCAGCAACACAAGGTGCTCTACAAAACAGTCCCAGATGGCATTAACGCGGTAGTAGTTTCCTGCTGTGAAGGTGTCTGCACATGTAGGATGACATGCAACAGACTATTGTTGTTAGTGCATAGCAGCTCTTGAGGCGTGGTCAAAGTGAGAGGCGTGCAAAGTCAAGGTATCGGTAGTTTTGTTCGTTGCGGGGGTTATTCTTCATATGACGGGGCTGACGGCATCCGTGTCCAATAGCAGGCAACCTTGCTGGGAGCATCGCAACAACTCAGGCCTTGGCAGACAGCAACACACTTTTTCCAACGCCTACTGCAAGCTTCATGGCACTGCGACAATGACGCTGTTCATGAAAAAGTCATCGAAATTGTCCAAGCCATGCCTCTAGTGTATAACCAGGCGGAGTCGATCAACCATAACGCGAGATATGGTCATCAGGGCTGCGATTGTCCCTGTTCGAGCCTTCTGTGCTACGTCGTAGAGCTCTCAATATGCTCTGTTTCACTCAGCTACACTTAATTCGCTCATAGCATCATCCATCCCACTCGCGAAGACAAGTTCCAGCTCGCCTTTGTCGTTAGCGCGGACATCAAGGCCCTCCCTCAAGGTTTCGAGACTTTCGATACCGACCGAAACATGTCCCAGATTTGGCTAACTTGACTGCAGAGCGAGAACAATCAACTTGATTGCAGAGTTCCAGGAGGTAGATGTGTGGCCTTTAAACACGCTGTAGATAATGTACGAGACGGTGATGACACAGTACACGTCTACGACGGCAAATGAGAGAAGCGTAGCGGTGTTGCTCTGCTCGTAACCCCAACCGCAGTTGGCAGGTAGACGTCAGTCGAATATATGATAGGAAAACAAGGCTATACTATCTTGCCCAAGCCAAGCGAGCCCTGCTGCAGACTGCACAGGGCGCCTAGGAAGATCTGCACTCCTCCATGTTCCCTTAAACAACAGCATGTTGCGGGCGGTGTTGTTTGGTGATATATTGCAGCCACATGGGCCGTCTCTGTCATGTAAAAACACGGGTCTAGGGCAACATTCGTCTTTTTGTCACAAGAGAAGGTACTTGTACTATGTTGTACGCCTGCTTCCGGCCAATCATTCGGATCACACACGTTACACCGGTGTGCATGTCCTGGTGTTATAAGATTGGATTTTGCTACTAGAGGGGTCCCCGTTGTCGTCCAACGAAGGAGATGACTTTCTGCAAATCCATCAGGAACAACTTGAACAGGCGAATAGTCCATCTCATCCTTTCGACGAGCCGCACCTCGATCCGCATCTCGAAGCATCTAATGAACGAAACTGTAGACAAACATCGGGCAGAGAATACGTGGCCAAGAGCAATACACAGGGAAACCGAGAGCAGCAGATTGTCCGTGGCATTTATGGAGAGTGTCCTGTAAAGATGTCGGGAGGTGGTGATGGGGAAGGATTTTGAGTAGGGAGTCAAACGAGAGTGGAGCCTTGGCCCATGCGCAGATCGCATTACGTCACCTCTAAAAGATGCTCGTTAGCAACTGCCACACCTGAACTCCTCCGAGATCAACGAAAGTCGTGGCAGCATACATCCAGCCTACTAAAGCGTTGCATCCAGCACGATCATGAAGATCTGTGTAAAGCTGTGATAGATCTTGGCGTTAAAACAGGCATTGTAGGCGACACGCTACACGTGCGCCACCGTAATATCCCTTGAACATGACGTAGGCACAGCTGCATTTCACTATTCCCAGCTGTGGACCCTTCAGGGCATTTATATGGAAATAATACAAGAACATTTTAACACAAAAAGCACAACACAAGCCGAAACCGAAAACTGCGAAAGCCAACATTAGAATGGGCGACAACAAGCAGCAACCTATCCCTGACCGCGAGATCAAACAAAATGCCGGAGTTTCAGCCAGCATGGCGCTGCAGGCGGCGCAGAAAGCATGGGATTTGAGGCAGGCAGCCAATGCTGCAGGTGATCCAGATGCCCGAGAGGACATTCTCGCCAAAGCCATCAACAAAGAGATTGAAGCAGAGTCCTTTGGCAAGGCAGCCAAATACACGCAATCTGGTGCGTTTCAAGGGCTTGCTGCTGGCGCAGGACTAGGTGTACAACCTGGAGTGACCCTTGGAAAGGTTACTGGAGCGATTGTAGGAGGCACAGTGTCCACGATCACTGGTCTGCTCGGTGGTGGCATTGGTTCAGTGTACGGCGCCTTGAATGGGCCAATGTGGGATCTTGGACAGATGGCCAGTCATGGAGTTCGAGGTGTTGTGGGCGACTTTCCCAATTGGAAGTCTACGCCGTCGCAGAAGAAGGCTTTGGAAAAGATGGTCATGCAATCGAAGGAGACACAGGCGCCAAGCAAAGAAGAGTTGGAGCACATGAAGAACGATATGCCAGATGATATGCCGCAATCGTGGTCGCAATCAGTGCAGGACATGACGAGTTGGAGACCTTCAATACCGTCTATGCCCAAGATGCCGAATATGCCATCGATGTCTCAAGCTGGCACTGCTGTAGGCTTAGGAGGGTTGGGCGCTTCACTTGGGCTAGGAGGGGGCAAAGACAATGGCCAGGAACAACAGGCTCAGCCAGCTGCGAGACAAGCATCGCAGCAGGATGGGCATGCTGTCCGGCAGGCAGCCAAGCCAAAGGAAGCTGCCGCACCCAAACAAGCGCCCACACCGAAGCGAGCACCAACACCAAAAGAAGCACTCAAAGTGGAAGCTCAGCCTAAGACAGAGTCAAACTCCGCCAAAGATTCAAAGCCTCAGCCTCGCAAGTCACAACGCAGCTCTGCGCCGCAAAAGTCGACCGAAACGAAAGCGCCGACTGAACCGAAGAGCTCGAAGCAAGAACCACAACCGAAAGCGGGTTCTTTGAAGCCGAATGAAATTGCCGCAAAAAATGATGCTGAGCCAATAAAGTCCACGCCCAAGTTAGCTTCAAAGCCACAAGCAGCAAAGAAGCCTTCAGCAACTGCTCAGTCGAAGCCTGCCTCAGCAGCGAACAAGGAGAACAAACCACCTGCGTCGACGCAAGGAGAACGAAGAAAGCCGAGGAAGCTGACACTGAAGTCTGACAGTGCGAACTCGAGTTCAGGATCAAACCCCAAGCGGGCGCCGCGAAAGCTCGAATCGCGCAAGGCTGCTGCGTAGAATAAAGTGCCAGACATCGCAGCTTGACAAATGCAGCATATCCCAGGATTCTTAAGGCACGGTCGATTGTAGGAAACACTTCGTTGTACGATCATGTAGCGTTGCGCATCGTTTGTTTCGACATTTGTTTTCGTGCGAGCGAGTGTTTACACTTTATACCTTTCGTCATTGCGCCTTGGCATTCATCAACCCAACTTGATACCTAGCACTATCTAATCCTGAAATATACTTCGACAGTGTTCTAGGGCTCTGGAACTACTCTACGCGTATACGCACGGCACTGACATGTCTCGGTAGTTTCGTTTCACAACAACGCTCTTGCGCTAGCCAGGCTCAGTTTAGCTGCCTCAGGTATGCAACTTCGTAATCAGGGCCGATATGAACAAAATTGTCCTCAGTAATAAACAAAAAGGCCTATGTACATGTGTATCGACGTACGCTAGGGCCAGACCGCACATGGTTGTCTCATTATCGTCAGCACACTCGTGGCTATGAGCATTAAGCAGTACCTTAAAATATAGCTGTTGCCAAGGCACTATCTTCCCAAGATCGTGCCAACAGTCACTCTACCAATATGCGTCCTACTATCGTCTTCTCATTCTCGAGCTTTGCTACACTCGCCCTTGGCGAATCTCACTACTTTATCTCTAGCTTTCTCGCAGAGTCGGCAATAGTCGGGGTAGAATTCGACGATGCGACCTCCTTTCTGAGCTTGGTGAATAACATCATGGCCCAGGCGACTTCAGGATCCAAGTGAGTCGCTGTTGGTGTGCGTGCGTACTTCTCGCACGACCCAGATTGTTGCTGACCATTACTAGGAGCGCAAACGGAATATTTATGTAGGAACTACAGGCTACTACCAAAGCTATGCTATCACGGCGAACAGAAGCTTGAGTCTTGTAGGCGCAGTAACTCTATCTTCTGATCGTGAGTCGTTTCTTGTACGTGCATGGACAAAATCTGACAACTTCAAGGCCAGAACGCCAACTACCCTACAGCTGCATCAGCATCACCCTACACTATCATTGCCGTAGCATATAGCACCGAATGTCCAGCACAAGCCATCTCCATTGGCGACTTGGGTAGTTTAGATTTTGTAGGAGAACAACAAGAAGGAAGGAAATGATTGTTTTCTTAGCTGAGTAGGGACAAGAGACTATATAGACACTGTGGCGGCGTAGCCCGCTGTAGTACACTGATAGCCACGGTAAATGACAACGTAGGACTATCGGGTTGATGGAATACTGCGCTGAGTTGCTATATAGCTAGGAGAAGACGACTATATACCTGACCTGTAACACACTAGACTGTGGTAGTGTGTCAGGAGTATAGGCAGACTTTGTATGGACCAATCGATACCGCAATATATACAAACCATAATTATCTTAAATATGCCATTCCGTGAGTCTCGTCCCATGCTTTAACTTTTCTGCTCTCTCATTCGCGCCGAATACATATTGCCACTCCGTACTTCCTCTTTTACGATGCCCTCTCAGTCTCGTGATTAATTATTACTGTTTCCCCGTCTCTTCCATAGCGGGCTCCACTGGTGCTGGTTTTGGCTTCGCTGCTAGATGATGGATGTAGAAGCGGAGGACAGCGATCAACAGCGCTCCTACAAGCATGGTCACGCCGGCAAATATCTTCAGGTAGGTGTATTTGCCATCGTTAGCTCCCACAAGCGCACCCGCGATGGGGCTTCCTGTAAGGACACCAATAGAGATGAAGAAATAGAGTACGCCAGTGCGGTGTCCAATTTCTGTAGGAGGTGAAACCTCTACCACCAGAGCAGGTGTCAACGAGACGTAACTTCCGGAGAAGAAACCGAAAAATGCCGCGAAGCTGAGGGTGGCTGCGTTATTATGTCCAGGTAGCCAGAGCGCCAACGTAAGAATGGCGGAGACCAGTGTGCAGATCATCATCATGTTGAAGCGGCCGAAGGAATCTGCGAGGAATCCGGGAAGAATCCGCCCGAAGACGCTCACAGCGTTAAGGACGGCTATCGCGTAAATTGACAACTCAAAAGACATGCCTAGAGATTGCGCGGCCGAGGGAAGGAAATTGAACGGAAGGAATAATCCAAATCCGAACAGTGTCATTGACACACAAAGTAGGGCAAATCTCTTGTCTTTCAACGGCGTCAGGTATGTATGGATGTAGAATGGGGTCGGGGTGTGAGCCCTGTTTGAGTGGATCGTGACTGCGGATACAGCCACTCCGAACAGGATAATGAAAGCAACCGCACGCATGGTCCATCCAAATCCGACTTGTGGAATGAGACGATTGACCATGACAGGGAAGATGACACCACCAATCGACGAGCCAGAAGTGGCAATACCGTATGCAGTGGCCCTTCGCACTTTCCACCAGGTCGCAAGAGCGCCCAGAGTACCATACACGACAGCACTTGCGCCAATTGCGCTGCAGACCGCTTGAGCCAGGAAAACCTGGTAGAATTCCGTAGAGATCGAAGTCATCATAAGACCGAAAACTTGTGCAAGGCCACCGATAATGAGGAGCCAGCGGGGTCCATAGCCGTCGAAGATTTTGCCAAGAACAATGCCTGCACTGTAGATCAAGCACTGTTGAACTGATGCGATCCACGCGATTGCTGATGGCGAGTAATCCCGCAAGAGGGTTTGTTCGTAGTAAGACTGGAACACTCCCAGTGAATTGACCCAGCCAAAGGTGATGAAGATAGCCCACCAAGCTCCAAAGGTCGAGAGCCAGGCTCGTTCGCCCCCATCAATTGGCCAATTGGGTGCTTCTTTCATTGCGAAGATGCTGCACAGTGGTATGCTATGGGGAATTATGTGAGGAAATGACTGATGCGTAAAGAAGTGACTTATACAATGAGAAATGGGACGACATGGAAACTTAATACAAGGCTGACTTTCTTGAAAACAACAGCAAAACACTATGGCCCCACTTGCAGGATTGACGCTGACAAACAGTGCAGCTTACAAACCAAGCAATACAGATCAGCTGGAGAAGGAGCGAGCTGTGGACACTAATTGGACTGCCAATAGGTCATAGCTTAATTGCAGTCCCCAACCCCGGTACAAGGCTTAACTCCTGCAGCTTTAAGTTCAAGCGTTGCCAATGCTGATGAGACTAGCCTTGGTGGGGCTGTGGGTATGTGCATGCGGACATGTACTATTCAAGCTACTCGTCGTTAGTACACGACTCCCAGTCATCCTTTGAATCGCGCCTTGAGGCTGACTGAGCGGATGTGGTGCAGTTAACGTTTTTGACCCGTGTCCTGCTAGGGAAGGAACGGCTCACCTCGGGGCGTGTACCGTGTCCGTGCGCGCAACGCCAGTTCAACCCCAACCTCTTTGAATATGTTCGCCAGCGTTCCGCTGCTCTGGTTGGCCAGCTCATTTGGGTTAGCTCACTCATCTTCACGCTGTAATTTAGATATACTGTAACCACGTGGCGGAAGTTGTTGAAGTGAGTGGATTGTGTTGATTTATCTTAAGAGCTATTGGCTAGAATCGATCGAGACTATATAGTAGAAGGGGATAGCAGTGAAGGGTTGGGGAAGCAAACCGAGCTAACCGAATCAGCTGGACAATCAGTGCAGCTGACCGTTAGCAAACACTGCAACGGACCGCTAGCAAACAGATGGCGATCGGTGGATATGTTCACTCCCTCCGACAGAAGTCACATGATATTCTATTGTAGAAGGCACTGCCCGAGAGCAATTGCACTTACCTCTGAGCAGAGAACTCCTACAAAACAACATCACTGAACAACAACATAGATAGCAATGCAATCATTGATCACAACCTCCGACCGACACTGCTCACGCAGTAACATATACATCCTCCCATAGTACTCAATCAACAGGTCAACCACCTTACCTCATCATGTTATGAGGCCCTCTCTCTTCAACGAGCCTATGACATGGTGTACCTAGCAGTAACGCAGGTGTCATTTTGGGAATTTGCGACGTTGTCGTAGTGTGTTTCCGCAACTGCAGCTATCCGTCTGATCCCGCGGGGGTTGGATATTTCCTCCGCAACATATCCGTAACGGGCTGGTTCATCAATTCCGTGTTTTCAATCTTCTTTACAAGGCCCCCTAAATTCGTCAAAGTTTCTGGCGACCCATTGGCCAAACAAGCTTGGAACATTAGTAGCGTTGACACCTCTTTCTTGACGATCCAACACCGCCACTATCCCGTCCATCCCCAGGGTTGAGGCAAATATCGATTCGATATCTGCATCTTTCAAAACCATTTTCGCCAAGCTGAACCAGTGGTTGAATGGCTTGAGACGTCTACCGAGCAGTTCGTAGTATGGGCACCCGCACACCTTGATTCGGACTATTTCTCGTGCGCGCACCTGAAGTATGTGGTGAACAAACTTGAACTCAGGGGCCGATGCCGTGGCGGAAAATTGGATAGATATGTTTTCGACACTTTTTGAAAGCGTTGATGGTCTCGACTGCACCCGCCAGTCCGGCACTCACGATGGAATATCATCTGCAGGAGGATTTGCCTGTCCTACAACCAGGCCTTCATTTATAGAGAAAATGAGTATCACCATCTCCATAACCAGAAAAATGTAGGATATCTAAGCCGCTTTTGAAACCTATGTGTTTCTTCGCAAATTCAACGTAGAGTTCGGGGCCCGTCGTGCTGTAGCTACCCATGATTGAAGGCATTCCTGTATGGTTTTAGCAGCAAGGGCATCGGTGGGTCTGCAACAACAGAATACAATACTCGCACATATTGGAAAAAAAACCTTGGCCATTATAGAAAAACTATCGCGGCACCACCGCCGGTACAGCGCAGTACTCTGGCTAGATGGGCGCAGCGAGTACAGCCTGAAGCGGAGCATCGCCAACTGCGCGGGCAGGATCCCTCAAGGCCAGATCCCTGGAGTGAGCAGAGCCTATGCTACAGACAGCGGGGCGGACGTGGATGCAGTGGTGAAAGATGTGATGGGCTGGCTTGCGCGGCCAGATAGCAACTCCTGGCTGCTCATCTTCGACAACGTTGACCGAGAGTACGGTGAGCGAGGCGGCGATGCAGACGCATACGACGTGAAGGACTACCTCTCAGGTGCCGACCATGGCTCTGTGCTGATCACAACGCGGCTAGCGAGGCTGGAGCAGTTGGGCAAGTCGCAGCAGCTGAGCAAGGTAGACGACGAGCAAGCGCAGGCAATGCTGAAGACGTGGTACAAGAAGACGTACGGTAAGGCAAGGTTATTGATAAGCCAATGTAGGCTTTACAAGCTGACAACCATGACTACAGACACAACCGAGGGCGACCACTTGCTGCAACTGCTTGATGGCCTGCCTCTGGCGATTGCCCAGGCAGGTGCCTATCTGCAGGAGAGCGGGGTGGGACTTAAGACATATCTGCGCTTCTACGAGCAGCAGTGGAGCGAGCTGTTGAAGGTGGACGGTGTAAGAGAAGTGCCGCTGCAAGACTACCCAGACCGCAGCGTGTGGACGACGTGGGCGATCTCGTACTATGAAATTCGCAACAAGCACGAGCAGCGAGGTAGCATTTAGTCGGACGATGCAGCTGCTGCGCAACTACTGTTCGCTAGCGGTCTGTTGCAGTGTTTGCTAACGGCCCGCTGCACTGATAGTCCAGCTCATTCAGTTAGTTCAGTTTGCCTCCCCAACTCTTCACTGCTATCCCCTTCTACTATATAGTCTCGATCGATTCCAGCCAATAGCTCTCAAGATCAATCAATCGTCTCAACACTTCTACAACTACTCGCTTGTCGAAGCGGTGGAAGAGACGGCAAGCTACACAACGCACCCCGTGGTGCATCGGTGGGCATACTACTACCAGGGCAAGCAGTCAGCGAGGGAGCTTGACCAAGTTGCAGTAGTTGCTGTTGGGCGGGCAGTACCAGATCATTCTGGTGTCGACTGGGCAGCTTTGCAACGCCGTCTTCTCCCTCATGCCCAGGCGTGCTCTACATGTACAGCAAGTACTCAGATAAGGCGAGTCTAGTAGCAACAACAATTGTAGGGTGGACCTTGATGGCGTCAACGAGAAGGAGCTAGTTCTTGACGGTATTCACTTACTTGGCTTCCTCTACACAGACCAAGGCAAACTGACAGAGGCAGAGAAGATGTACCAGCGGGCGCTGCAGGGGAAGGAGGATGCACTCAGCCCCAAGCACACGTCCACGCTGAGGACAGTCAACAACCTGGGCATCCTCTACAAGAACCAAGGCAAGCTGGCGGAGGCAGAGAAGATGTGCCAGCGGGCGTTGGAAGGGAGAGAGGATGCACGCGGCCCCAAGCACACGTCGACGCTGGACACATTCAACAACCTAGGTAATCTCTATAGAACCCAAGGCAAGCTAGCAGAGGCAGAGAAGATGTACCAGCGGGTGTTGGAAGGGAGAGAGGATGCACTAGGAGACCCGCCCGTTCGACGGTACATGCCTGCGCTTACCACACTACAAAACATGGGCGACCTTTACGTCAAGCAAAAGAAGTATGCCGAAGCACTAGAGGTGTATTCAAGGGCGCTACCTAGGCTGCAGTGCGTCCTCGGCCAGTCAAGCGAAAGGTGTAGACAACTTGAAGCTAGGATGCAGGTGTTGTCTAATCTGCAAGCAAGCAAGGTGGAGTTTACTCAGCCGTCAGGCGTCAAAGATGTTCCCAAGTCCCGGCCAGAGCAGGAGAAGAGGACATGGAAACGTCAGTCCGGGCAATATGTCAAGAGGGTATTTCAGTAGCAGTACTGCGTAACTGTTGGGGATCGTGAGTGATCAGTACGCTATGGGAAGAATTGAAGGATTGAACTGAGGTTGTATTGTGTGAAGCTACGGACAGTATGTATAGGTGAGTAGCTGTAAACAGCGCTAGTGTGACGTGGCAGTCACTCTCATGGCAGGTGAGGTTCGAAAGGCAAGAGCGCCATGAACCGTGACAGTAACAGTGCCTAACTAGAATTAGAAGAGAACAAATGTTACAGTAGCAACATGGGAGACTACAGTATGTATAATTCCACGTTCCGATGGTTGGAAGGAGTGACGTTGTGTGATGTTACGTTCGATTAGTAACAGACTGGGGCGTTTCTGTAAGCGCAATATGCAGGGTTCTGCCGACTGGTGCGAGAGCTACCTAGGAAAGATTTGCAAGGGTTCAGCGTGGGATGAAAGTTGAGCGACTTGCAGAGACTGGTAACTACGAGTGCAGACAACTGTACGATGGGGCGGTATAGCTACCAAGCTGGCTCAGTAATGCCCTTACAGTGAATACGAAAGAATGGGACGACTACTGCTACGAATACATCCGAGATCGACTCGTTTGATACAATCTCATCTCGGGTCACTTTTAAGACCTTCGTCCTCTGCCAAACAGAAGCTCTGGTATGCACGCTCGTTAGTTGAAGCGACCTCCGAATCTCCAATATCTTGCATCTCTTGACCGCGCTTTCTGATTAACGCCCCGAGCTCTGTTAGGGTTCTCGAGGCCGCAATTAAACAGAGAGGTTTTGCTGGAGGGTTGATGGACGGCCTTGACGAAATGACCGACCGCATGGCCAGCACTACAGTGATCTTTGGAGAAAATTCAAGCCCTAGAAGAGAAATAGCTGTAGGATTGTGACAATCTAAGAACAGCTTCATACCTTTTCGAAGGAGAGACACCGAAGGTCCGAGTTGCGAACCTGACTCGCGATACAATGTGTCGCTTCATTCAGGGACGCACCATATCAGGATCTACAGCAGCCCTGCTATGCCCATATCAATAGAGTGTACGGTGTAACAGAGTTAGGCAACTGGAATTGGACTCACAAGAAGGCCACTTGTGCTCACTTCGATAGAGGGTCATCCATCTCACAACCTTTTATCTCGCTGAACATCCTCACTCACCTCGTTTCACTGAGTGCTGAAAGATCACCTGCCCCTCGAGCTACGTGAACGTACCGGGTTCAATGTGCAATTGGGTTATTGAAAGGCTCTGAGCTTATCAATCGCCGTTGAGGAAAGCCACGCTGTAGAGCGCTGAAGTGCGTCGCTGAAAGATACATCAGTTACGTTTGAAGATCCTTCCGACTTGTACCATCAGGATATCAGGGTCATGAAATGTTTGGCATGGGCTTGGCAAGGATGAGTGCTTTGCTGAAATGAGGGGCTTTCCTAATGTATGGTACAAGAATTTCTGATGGTAAAACCCACTAGGCGTGATAATCGCAATCGCGCATACCCGAGGAAGGAACAAAGCCACGCCCTCAAGAGATTGAGCATGTAACGATAATGGTTAGGCTTGTAGGCGTTCCATAATACGCGCCAGACTTGCCACAATTACACCCCGGTGCTCGCCATTTTATGATACGCGCAAGGGCGAAAACGAACTCAGTGCAATCGCGCTGTAAGGTTGCTCTCCCAGGCTCGATGCACCCTCATATGATACTTGCCATCAACATAATAATGGATGAAAAGTTGGTGAAGTGGTCCCTCAGTCGAGACACTGAAGATGATACGGGCAAGTGGGAAACTGGGCTCAAGATGTTGATAGCACACGCCCCGCCTACCGCAGCCTGGTTTTCGGCGCCCATCATGTTTCCATTCGTTGCCAAGCCCTTTGCTTCGACAAGGAGGAATGGGAAGTGTAGGCCATGCTGCACAGGCTGTAACTCTCTCAGTAGCTGTCCATTATCTTGCCATTCCCCAAGCAGCACCTGATGTACCTCGGTGAAGGAGGGCCGGGCAAGGCCGACAAGAATGTCAGGCTTTGGAGTCGTAAGTGGATTTCTTGAATTAGAATATTCGGGCAAGGAAACTACTCTAGTATCACTGATTACTGTTGTAGTTTCGCTAGGTTTGGTGGGAGAGGATGGGCTGGTGAGATTGAAGCTCGCTAGGGCCGTTGCCGAAAGATCAGCTACTGGACTCAACCGAGACGTTGCAAAGAACAACAGATTATGGAGTGATTGTGGTCGAGGCTTGAGCTCTGTTCCCCACGGCATGTCCGATGCGCTCGTCGCGAGCGTGTCCCGCGCCAATAGCTTGACGAGACGCCGAAAAACACCTTCAAAAAGCGCACTCTTCCACTCAGCTTCGTCCTTGGCGTCTCTTACCAGTTTCTGGCAGTGATATAGGTAGTCATTGGCGATTTCTCTCACCTGTTCCTTCAGCTCGACCGGGATGCCCTTGAGCTCGCTCGCATTGTTGTATGCACTCTCAACGATGTCACAGCGAAGCGCGTTAATGTTTGTAGGCGGGTCGAACATATGGTCAACGTAGATATGGGCACGCGCCATGCCATTCTGTCGATATTCAAGGCTCTTCTTTGTTGGGCTGGGCGAACGCGCCCGCACGGTAGCCTTGCGAGCGCGCCGCTGGCTCTGGCTCGTACGGTTTGACATGTTTTCGCTGTAACCACGTCGCGTGCCCAATTGCGAATCGATTGCGCACGTGCAGGGCAAATGTACTGCTGTTGATGCTTTAGTGATGATTCTTCTTGTTGTCGTTGTTTATCGAGACGACTCGACTCCGGTGCGCGGCACGCTCGACACGAACGTTGGCGACAGTGCGAAGTGTTTCCTTCAGACCGACCTGTGCGACAGCATTTTTGTGGTGTAAAAGATTGTACCTGACTTCCGCAGAGACTCGCGGTGTCCGGCGGTGAAAGTTGGCGCTTCATTACAAGACTCCTCAGTTCTTGGGCATTGGTGTTTGAATGTCGGAGACTTTCACAAGTTGCTGATCCCCTTGATAATTGGAACAATGATGAAATATAGCTCTTTGGCCCGAAGAACAACTTTGTGGGTAGATGACATCATGGTTTCCAGACAGGGGTCAGCCACATGTGAAAGTCATTATACTTTGTCGCGGTCAAAAAGGCCGAGTTTCTTAACCCTAGAGTTCAGAAGGCTTTATACACAGTTACATACTTGTTTTCCGGTTGCTGGAGGCTACCGGCGGAAAGATCGTCCTGCCCAGTCTCTCCCACCTGCACGCAACCACCAAAACACGTCCAACTTGGCAAAACTATGCATTCGCTTGCACAACTGGTTCCCGGTTTTTTGCAAGGCGCTGGAAACTGATGCGACAAAGGTCCCTGTCATACAAAGCGGAGATTCTGTTTGAAAGGGAAAGCAGTATCAAGCCAGACGAGAGGTTGTGCTGACTAGCTCAAGCTCGCTACAAGTCAGCACCCTTCTTGCAATCCGTCGGAAATATCGGTCCTGTCAGTGGCTCCAAATACGTCCAGTAGCCACGCGCACCTGTGCGCTTCCCTCTCCTCCAGTGGTCGGCGCCAGGGAAGACATGAAGACATAATGAGTGCCCAGATGTTGCATAGTCCAACACCGCATGCGGCTCAAGTCACAATTGCTCATCCTGGAGACCTCTCTCGAAGCAGCGATTCTAGAGTATTGCCATTGTCGCCGATTGGAGTGTCCGGTCTGCACCATACCATTGACTACAATACTGATTAACAGAACAGCTCGGGCAACGATCAGATCCCTGGTCCTCGTGAGGTGACCTTCTAACAGTGTAATCTCTTATGGCTCCTTCTGAGATACCTGTTTTCCCAGAATGATGTAAAAGTCGAGGAATCCGCTCTATTACATAGTCTAGAACTGGTATGGGCTAGCCATGAACAGGACTTTAGGCTCGCCACGGAACGACTGTCTGACTTTCACCACGAATTCCTTCTTATATGGATCAGCGAGCGGCGAAAACCAAGCCAGCTTCGATTGATGATTGATCGCCAGCTTAGCGCACAGACACTGGAGATGGTGAACCGAGTGTTGGTCAATGAACAACCTCCGCATTCTGTGGCTGAAGTGGAAGGCACTTGAAGTGCACACTGGAAGTCAAAACATATCGGTAGAGGGCTTGCTGTATAACACCTTTGTTCTCATGACTAAAACAGAAATAACAGAATTGTTGTTCGTGGAAGGCTTGGATAGATTCAAAGAGTCCTGAGCCAAAGTTTTGAGGTCTGAAGACTTGGCTATTTCTATATTTTCTGAGTAATATGTAATAAGAGATGTAATGTTATCTCTGGTATGCTATTATGAGCGGAACTTATAGATGAGCATATGTGACGGTTTATGGAGTGAAGCGGTCATGTCTGCCACGTGTGCTGGTGCAGTGCTCTTGCCTGTTCCAATAGCACTTTCTGTCTGAACGACAGATACGTCATGTAAACAGACCCCGCTGGGGGTCAAGTGAGAGAGACAGAACACAAAAAATAACACAACAGAATATACTGATTTTACTGCTTCGCGCGGTTACCCCTGACTTACTGCCCTGCGCGGTTACACCTTCACTTATTGCATTTACTGCAACAGCATATGGTTTGTCTGTTACGGACAAGCACGGGTGCAGGGCCAAGAAAGGGTTCGAAAATATGTTGCTCTTCTTGTATCTTACGGAGGGTAGCATTCCTTGTAAGACGTGCAAAGAGGGCTACAACCCTGCTTGAGTCTTTGACGAATTGGAGACAGATCTCTACAAATTGAGGGTAGCTCTGCACACCTTTACCAATTTACAAGCGACCCATTCATAATCGCCCAAGTCTTCTCAAGAATCACCCATCGTTCTTTTGACTGCTCTCATCTTGATCTCGAGTTACTTGTAGGTTCAACTTCAACAGATACATTTTGTATTCCACGATTACCCTGCTTTTGCAAGACGCTCTAGGTCACAATTTGCTTGCTTGCGATGATCCCTCCGCAAATTATTCGTGAGACTGAGGGTGTCGACTATAAAGCTGCACCAGGAATCATCCTGAGCATCTCGTAAGGATGCCATGACGCGTAGATGCCTATTCGAGCACTGTAGGTTAAGAAAAGAAAGAAGAAGTGAGCAGTGCAACGGGTCTGCCCTTGAAGAATATTAGACTCGAAATCCTGGTCGACCAGTATGCTTCCTTTTTCAGAAAGCGAGGAGGTAGCATTGAGTTCGTTCACATATCTGCTCGTAACTACCTTGCTCAAGAAGTGCAGATTACTCTCAGCTCGTATGGAAGTTGGGGGCATGGTAAAATCGCTCTGAGCTGTCTGTCCCACCTTGTCTGAAGTACCGTTTTAAGGTAGAGGTTGAGACCTCGAAAGTTGTTATGTCCCTGAGATATTCTGAAGATGGTCGAAAGGTTGTTACCGATGTTGGTCCATTCACAGTCAAGAATGTAATGTCAGTTGCACATGGCCGCGGCTCCACATCATTAGGAGGCCTCCGGGTTGGCGACATGTGGCTATGCTATGAAGGTATGCGTTTGCTCCAGCTGGCATCTGATTTCTGAGCCACGGTACTATGACACAAAGGGTGACCAAGTAGCTGTTGGCCTGAGCAGTGGTCTTGTCTTGGTCTTCGATATCGATCGAAGTTGATTAGCACTAAGTAGTTCAGTTTACGATGTCTAAAACTACGAACCTTGTATACGATGGACGTCCAATCATGGTGAAGCAGGTAGATTTGAATGACAGCTCGCAATAATGATGTAGCGGTGTGGACCGCTGTAGAATACTGATAGCTACGGTAAACGATAACGTAGGACTATCGGGTCGATGGAATACTGCGCTGGATTGTAATCTAGCTAGGAGGAGACGACTATATACCTGACCTGTGGCACACTAGTCCAGGGTTGTGGTCAAGGGTATAGTCAGACACTGTACGGACCACCCGATACCGCAACAAATGACTTTGCTCACTGGACTGCTAAGAACAGCATAGTAATAATAGAAGCTTCTAGTCGAATGTAGCCATACTGATCTGGAATGGCACTAGATACAATACGAGAAGACATCGGGACACAGTAGATGCTCGAACACCCGGATACATTCGGGATGCACCACCCCAAGCCGGAAGACCTTTAAAGTTCTATAGTAACTTCTTCATTCACATGCGATCTTTCAGCTTGCTCAAAGGCTGATACTTTTTGCATGACTGCGCTGTAACAGGAGTACGGAAGCAGTACTCATCAAGATGCGAACGAGGAAACAATTCATGGCAGGAGTGAACACATTACATCCTCAAGTCTGCACATGCCTTTGTACGTATAGCAAAATGAATTATGCGCTAAACAAACATTATCCGTCAAGGAAGAAACGCAGGTAGAGTTCTTTTGCGCACAGATAAAAACAAAGAATTCGAGTGCTGTCGCACGGTTGGGTGCGGATATTGTAGAGGTGGAGAGATAAAAGAGTGTATGTGTTGTATTGTTTTAGCATCCTAGCTCAGCTTATATCCAGGCCCTCACACGGCACGAATAGTAATCCAATCCATGTTCACAACAGCACTTGGCCTGCAACAAGTGCGCTTGTTTCGCCATAACTGTCAGAGTACGGTACCTTGTCTTTTCAGAACAACCAAGACGGTTTCGCCACAACAGTGACGATGTTCTCCTACACAAAACCTCTATCGCTTGAGCCCACCCATAGCCTCACGGAAAGTATCAAGACCTTTCTCCAGCATCGCCTTCCTGTTCTCAAGGTACTCGCGCTGCTGCGTAATTTCGATCGGCTCGGCAGCGATGTACCGGATCTCTTCATCGCTCATGTCGGTGACATGCACAGGTGAGAGGATGATGTCCGGAAGCGGCTCGACCAAGTGACGCTCGATGACGGCTTTAGCAACGGTGTTGATGAAGTATTTGATCTCGTCCTTGTAGTATGCACGCTGGGTGTCCAGGGCTTCCTGGCTGGAGAACGTATCCATGTTCTGCTCTATAGCCTTGTTGATAGCCTCCTGGAACTTCGTTGGGTCGTTGTAAGTCTTACAATGGCGGTTGTCATAGACTTCTGAGTTCTCAGCTGCCTTTTCAACGAGCTCCTGGTACTTGCGTTGGCGCATCTTCTGAAGTGTGGTCGTGAAGTAGTGGTTGTATGTGCTAGGATGACGCGCTTTGTCTTTTAGGACCTTGACTAACTCCTCTTTCGCATCCTTCAAGCACTTCGCAAGAGCGGAGTCAACGTTCACAGCGGCAATCTTAGGTTGAAAATCTGGGGGAGCAGTGTGTTGAAGGACAAGGCTGACGAACTCCTTACACGTATTTGCGACCTTGTTGATGTGATCCAAAGCGATCTCTTCCCACGGAGAGGACTGCTCCCAAAAGAGTCCTGAGATCAGCATGGGCTGGAAGGTGCCGGGCAGCTCGTAGCCTCGAGTGCGCTCCAAGGTTTTCTTGACCCAATCGACAGCTGCGTCACGAGTGAGCTTCTTGGGTTTCGGGAGAAAGGATACGGCTTCGTTAAGCTCAAGTTTCTTGAGCTCATTCATAGCCTTTGTTTCGTCATCTACATCTTGTTCAGAATCACCTGGTCCAGCACCAAAGGCGTACTTGTGACCCCTCAGGCGCATGTCAGTCGCGAAAATGGTGTTGAGATGTTGAATGACGGCACGAAGACGATGAATGTTCTCAGAAGCATCTACTGCAGCTTCTTTGTTGATCGAGCCAAAGAATGGATCTTCGTAGTAGCCTCTTGTAGCAGACTTGATGATGTGATTGACCCGCATGCTGATCTTTGTAAGAGCCATTTGCTGCTCCTTGATTGTGTTGCGCTTCTCACCGAGCTTCTCGATGTCGTTGACTGTGGCTTGAAGCTTCTCAAACATCTCATCCTTGAGTGTTGGTAGCTCCTTGAGCAGATGGTCGTACAAAAGTTTGCTCAGACGCTTGCGCAGCGAATCGATACCGACATTTTCGTCTGGCAGGTCGATGTAACGGCCTTTGCAGAAGAACGACTTCTCAGCCTCGTTTCGCTGCTCGAAGGAGAAGCTCATTTGAGTTTCGTCACGGTTCCTCAGCATGTGCCAACCCCGCTCAAGGAAGATGTCCTTATTTTGGGCAAGATCGATCCAGGACTGCTCGTTCTCTGAACCTCTGCGGAGGTAGTCGGGCTTGGTGATGATGCCTAGAGTGCGGCGACCGTTTTCGTCGATCCTACGACAATGGTCAAGAATGACCTGGTTGGCAAAGTCATTCTTTGCACTAATAACCGCGAGAATGATAGTACGAGGGTTGGACATGTACTCCTTGACGAGGTCGAGGATAAGCTCTTTGTCGGCTTCGGTTTGAGCTTTGTTGGTGGCATGAATAAGACCAGGGAGATCGACAAGGGTACTGTCTGTATTCAGTAAATGCTCTGAGTGTATCATGCATGGTGACTTACAGCTGAGGGCGATCTGGACCGGAAATTTCTACAGAGAGCACGTCACGAGAAAAAGCTCTTGAAATGGGTCCGCCGGCGGGACCAAGCCCCATGGCTAGTGTAGCTTCGTCGATGATGTCTGGAAGTTGGTCGAAGTCATCAATCGACTTGTTGAAAGCCTTGAGCGTAACTTGCTCTTGCTTAGGGCGGAGCTTGTCAGGTGTTATCGTGATCGCGATAGTAGATGCAGGTGTGCGGCGCAAAATAATCTAGCAGTGGTCAGTAACGGAATCATGATTCCAATTAAAGATAAGGCTCACTTCTGTGGCGAAACGTGTGCAGAGATTCTCCTTACGAGGGAAGGGAATTTCGGTGATGGCTTCAAGTACAGAGCTCTTGCCTGAGGACTGATCACCGCAAACAATGAGCTGCGGTAGCTCGACAATTCCACTGAGACCGGTACGCCGTAGCTTGTCTACAATGTCCATCACCTTGCGCTGGTCCGCAGACTGAAGCGCTGTGAGAGAGCTTGTAGTGACGGCATTGGCGTCGATTTCGAATGGAGCGACAGGGGTTTCGCCTTCGTAATCAGGGTTGCTTGAAGTGTCGGTACTGTTAGACATGTTGTAAAGGGGAGGGGGGGGGGGTTGAAAGATATGGCTTTGTATGGTCGCAATTGAACAGTAGAGAAAGGTTTGTGAGCACAAAAAACAGCGGTTGGGCAGGCACTCCTTATATATGGTGGTCTAATTGCTCCAGTGCAGTGATTGTGAAAAGTTTGTATTGTGCGTTGGCTCCAGAATGGTAAAGAACAAGATTGTAATGAGCAAATAAGCAAATACAGTGAACTCTCTTTATCTGCGTGTTTCATCGTGAACGTGAAGTGGGTACAAGCAACGTCTCGCTAGGGCCAACAACGCTATCGGTGAAAGTGAAGTTCTTTAGAGCCTGAGTGTGAGTGAGTGTTGCGTTCTTCTTGATTTGAGATGTGATGTTTGTCTATCCTGATGGCGTAACTGTTGAGCGAGGGAGGCACGCGTGGGAGACATGCATCAAGAGCTCAGCACACAGACGCCATGTCGAAGCTAGGCAGCTAGTCTGGTGAGTGGCGAGCAGGTAGTCAATGGCTCGCATGCTGAGGCACCGTCTGAGTAGCCGCTTATTAGCCCTAACCGGCACCCGCTGCCAATCAAAAACGTCCCCATGGCCTGCACGTCCGAGTCGTCGCTCTTCTGCTTCATCGTCTGCTCTACCTCGCCCTGCTCCACCAAGACAACTGAATTTATCCTCTCGCCAGCTCGTTCTTCTTGCTCGCTCTCTTGCGCGTAGTCGATTATGCTCCACGGTATTCGCACGTGCAGTATGTACACAACTTCAGGAAAGCCTACGTCTGTGCCCAGCGCTGATGTAGCTATGATCAGCCCTCCGTCCAAGAACCAACGCTCCAGCCGCTCCGCGCGGTCGACATTGCGAGCGTGATAGTACCCGCACCCTAGCACCTCAGCTATATCCTTACACTGCTGCTTGCTGTGACCGTACAGCTGCTGTAAGCAGCACTGCAGTATCGGGCACGGCAGCAGCCGGAGATTCTTCAGCAACGCCAGCTTTGGCCGTCAGTCATTCAACGTGAAGATGAGATGAAACTCGTCCACTACCACTTGTCGCAGCAACCCCTTACTGCTGAGCATGCATGCGTAGCCTGTGAAGTTGCCGTTGCTTATTGTATTGCCTGCAGTATCTGCCGCTGACCACTACAACAGTAGATGGGTCACTTTCGCCATGCTTCACTCCACGCAGTCGATATCCCACTTCTGTGTCCAGCTAACCAAGTCTTCGATCAGCGCTCAGTACGGCACTACTACCACGGGTACCCCAGCATTGTCCAAGCAAGCCGGGGCGCTAAAAAGCAAGCTCTTGCCTCTGCCCATCAATCACAGCGTGCAGTGTCTGCTCTTGCTCCACCGACCGAAAGCCGACGTCCCCTTGATTGAGCACCTACTGCATCGCCTTAGGGATTGCCACCTCTTTTTCACTGCTGGTACATGCCTCTCTCTGCCGGCGTACGAGCTATCTGTCTTCCCTTTTAATGCCTCTGTTGTGACTGTGCTCTTGTCTCTTCTTTCTTCTGCTCGGATCTACGTTGCTCATTCATGTCTCTTGCTGCGCTCTCGCCCCTCCTCAAGCCCCAAGAAGCGGTGCTACGCCACATTGTGCTGAGCGGCCGAAACACTTCAATCGAGCGCACGCTGAAATGCCTGACAATGTCGGTCGGCACGGTGTAGTTGCCCACCCCCATGGCCGTCGTCCGCGCGTTCTGCAGCTCCATCACATCTTCTCCATCCTCGTCCACCTTCGCTTCGTCAACCTCCCCAATCTTGTCTTGATAGCTTTTACTGAACGACTCGCCAACCACCACCCGGTCAATGTCAACAGCGGTGTGCCGGTAATCTAGTAGTCTAGTGTGTAGCTTGACACCAAACCTCTTGCCCGTCTCTCGCCTCAGCGCCCGCGTCAGTTGATCCGTCCCCCACAGGCCCTGCTCGTCGGCCCACACATAGTTGCTGAAGCTGCCACCAAGCATCTGCACAATAAGATACTCCTGAAACGGCTGCAAGTATGCCAAGTACATGACCATGACCTGAGCCTGTCGCGGCAGCAAGAAGCGCGGCACCACCTTCGGCCTGTCCCACTGCGACTGCAACTTGTAATAGCGGACAGCCGACATCACCTCCTACCCGTCCACGACGAAGGTGTTGCGGTCCTGAAGTGGCCCATTCTGATACCGCCTTGTCATGATCGCTGACCATCCGTCCGGCTTGCAATCTGGTAGTATGCGTGCTGGTCGCAGCAGATGCGCATTGAGGTCTGTGTGTTGCAGTCTGCGCCACATCTTATCGATAGGTTCAGACACCAGCCGTTGCCAGGCCAACTGGGCCCTGGAGAACCGCAGACTGATCGATTGATTGGTTTAACGTCCTAAGAGAACCGCAGACTACGACGTAAATTGCACGTCTCCACACTCCGTACTGTGCTGTGAGCCCTCAATGCATCTCGTCGCCGTCGCTGCGTGGGTCCATGAACTAGAATCGCCTGCACGCTTTCGCTCGTCTCTGTCTCCTCAACCTCTGCAGTCGCGCAAGCGCACCCGGCCAGACGATTGCGAGAGCCAGCAGCGGCTCAAGACGCGCCGTGTCGCGCTGAGCGACATGGCTGCTAACGGCCATAACAATAGCCCAGCCATGCTGAAGAGTATCGAGAGCAAGCATATGCGCACGCCGTCGCCGACTAATCGCCAGTTTCCCACCGACGCATACTCGCCCGACGAGCTTGACGGGGCCACGCCGCGGCCACTCCCACGCATACGGACTATTTCCGCTCTCTCTCTCCTACACCAACGCCCCTGCCGCTTTTGCAGATGAAGTCGACTCGTCCTCCCAGTCGCATATTCGCTCACGATCACAATCACAGTCGCAATCGCAATCGGCGTCTTCAGCGCGTTCGATAAGCCCCAAGAAGGTGACCTCGTTGTGGGACGTCGGGAATGGGATCACGTGCACATCCCTCGCCAACACAACAGCCAGTCGGCGCGAGCAACTGGGGCCTGTGGGGATGGCACTCTTGGGTGCGCTGGAAGACGTAGCTGACGGACCTGTTTTCGCCGCCAGGTTGGAGGCAGAACTAGCCGAGGCTGGCATCGAGAGAATCCGGCCCTACCAGCTAGACGATGCAGACAATCGGCCTATGGCAGAGCTGATGGGCGAGCTGCAAACGATACAGTCCATCAACGCGCTCTCACATCGCTGTGCCGAGAATCGCGACCATGAGAGCGAGTGGAATAACCGCGTGCACACAAAAGTCTTGGAGCTAGCCCTGCGCAACGACGAGGCCCGTGTGGGCTTTCGCAGTGTAATTGCTGCCAAAATTTCGTCCGACTCTCGTCCCACGCACTCCCCTGGCCTTACTACAGGCAAAATAGTCGACTACGCCATGTTCCTCGAGCCCTCGCGCCCGACTCGCAACGTCGTTGCCTCTCTCATCGCCACGTCGTCCGAGTCCATCAATCACGTCAGCTACGAGCCTCTGCGGACCCGACCCATCGCCGTTTCCATCAAGACCAACACGGAGAGCCGCACTGTCGAGGAAGCGAAGGTGCAGTTAGGCGTGTGGCTTGCAGGCCAGGAGGCTCGGATTGAGGCACTGATGCAGCGATTGGCCATACTAGAGGCAAGCGAACATGAAGCAGAAGGGGAAGTCGGATCGAGATCCTGCAGGCGAGGGCGATGGGAAAGTCGAGCGTCGCAGTCGCACACACCCATACACATACAGCAGCCCACCCCGACGCCCACCATCGACGCCATTAGCCCAGGTACCGCACTCCCCCTCTCCGACACCGTGTTTCCCCTCCTCTCCGTCCAGTCGGAATCATGGTCTCTCTTCTTCGGGCGCGTTTCTTCCAACACGTCGACGTCGATGTCGGATTTGTACGTGCGAAAGCCCGCTTCGCGCATCCACATCTTCCACTCCATTCCCCTGGGCAACACGGCCAACACAGTGCAAACATATCGGCTAGTCAAGAGCCTTAAGGTTCTGAGAGCATGGATTGACGAAGATCTCCGCTTGTGGTGGGATAAGATTCTTGGCATTGACAAGGACGGTGATTAAATTTCACCATACCGCGAGGACGCACTTGGCTCGTCCACCGTACGTATCCCCTTGATATGAGAAACCTCAGCATTTTCTCCTTGCATGAGATTACAGCATACATTTTTGAGCATACTCCTCGTAATCCCCGCCATTATATCAGAACAAAGGTACTTCGGGCGGAGAGTAGCGGTGCGCAGGAACAGAAACAACGGTCAGGCAAGCTTCCCGCTTTGAGACAAACGGGCACAGAGATGACCAGTAGGATGCGTAGCAGAATGCGTAGTCATACGATCTAAGGGGCTTGGAGCAGTCAATGTGGGAAGACAAGCTAATTCGCTAACTGCTAAGGTCTGCACTACTATTGACTTTCGACCTATCCTGCACCTGCGCCATCGCACCGATTGGCGTGTGCAACTGGGAGCACTGGCTCCCCTTTGACATTGTCATGTTAAAAACCTAGCAGGATATGTCGAGTGACCTTGTAAATTCTACTTGGAATAGCCTTGACATGGGAAAGGCTCTTCAAGTTGAGATAAATCGCTGGTATGGGAAGCTCCTGATGACACAAAGGGAACCAATTTGTGAGATACCGCAGGTAAGAGACGTACAGCAATAAGCTCGTAGTTGATTAACTGAAGGTTCAATGGTTGCTGTTGCATGCCCATTGACCGGGTATGTTGATTCGACGTACACACCTTCCACCTGAGGGTGGAAGGCACCCATCACGACTGGAAGGGACACACAACCTACACACTGCCGTAGTCATGTTCAACCAGCTCCCACAGGCAAGGCTGCCCATTTTTCAACTCTTCATAGGTGATAAAGTAGTAATTCGTCACACCGTGTAAGGTGCGTCCCTAAAGGAAGAGACACTGTGTCGCGAGACAAGTTTGCTCTTCGGACCATTAGCGCCTATCTGCACATTTGTGAAGCTGCCGTGGATCTGTCATGATCATATAGCCATCGCTCCTTGAGACCACCGGCACCCGGCTTGAATTGCCCACTGCGTTGGCTATACTGTCGATCCTTTCGTCAACGTCGCCCTTTGGCGTATGTCCGATGTACAGGATACCAAAGCTGAACGGTGTACCGTACATTATACACAAAACCTAGCTGAACATGCTTCCAAAAGCTACCGCGTACAGAACACGGTAGTTTGAATTCATCCGTAGTGTTGCAGATGAGTGCGATACGTGTGTAGCTGGTAATTGTTCTGTCTGCGCGCGGTGAATGTGCTCTAGGAAGCAGACCCATTCAGTCTCTTCAATAACAAAGCCACATGGTACAGCAAGCAACCGCAACCCAATTCTGTATGGGAGACATGCAAGACAAAAAGGTTCGAGGGCAATTGGGAGTCTGCCTATATTCGGCTTATTCAGAGGTGAAGGAGCCGGTACCCAACACTCCTGCTTGGCCTCTGCACGTCACACCGCAAGGTACCACGTACTGGAATCACGGAAGAGGAATGCAAGTGTACCGAATGTGAGGTAGTATGAGCGCACATGTTCTTTGACCATGTTGTTGTTTTACAAACATGCACTCCTTGCATGGTCATTCCCTAGTGATGTCTGCGCATTGTACCTCAAGGTACCACAATGTAGTATAGAGGGAATAATTATTTGTCATAAATGGAGGAAATTATAGAACGTTTGGTATTCGGCGTCTACTATTCTTGTTCATTATTAAGACATCCTTTTTTGGTATAGGGAGACGCGCACCGCGTGCACACGCGCAGAGAATTGACTGATAGTTTGTAGTACCATGTTTGGTGTGCCTAGTCAACAGCGTAGTGTAGATAGAATAGGAAATATTGCTGGCAAGATAAAGAGTGACTTGCAAAGACATGGACGAAAACAATATGTCACTCCTGTATTGTCGAGGTCAAAAAGGCCGACCTTCTTAACCCTAGAGTTCAGAAGGCTTTATACACCGTTACATGTATGATCAAGCCATCCCAGCTAGGAAGTAGTGGCAAACCTCAGCATGAAGATGAAAGTCAACCTTCATTGCCTCATCAGTGGGCATCGTGACTCCAATAACAGAATAGATAGGCCCTATCCTGCTGCTTTTGCTCTCTGGTACTGTACACTCTGTAACTGCGTGAGCAGTATCGGTTGGAGGCCGTGATCAACAAATGTATTGCTATCTGTGTTGTTGTTCGATGACGCTGTTCGGAAGCTCTCTGCTCAGAGGCAAATGCACTTGCCCTTGGGCAGTGCCTACTATGGAAGGATATCATGTGACTTAAGCCACGTGGTTACAACCTCACCACCTCTTCATATATACTATTGTATACTTCAATCATCATGTTTGCTTTCTCCACTATTTCTGTAGATTCCTGAGCATGGCGCTCACCTATGCCGCGGGCATCCTCCGCTCCAAGTGATAATCTGATGTTGCTGCCCAACTATCCTTGCATCAAGCGGTGAGCTACTTTATTGGGGCGTGAGTAAGTCCAGTATCTTATTTCTCTTCTTACAAACAAGGCTAATAATTGCTCAGCGTTGACATGTTCCCGGTCAAGTACACGTCCCTGTACGGATCTCAAATGCTCCACTGAATCTTCTCAATTCGTGCTATTTGTGTATATAGAGTGTCGTACAGTTGGGTGCGGGTATTGTAAATGTGGGGTGTAAGAAAGTAGTGTATGTTGTATTGCTTTAGCATCCTAGCTCAGCTTGTATTCAGGCCCTCACACGGCATGGTTAGTAATGCAGTTCATGTTCACAACAGCGCTTGGCCTGCGACACCAATACATCAGATCACCACCATATTTCATCGAGGAGACACTCTCACCGCTACCGCCTGATGTACTGACCCTAGCATCCTCCTAGATGGAACTGCTGCTGCTCCTCAAGTAGTAAAGGACCTCCCTGCTGTGACCAAGGAGGCACCCTCACCAGCACCAAGGCTGGCTAACTCCAGCACTCTTCACAAGGGACCGCTGTACTTTGTTCATGACAATATGCAGCTATTGGTACATCAAGCATCCCATACCTTCACCTGGTCCTTTAGCTTCAGGAGCACCATTGTCGTGCAGGAATCTGCAACATATTGACCAATTTCTTTTTAAACCTTCCAGCAATAGAGGAGGCATACATCCACCTGTGCTTTTTGCTTGCACCGTGAGCAGTATGGTGTTGCTCTTGACTGTAGGCCCGCAAGTATGCACTGTGTGCATGAAGTGATCCAGGTTATCCAAGTTCTATCTGGGTCAAGGGGTGGCGCTATGGCGTTCTCTGAGTCTCTTGTGTTTTCCTTGCCAATTCAATGTGATCTAACTGATGCAAGTTTCGCTCGTTAGTTGACTCTAGCGCCCCTCTGGAGCATTTCTATCTGCTGCCAACAATATCGACAGCCTACAGTACTTGGGAGCTTCCGCTTCTATACAACCCATTTACCAGTCAACTTCTTCATCCTCCTTCTCCCTACCCAGAGAAGAGCTGCAGGAGCAGCTTGCCCCAAAGCTACAGGCCATAGACATCTGCATGCTCCGTCCTACATGCACTTGCTACTATTGGAAGTAAGGTTTGGTGTGTGTATTCTTTTTAGTTATCAGACGTCGAGGGATGCAGCTAAGTAGGTAAACAGACTAGCCCAATTAGGTAATAGACACCCGTGGAAGCCACCTTCCAACAGCTGCCACCTAGTCTCAAGATCCCAAAGGGACTACCTACCCCTGGTTGACCCCACTGCCCCACAGCCAGACCTACCAGCATCCAACTGGTAGGCACCACGTACTAAATTGTATGGTCTAGGTGAGTAGGAACATTGCGGAAGGATGATTACGGAAGGGGGAATAGGATGTGAGTTCACTTGAGCACAGGAAGAGGAGAGTACTGTACAGACTGGTGCATAGGAATATGTCGGGGATCATGAGTGATCCGTACGCATGTGGGAAGAATTGCAGGATTGAACTGAGGTTGTATTTCACTATTCTGTGTGTTTAAATATGTTGTGGTCTCGGTTGAGACCCTATTACCCTGGTATATACTGTTCTGGAATAGCGACTTCCAGGGCCAGTATATAGTTGGCTTCTCCTCACGTAGTCTAAACCGTGACAGAATAACATGAGGACAGGCCTTTTTCATACGTGGTAGCTTGAGGTGCGATGCATTATTGGTGCTTTGCAAAAGTGTTGGGACCCCATCCTTTGGAAAAGAACCATGCCAATATAGGCACTATGAGAAGAGGAAGGGGCAGATACGTGATGTGGGTATCTAGTTAATTGTTTTGTCAAGCTGAGTATGATGGTGATGCTTGTAAATGGATGCACGTTAAGGAACAGTGAAATTGGGAAGAAGAATAATGGTGGAAAGGGAAGAGATTAGACAGAACAGTGACATTGACCTGACATCTGCTATGTCCGTGGCTTCTGAGTGGTGGTGAAAGTCTGGTTCAGGGTCTAGCACGTGGAGAAGCCCACACATATATCCTCCGATCAAGCCCCTGACCCCTCCCTACTTCAACTTTTTGGTATGCTCTTCTTGAGCTACCAAACAAAGGAGGGCCCTAGACTTTTGCAAAGCATAATAACATAAATTCCTGTCTATATATATTCACTGCACCAGGCCTGAGACACGCCGAAATTCAGTGTAAGGTACACTGTACAATATACGGTGTATCGTGTCAATGTTTGGTGCATTGTACACCGTACAGCCGGTGTAGTGTACTCCAGGTTTTGGCGTAGGGTATACCGGACGATGTTGAAATGGGAGGTCACATGACATTCCTCCACTGAAGTATATAGTCAGGGCTTGCCCCATCATTCAATCGACACTGTTTTTCTCGATTTCTTTCATCCCATTTGACAGACGATACATTGGACGGTACACCAGATTTACTCCACAGGGGTCGTCAATTGACTCTTCAACGATATCCCCCTGTCCATTGGCAATTTCCGCAATAAATGAAGATCATCTCCCAGAGCTTGAGAGGTCACTCTGGCATAGGAGCGAGCATGCCGAGAGCCCCGTAGTGCGGAGCAGGAGATCCCTGGAAGCGAGCCCAAGTTGGCGGGACGTATCCGTGCATCTCGGCATATTTGAGCCTGCATTAGCGCAGTGGTATGCCTCTGTATTCTATCGTAATGAATTTCGCGCTATACCTACGCTGTTACACTCAAAAATAAATGTGGCGCATGCTAATGGTCTTCCGTGCGTTATGTTTGTTGAGAGTGCGTGAAAATGAGTCTATAGCATGTTGCGCACCGATGGCCTGTTGACACAACATGCTGGTGCCAGATGAAGGCATCGCTCGAGATGGGTTGTGGTGGTGGTGGTGGTGGTGGTGGTGGTGGTGGTGACAGTTGTCATCGCTGCTGTGACGGCTTATGGAGTAAGGAGGTCATGTGTGCTGCGTGTGTTGGTGCAGTGCTCTTGCTCGTTCCAACAAGCACCCTCTACCCTTAGCTGCACGAGAAATACGTCCTGTAAACATACCCTGCTGATGGCATGGTGAGAGGCCGAAAACAGAACAACAACAACAACAGAAAGTATTGATTTATTGATTTTACTGCTTTGGCGGTTCCACCGTGACTTACTGCCCTGCGTGGTACACGTTCATCTATTGGATCTACTGCAACAGCCGCGCTGCGTGCCGGCCCGCAGCGGGACACTGAGTCCCTGAGGCCAGTGTCCTTGCGCAACCAGCACGCTACACGGACATCCCGATGTCATTTGAGCCAAGATCTTCGGCTTGCACTTTCTGCACCATTGCATCACGTCCTCAGACAAGAACTGCCTCTCTACTTGCAGTTGTGGCTATCGCGCGGTCATGTGTTGTCAGCCCTGCCCGGCCAGGCTCGCGTCACGGCGCAGGCAGGCTGCGCCTCCCGCCCTCGATGTTCGAAGCGCAGCTTACCCCGACGATCAACTTCTACACCACAGCACCCAGGGGCTCCGTCTGCCTTCACCCTTAACTTAGCGAACTGTTACGTAGCGCTCACGACGGACAAACGACTAAGATCTCGACGCCCTGCGCGAGCTATCTCCCGTGCGCTATCAATTCTCTCAGCCTGCCTCGAGGCTCCAAGACTCCCTTTTACTGCTCGCGCATATAAACACAAACAAGGCCCGATGCGACTGTTGTACAGCACAAGCGGAGGGAGACTCGGATGGACCGAGGACTTGATTGGCGACAATATCCCCTCCTATGCGATCCTGTCGCATACCTGGAAGGAGGGGCAGGAGGTAACCTTCGACGATCTGAAGAACCTCGACAAAGTGGAAGACATTGACGCGCAAAGCAATGAGGGATATCAGAAAATCCGCTTCTGCGCATCACAGGCTAAGCGTGACGGCCTAGACTACTTCTGGGTAGACACCTGCTGTATTGACAAGTCAAACAGCTCAGAGCTTCAAGAAGCGATCAACTCCATGTTTCGATGGTATCAAAACGCGAGGAGGTGTTATGTTTATCTGTCAGATGTTGAGAGTAACACTTTAGACGGGAATGGCGAGTCAGCTTTCATGAAGAGCAGATGGTTTACCCGAGGCTGGACACTTCAGGAACTTCTTGCTCCTAGAGTGGTTGACTTCTTCTCGAGGAAGGGCGTGTGGCTGGGGGACAAGAAGTCGCTGAAAGACACCATCCACGAAATCACAGGAATATCTAACGACGCTCTGTCATGGAGGCAAGTGTCCGAGTTCAGCGTAGCTGAGCGGTTCTCTTGGGCAAATAATCGCCAAACAACACGCTCAGAAGATGGAGCATACTGTCTGCTAGGCATATTTGACATTCATCTACCGTTGATCTATGGCGAAGGCAAAGAGAAGGCGTTGAAGCGACTGAAAAAAGAGATACTGGAGTCTTCCGAGGACGTCGCAAGTGCTCCTGTGAATGACACTGATACTCGCAGCCGAAGCCAAGAAGAAAGGATTGGCAAGATCTGCAACTGGCTTTCGGCGCCTGACCCGTCCACAAACTACCACAAAGCGCACAGGCAGCGGCAGGCTGAGACCGGAATCTGGCTGCTGGAAAGCGCAAAGTACAAAGAATGGAAAGAGAGTGCAGCATCGCGACTATGGCTGTACGGCATTCCAGGATGTGGAAAGACTATATTGAGCTCTACCATCATCGAGGACTTGCTGCAGCACTGCCATGATGACACTAGTATGGTGACGGCATTCTTCTACTTTGACTTCAACAATATACAGAAACAAGATCCGGAGCTGATGATCCGCTCACTGCTCTGCCAGCTCCTACAGCACTCAGTAACATTTCTTAGAGGCCTTGACGCATTATTCTCGTCTTGCAAGAATGGACAACGACAGTTATCACTGCATGCACTTCTGGAGGTAACACAGCAGGTGATGCAACAGTTCACGCATGTCTACATCGTTCTCGATGCGCTCGATGAGTGTACACAACGCCCAGGACTAATGGACGTGCTTGAAACAGTGTCTGGATGGCAGCTTGACAATTTGCATCTGCTTATGACCAGCCGGAAAGAGCGGGATATCGAGAGCTCGTTGCAGAGTTACGTCGAGGAAGAGGACACTGTCTGTCTTCAGAGGGACGTAGTGGATGAGGATATACGACGATACGTTCAGCAAAGGCTATCTGACGATAAGGATCTGGCAAAATGGAACAGGGACGCGGCTATCAGGCAAGAGATCGAGGCTGCACTCATGGACGGAGCTCGCGGGATGTATGTGTGTTCACCCAATTTTCCGCAGAGTCGAAGCTAACGACAGTGTAGGTTCCGATGGGCTGTATGTCAGCTTGACACGTTGGTAAAGTGTCGCAATCGAGCGATGCTGCGCAAGTCACTCGCCACTTTGCCGCAAACGCTAGACCAGACGTACGACCGCATTCTCTCTGCCATAAACGAAGACGACTCCGAGTACGCGATACGTATCCTGCGGTGGCTGACGTTCTCTGCGCGGCCACTCTCCGTCGAAGAGTTTTCCGAAGTCGTTGCCATCGATGTGACGCGCGATCCAGCATTCGAACGCGACGAAGTGCTAGAAGACCCCCTTGAAGCGCTGAACATTTGCTCCAGTCTAGTCACTCTTACAACGAACAAAGAGGAAGGGAGATCGCGGCCTTCCCAACGGATCATCGCTCTAGCACACTATTCTGTCCAAGAATACCTTGTGTCAGATAGAATCAAGCAAGGACAAGCAAAGCAGTACAGCATGCAAGAGGCCGAATGCCACAACGCGATAACAGAAAGTTCCTTGAAGTATCTGAACCAGTTGCAGCAACCACTGTCAAGAAGAATGCTTGAGACATCCGCACTTGCAAGGTATTCGGCAGAGTTCTGGAGCAGCCATCTTCAAAAAACAGGAGACGGCATTGAGGGAGTGAGTGGGCTAGCAATGAGGTTAATGTCAATAGAAAACCCCACATATCTCACCTGGGTCCAGTTATATGATCCGGACAGTCCTTGGAGGAGACCATATATGAAAAAACGCCTGGAAACTGTGGCTACACCGCTTTACTACGCAGCATCGTTAGGCTTGAATACGGTTACGACGATGTTGCTGAACCAAGGCGCCGAAGTCAATGCGCAGGGTGGATCCTACGGCAACGCACTGCAGGCAGCTTCATACAGAGGCCACGAGCAGGTAGTCAAGCTACTGCTTGACAAAGACGCCGACGTCAACGCGCAGGGTGGATACTACGGCAACGCACTGCAGGCAGCTTCAGCTGGAGGCCACGAGCAGATAGTCAAGATGCTGCTCGACAAAGACGCCGACATCAACGCGCAGGGTGGACGTTACGACAGTGCCATGTACGCGGCTGCGTATGGGGGGCACAAAGAGACTCTCGGTATTCTGATCTTAAGGGGTAATATCCCACAGCTGCAAGATAATCACGGACGGACATTGCTTTGGTGGGCCGCGGCTGGCGGTGACATTGCTACTGTGGAAGCGCTTATTAATAAGCACAACATCGACCCTCAAACAGCCGACAGGTTTGGGCGAAAGCCTTTCTGGATAGCCACGAAGAAAGGACATAGCGCAGTATCGAAGCTTCTGAACGGATATGGTGGGGATACTAACGGCGAGGGAGTAACATCACGCGACAGTAGCAATGACTGGTCGCCTATGGAATGCGATGTCTGCCTAACACGCATTCCGACAAGTGAATGTCATTATCATTGCAGTCTCTGCATTGGTGGAGACTGGGATGTATGCGAAGACTGTAGAAGGAGGGGAGCCACTTGCATGGAAATGGCTCACACTTTGGTCAAGCGTACGATGCTTGATGGAGTTTGGGTTGAGATCACCAGCTGAACATGGCTCGATACAGATCGTGAAAGCCCTCTAGGCGTATTCATTCAGTCTCTCATACCTGCACGTCCTATAATCTATTTGATCATTGAAATTAGAGCGGCATATCGACATTGTACTTCGGGCCCCTGTTGACCAGAGAAGCTGCAAGCTCCCGAATAGAAGGATGCAAACAGCGGGAGAAGGGCACCAAAACCTGTGCGACCACGTGGGTCGCCGTAGAGGCTTCTAGATACCTGGCCGCCATATGCCACAGCTGCGAAGGTACTTGAGCATGCTGTACAGGGGTCAGCACAGCGTCGAATTCATTACAACAAGATACAGCATCACGTAGGCGTGCTAATGCACGCCAAGACGTACTGATGCTGGGGCTAGTCTGCAGGGATCCTTTCCCCACCCTTCGGCGTGGCCGGGCACGCACCCTCTTGTGTCGAAGTGATCTAAAAAGCCTAGCAAGGCCATATTTCTTAATCTAGCTTTCTTCCAAGCTCTCCGTTATTTGAAGAGGCTCTCTGTGTCATGAGTAGACAGGGAGTACTCGGTGAAGGGTCGTTTGACGGCATTAACGCAACGATCGACAGCATCATCACTACTGCATTAATCCGTGTCGGAGACTTGTGTCCCAGAAGAGAAATAGGCACAGAGTTACACCTAAACAACGATGATCCCACGGACTTGTACAGGAGACACGCCGGGGGTCCAAATTGCAACCCTGTCTCGCAACGGGATGTGTCTCTGCACCGAGGGATGCACCTTAGGTGTCATGCGCTCGACGCGAGGGTCTAGGATATATACGGAATGGGACTCGTCATCGAACGATACTCTCGCAGGGTTCTTTTCGCCTTCTGCGTTTAACTTTCTCGCGTATGTCGCGGTGGTTGAGGTTCGGCTTCAGCGCGATCTCCACCGCCATGTGGATAGGGATAACTAGCATATCCGTCTGCTCGGTCCTGGATACGCAGTCGCGGGGTTTGCCTCGCCCCGCATGTGGATACTCCCGCCCCATGCCTCTCGACTCTTACATCCTTGCATCTGCCTTAGTCCCTGCAGATGGTGCTAACGTCCGTCCGAGTGTGCCGGGACGCACGGTGTCCCGGCACAGGTTCGCATTCTGGACCTCGGAATAATTCAACTGCATGTTTTGCAGACTTGTCATTGATATGCTAATGTTCTGCAGTCAATGCTCCTCCAGGGTATCAGTTTCCGATGAGGATTGCCGCGATGTTGATTATGCTGTCGATCGTTTCGTTAACGTCGTCAATCAACCTTTCGTTAATACCCCCCTGTCTGTTCGCGACTGTAGCAAATAGATGTCGGCGGTGAACTACCATGACCAAACAATCGGTCTCAGACAGATTAGGGTGGTATAAACACGTGATATTCGCCTAACCTCTGTGGAGTTTTGATGTTCTGATACCAATTTTTGCCAGCCCACGGATCACCTTTGATCTTTTGTTTGTGCGCGCGCCTAAGCTACTTTCTGGCCTTCCAGAACAGAGTAAGATCTGGTCCTGCTCCAGCATTGCGAGTAATTGGGAGTAGTGTTGGCGACAAGCGCGAGTCGTTGGGTGATCCTCCCCAAGAACAGTGGCGTATAAAGCGCATGTTTGTTCGTACAGGTAGCGGGAGTCATTGTAGCGCAGCTGGTTTGCAAGAAAGTGAGCAAGGCCGTACATACTCGTCAGCGTGTCTGGGTGCTCATCTCCTAACACCTTCCTGCTCAGCCTGAGCGTCTCGCGATGCATCTTCTCTGCCTCAGCGTACTTTCCCTGATCGCTGAGTGCTAGCGCCACATTGTTCATGCTCGTCAGCGTGTCTGGGTGCTCCTCTCCTGACACCTTATTTCTCAGTCTCAGCGTCTCGCGATGCATCTTCTCTGCCTCAGCGTACTTTCCCTGATCGCTGAGTGCATGCGCTATGTTGTTCATGCTTGCTAGCGTGTGTGGGTGCTCGTCTCCAGACACCTTCTTGCTCAGCCTGAGTGTCTCGCGATGCATCTCCTCTGCCTCAGCATACTTTCCTTGACCGTTGAGTGCTAGTGCTATGTTATTCATGCTCGTCAGCGTGTCTGGGTGCTCATCTCCTAACACCTTCTTTCTCAGCCTGAGCGTCTCGCGATGCATCTCCTCTGCCTCCGCATACTTTCCTTGACCGCTGAGTGCTAGCGCTATGTTGTCCATGCTCGTCAGCGTGTGTGGGTGCTCGTCTCCAGATACTTTATTTCTCAGCCTGAGCGTCTCGCGATGCATCGTCTCTGCCTCAGCGTACTTTCCCTGATCGCTGAGTGCTAGCGCTATGTTGTTCATGCTTGTCAGCGTGTCTGGGTGCTCGTCTCCCGACACCTTCTTGTTCAGCCTGAGCGTCTCGCGATGCATCTCCTCTGCATCAGCGTACTTTCCCTGATTGCTGAGTGCTTGCGCTACGTTGTTCATGCTCTTCAGCGTGTCTGGGTGCTCGTCTCCCGACACCTTCTTGCTCAGCCTGAGCGTCTCGCGATGCATCGTCTCTGCCTCAGCGTACTTTCCCTGACCGTTGAGTGCTAGAGCTACGTTGTTCATGCTTGTCAATGTGTGTGGGTGCTCAGGCCCAAGTGCGTTCTCTATCATTGATAACACTTGTTGGTGCGTTATTTCTGCTGCTGAATAGTGCCCGAGGCTTGCTTGGCACCGCCCTACGCGATCTAAAAGCGAAGCGCTGGCTGCTTTGCCTACGATACCGTGGGTTCCAGCCACATGGATTGCATGCGGCAGGTACGTCGTCCACACCTCCTTGTGTTCATGCCCGCCGTACGGCACTAGATCCTGGAGCCGCGCCACCGCTGTGTCAACCCAGGCTGCACGCTCATCATGTCTGTCTAGCCACCAGACAGACGCCATGTGAACCAGTCGGTGCATGTCGAAGAACCTGTCTCCATCTGACTCTTGTACCGTTTGTAGGCGCTCCGTGATGAACGCGTACCCTGTCAGTGTTCCGAGCGCTTTTGTTTGCTGCACTAAGGAGTCTCCAGGAGGCAACAGCGACTGAGGGATGTTGACGCGATCAATGCATGTCATGAAGGAGAGATATTCTGCGGCAAGCCGATCTTGTCTGCGTATCTGATCAAAAGAGACATGCCATGTCTTCGCGATCGTGCTGTCCAGTTCTTCGTATCTGCTGGGGTCGTCGAAGTGCTGGTTAAAGAGCTCGGTCTCCGCACCAGCATGTCGGAACAGCGATATGTAGCCAGATACTGACACATCGTTGTTGTTGATAAATGCGGCTGCCTGCACAATAGCAAGCGGTAGACATGTGAGGGTTTCCAACAGTTCGTCAACAGCCGTCTCGTCATCAAGCAACGCCTGCTGCGTTATTCGCCGCGTTAGCAGCTGCCTAGCTTCCGCCTTGCTCATGTCATTCAGCCTCAAGACGCTGCTCGGCGTCAAAGCTCCAGCCACTTTCCTGCTCCGAGTGGTGAAAATAATTGCGCCTCTATCGTTGCGGGGAAGATAGTCGTGCAGTCGAGCTGGCTTCGAGTGGCTATCCGTGGTACCCAGTAGCACTTCATAATCATCAGCATTATCAACGATCATGAGCCAGTCGTCTACGCTCTTTGAGCTGAGCATCTTCTGAACAAGCTTCTTGATGTCTGCATTGTCGTCAGTGATCCCTGGGATACGGAGGCAGACTCCGATCTCGCGGTACGCCAGCTCGAAGCTTTCCTGACTGATAGCAGGCACCCAGAACACCAGTCTAGCATGTGTTACCAGTGCGCGATATGCAAACTCGACGGCAAGCGCCGACTTCCCGCAGCCTCCTAGTCCATGTATTGTCATCCGCCGGTGGGTGTCGGAGATGAGAAGGTGCTGTTCGAGAGATCGGAGCTCGTCTGCTCGTCCGACAAAGAGTTCGTTTCTTGGGAACGGTAGCGATGACAAAACTAGATACTGTTAGCTATGTACAACTTGCACAGAAGTGTGCTACCTTGCTAAGTGAGCACGTACCGGACAAGTCACGCGAGCTGTCAGTCCCGCGCCCTTCCTGCCGCTTTTGTATCTCCTCCCTCAGCCGTAGAGTGGCATATGTTTCTCCTTCTCCGTATATAAGCGACAGGAACACACCAAATATTCCTAGCAGACAATACACCTTGTCCTCCTTCAGCGTTGTCGTGCGCCTGGCTGCCCAGCTCATTCGGTCTTCAACACTGAACCTGCTGAGACTTTGTCCTCTTAGAGCCCCAATAGGAATCTTAGTGATCTCGTGGATGTCCTGCTCCAAAGACATTCTGCTACCCAGCCGCTTGCCCTGCTTGCAGAAGAACTCGACGCTAGCCGGCGGCAGAAGCTCTTGCAACGTCCAGCCTCGCATGAACCATCGGCTCTGTTGAAAGGCTGCCTGCCACTCTATCCGGAAGGCCTCAGCGTTGGTGATCTCATCCGGCACCGAGACATCCGATAGGTATACGTAGCACTTGGATGCACGCTGATACCAGCGGAACATGGAGTTAATTGCTGTGCCAAGTTCGTCGCTGGTAGACTTGTCGATGCAGCAGGTATCGACCCAGAAGTACTCCAGGCCGTCCGCCGCAGCTCGTTCGCTGCAGAAGCAGATCTTGACATAGCCAGTCTTGTCTTTGCCTGTACCGGCCACCAGTTCATTGTACGTGACTTCTTGACCCTCGGTCCAGGTATGCGATAGGATAGCGTACGGGGGAGGGTCGTCATTGTTGAAAGTGATCAGCTCGAAACCGCTGCCCGGCAAGTGCTTCAGAAGGCGCATCGCGGCGCTGACATGGCCGCCCCGAGCGATGAATATTGGCTCAATTCAATGGATCACGATGCAAGCATAAGATTGTGGAGAGGAAGCGCAGAGCAGATGTAAACGTCTCTCGTCCAGCGTAAGTGTCATGCATTGACATGGAACGGCTGAGCAGGCTACGAGCTGTGGGACGCTTGGGAGTGTGCAGTCGGCGATGCCCAGTTACACAGCTCCACGTGCGGGGGTTCAGCAGTAAAGTGCAGGCTCGAGCTCTTGCAGAACGACCGGGGTCGCCAGAGAGTGTGCTAAGCGAGACTCTGCGTCAGCAATAGCTGGACTACAGCACAGTCTGCAGTGGGCATAGCATCGAATTCGGCACAATAGGTTATAGCAACAGATGAGCACGCTACTACAAGCCTCCTTCATGCCGAGCGCGTTAGCGCATCCCGACGCGCTCGATTGCCCTTTGTGACCTTCGTTCTCACCCGGCGAGACTCCCAGACTTCACTTTTTATCTTCATGTGGCCCTTTAAGCTTAGAGACAGGATCTCCTTTGACTGTACTTCCTATGACACCCTCCGGTTTTTACGCAAACTGTGTAGATGGCGAACCGACAAATGGGGTATTGACAATGGGACATTTGACGGCGTCGACGGTTTCGTTGACGGCATGGCTAATATAGCGGTAGCTCTTGTCGGAGGTTGATGTGCCTAGGGAGAAACGACTGCATAACATTAATACATCAACTACTGGCCTATAAAGTGGCATATAAGACGTTGTGAAGGCTCGGAGTGCGAACCTGTCCTGTGACACGGTGCGTCCCGGTACGCGTGGACAGACGTTAGCCACCTAATTGAAATTTTGTAGTTGCTGACTTGCGTCGGCAGACTGCTATTCGAGATTGAGGAGTAAATTTTAGAGCGCTCTTTCGCATCTGCCTGTCGCTTCCGGCTCCATCTCGTCAAGACAGATGTACGATAGACTAGCTACTCAGTATTGTGGTGCGAGACCTGCGGGCCGGCGATGACAAGGGTCAGCCTATGCAACTTTTGGGTGTGATTTGGCGACTGATCCGTGTATATCGATTTCCGGCTCTGGCGTCAGCTTTGATCTCACTGCACGACTCTCCCCACAAGGGGTCTACCAGATTGATACTAGCACTCTACCAGGATCAGCTGTGTAACCTATACCGCCTATCGCATAGCATAATTAGGAGAGGGGCTAGTCATCCTGCATGGGTGGTAATCTATCATGTTAAACTGATGTGGTAATTCTTCCAGCTAGAGATGCGTAGGTGTCTTATAGCTTAAGGCTACAAAGAACCTACGCTGTTCTTATTGTACAAAGAGAGGTTTGAAGCCTGCCACAGGGGCTAGTTCCAAACACTAAGGGGTGAGGGGTGAAAAAGCCCTTTGCGGCCGCTGTATAATACTGATAGCTACGGTAAACGATAACGTAGGACTATCAGGTTGCTAGTGAGGAGAAGACGACTATATACTGACTCTGGAACGTGCTAATCCAGAACAGTCTAAGCAAGGGTAATAGGGTCTCGTATGGACCGACTAATACCGCAACAAATATGAATGTACAATTACAAATAGCAGAGAGTCATGCAGGCAGACCCTAGTCATACTGCTGAACAGCATGACCAGCAGAGCCAGCTGTAGGAGAGCTTTCAAAAGACGCAGAGGATAATGCTTCGTCTGACTCGACAGCTTGCTCTGCATACAAGTCAGTCAAAGCTTCGACTGACACCAGCCGCGAAGGATGGTCTGCTCGTAGGACGCGAGCCTTGATCTCCACCACGCGCTCGAGCAGGTCCACCGCCTTCTGCACCTGTCCGTCTGCGTGGTATGCAATTGCGAGCGCGTGCTGCGACGCCAGTCGTGATGAGTGCTCTGGCACCAGCATTCTCTCTTCGACTTCGACCACGCGCTCCAGCAGGTCTACCGCTTTCCGCACCTGCCCGTCTGCTTCGTATGCCATTGCGAGCACCTGCAGCGACGCCAGTCGATCTGGGTGCTCTGGCACCAGAATCTTCTCTTCGACTTCGACCACGCGCTCGAGCAGGTCTACCGCCTTCTGCACCTGTCCGTCTGCTTGGTATGCCATTGCGAGCGCATGCTGTGACGCCAGTCGTGAGGGATGCTCTAGAAGCAGCGTCTTCTCTTTCATTTCGACCACAGCCTCCAGCAGTGCTACCGCCTTCTGCACCTGTCCGTCTGCTTGGTATGCTC